TGATGTCTTTCATCACTTGCTCCCCATGCCAGAGGTATTTCATGGCACTCACCCAGAGTTTTGTGAACTCATCGCGGAGCCTGTCGCGGCGGGATTTTGCTCGGTCTGTGTTTAGCATCGTCTTGATGTATTCTTCCACTGGCCTGATGATTATGCAGAGAAACCACAACGTCAAGCAAAACACGAACTGGCTGTCCGTCTGGTTCGACCAGTTCAGGGAGAAGGTGTGGTCGAGCACATGGTCGTTGCCAAACTTGATGTTGCGCCCCAGACCAAAAAAAACACGGGCCAAAAAGTACGCCATACAGACGCAGTACCGCGAGCACACACCTAAAACCGTGAGCCACGCACCTCGTCCAGATCGGCAGCGGCCATCCCTTGTAGAGTCCATGAAGTGTGCGCATCATGGTCCGCGTGCCCTCGTAGCCTACTACCAGCCTCTGCCGCTCAATGCGCCCACGAAGCAGCTCCTCCTGCTGCTTTTTACTGACCCCAGCACGTTCCAAGAACTCCCTCAGGCCTTCCTGCGGTTCGGGCTCGCTGTGGTTTGAGCTAAAGCACTGGATCCAAGCCGCTACACGCTCCAGCTCTGTCTGTACTTTCTGCTGTAGCAATCGCACTGAAAGCGCATGGGGTGTGGATGCTAATAGGAGAAAAGGCGACCACTCTCCCCAGAAATTGGTAGGAGATAGTCCAGAAGATGATAAGAGAAAGCCCACAGTTGGGAATGAGTCTAGTCAAAAAGTAAACAGATGAAGGAGACCCCTGAAGCCACTACATCAGAAAACACTTACACACAAATCAACAGCACTCCCAGGCCAAAGATGGGCGAAGCGCATGCGCGTCGTTGGAGTTCAATGGGAAGCGCTTTGCCCCTGTTCTTGGTCTAGTAATGTGGTGCATATATAATACCTGAAGGTAGAGACGCTTCTGCCATGCTGTTGGATCTAGTCCAGCCAGTCCCAGATAGAGTTCCGCGGTTGATTTGCATGCCAGAGCACACTGGTGGTTCTTGCATCGGTCTGGCCAAAATATGACCCGCCCAGCTAATTTCGGTGACTCGATCAGCATCGTCCCCAAGTAGAAGAGCAAGTTGATGGTCGACCCGCCGCTGTCACAAGAAGGGCTCCAGATCTTGATCGTGCTGATGGGGATATCTCTGAAGAACTCTTCGGGATCATGCTGGGCCCAGATCTGGTCGGCGATCTCATAAGCCTCCGAGTACCCCCTAAAGCAAGACTTCCGGTTTCGTTTTCCTTCGCCAAACTGTGCGATGTTAGGGTACAGCACTGTGTGCGCTGGTAGGTAGAAGCTCCCCGACTCTTCGATGCCCGCAAGCTGGAAGTTCACTGTCACCAGGCTAATGATCTGATGCGCGAAGATGCGAAGTCGGCCGACTACATCATTTTGGAAGTGCAGCTGCTGGGTGGTGGTTCCATCGTTCTCAACGCGATACTGCGCGACGTTGTACTTCGCCTGCCCTACTCTCTTCCGAGCTGCCTCCCAAGCACCATCGACCAAAAGGCTGCCAAGCCTCCATAACTGCCGGGGATGGAGCTGGTTTCGCGTGTTGAAGAACTGCCATGTGGGAAGCTGGTGATCTTCTTGGAGCAAGTTCCCACTAGAGGTCGACCCACTTCCTCCACCTTGCAGAGGATCGACTGCCATTCCACATGGAATGCTGCACAAGCTCCCCAAGCTGAGCAGCAAAAGAAGAAGAGAGAGATAACGACTGCTGAGGCATCTGGCCACCCAGATAGAAAGCGTCGCTTTGTGAGCGCGGGCGCCCACTGTCTGCTGTCTTGTTTGGCGCTGCCGCCGCCCCGCAGGGCCACCCAGCTGGGCAAACATCTGGCGCACCATCTTGCTCAACCTTTCAAATCTTGCATGGCCTTAAGTAGAAACTTTTTACTTCACCACCGCGATTGAGGTTATTTCTACCTAGATAAGCATATGCGACCGGGGGCGTTCGTGTTGGCTGCCAGACTATCTTAAGCGACCCATCTTTAACTAAGGCCGTGCTTTACTCAACTACCTAACTCCTACGCAGCCACCTTTTGCCCGATTTGCCCGCTTTGCTTGCTCGACCTTTTTCTTCTAGTTTCGAGCCTTTTTGCTTCCCTCCTTCTTCAATGTTCGCGCACGCCCTCTGGCTTACCTCACTCTCTCACCGATCTCTCAACCAAAACCCAACCGAACTGCCGCGTGCTTCACCACATCCAAGACCGGCGATCTTCTGACCCTCAGAGACTACCGAAGCGACCTAGTGGAGCCAAGAGACTTCATCACAACACAGCAGAAGCCTCTCCAGGCGAAACTGCTCCCACAATCCTTCTCTGATGGTTCGCGCGCTCCTTATCCAGATGCGACCACAAGTCCACTAGCTAGTAACTCAGGCGCATGGACTCACTGGCAGTCATTAGGAGTCATCATATAAGAAACAGCAGAAAAACCCTCAGCGATACTGCCTCCCCACCTGCTCAAAGGCTCGCAAGTTCTACAGAAATCCCAGGGATTTCCTTGAGACTTCCAAAAGACTTCTCTCATCCACCCCGGCGAGGTCAAGTACTGGCTTCTCTCCCCGAAGATCCGAACAGATCCGAACTGGTACACGACGTTCCAAGAATTACGTAAGCAATTCTTCTGCCCCGAGGACAACGAGCTGATCGTCGAGACAGACATGGGCGCGGCTGCCGTCAAGCAACTGGCGGTAGAGATGGAGGAACAGCAGCCGGCGATGATCGCGAGCCTCGCAAGAGGAGACGGACAAGTGAAGCAGGCCTCGGCCGAGCACGCGGCAATCGTCAAACAGCTAGCGCAAAGCGAAATCGCCGAGCATGCGGCGACTGTCAAGCAGTTAGCGCCAGACGAGGCCACTGCGTGGTCGGAGGGCCCGGATATCGAAATAATCGATAGCACAGACGCTGCCGCTTCAGTTGGTGCCGTGAGACAAAGAGTGGCAGCAGTCAAAGCTGCAAAAAAGCCAGCTTCAAAGCAGCAGCAGAGACGACCACTGGACCTCGACTCACTCTGCGAGGACCCGGAAGTGACGTTGACCCCATTGCGTTTATACGCAGTTGAAAGCAGGAACGTCGCGACCGGATATGTCTACTGCAACTACGTGCTTGACATCGAGGTAGTCGCAGATGGAGAAAAACGAAAGGCCACGAAATGGTTTTCGCGGTCCGTCCATGGAGATGAGTCGAACGCCTATCGCGAGGCACTCAAGTTTGCGCGGCGGTGCATCGGCGCGCGGTGGCGCGAAGAAGACCAGGACCTAACGGAGGGATACCACGGCGATTCCGTAAGGAAGTTTGCCATTATTGCTCCGCTACACAAGTCTAACCCATTAAAGGCAGTCTTGGCGAAGGTCAACCTGAAGAACGTTTTCTTCGACGACAGTGTCGCCTGTGACAACTACACAATTGACGTAGTGGCGAACGGCATCAAATGTTGCACATGCAAGGGCCACGGACTACTCGCTGCACCTGTAGAGGAGTACTGCCCACCGATAGCGACAGCGCCTCTGGCCCCGACGGCGTGGCGCAGAGTCCCAGCGGACATCCATGACGAGATTGCCAAGCCTCTGTTTACGGCGTTACTTGGCGTCGCAGAAGACTCGTCGCCAGGTGACGGTGAGTCAGACCCAGCTGCCGGGGGCTCCGAGCAAGCGGAGCAGGCACAGTCGCCAAACGAAGTAGACACAAGTGTGCAGCACAGCGCCGAGCAGCCATCCACTCCAGCTTACGCCATCACATACAGAACACAGCATGGGCCGCCTGGGAAAAAGCAGACGGCAGATGTGCCAGTCCCGGAAAGCACAACTATGTGCCAGCAAGCAGACACGAAGCCCGACGGGCATGCGCCGCTCTTCCCACCTGATAACGACGCAGGGGATCTGATGGCAGCAACAAACGGCGGCAACGGAAAGATGTTCTTAGGCGGAACACATGGCCTCAACAAGCAGTTCGCGTCCGAGCTAGCGGACGCCGGCGTCGCAGTCAAGGACCTCCAAAAAGCGATGAAGAAGCTCCAAAAGGTCGCTGACCAGCGCAAACCAGGATCAGACAGTAGCTACCTTTCAAGACGGCGACGAGCTTGCGGCAGCCGGTGTAGCCAGCATGACAGCGGTAGCAAGCAGGACCTCGACGGCAGTAGGATCGGCGGCTCTTGTGATACCGGCAAGCAGCAAACGAGCGATGGCGTACCTCGCAGCACCAAGCGGAGAAGACCACACGCGCCCGGAGTTCATCGGCGCTCTGCGCGAGTGCTCGCACAGCGCTGTCACAGTGGTAGCAGAATACAACAAGCAGCCGTCGCACAGCCGAATCCAAGCACTGCGCCTCCATCTCTTCGGAGGTGGACGCAACCGCAAGCCGCGCGTCACACCACAGGCAGTAGCAGACGCGATCCTGGCGGCCACGTTTATTGCGTATGAGAAAGCAGGGGCGGACTTCCAGCTCGAGTTCGCATATGCAGCAGGTGCATTCGCAGGAGCGTACAACACAGCAATGAAAGTCGAGCCGCGGGCTGCCGACGCAATACAAGTCCGGAACGCGGCAGTGGCTGCTGTGCGAAGCGCAAAAAGCAGCGGAGGCGGTGTGGACACGGTTGCCGAACAAGCAGGCAGCTCAGACGACGGCGTGGGCGTGCCAGTGTCACCACAAGACTTCGAAATCCCAGCTGCTGCAGCACTCCTGTCGCACGAGCAAGAAGAAGCTGCGCGTGTGGAGTTCTTGGAGCTACGAGACGCGGAGCTTCTGCGTGCTATACCAGCAGCACCCCACGACGCAGTGACGCAAATCGGACTAGTCAGTGGCCTAGTAGTGCTCAACGTCACGCCAACGATTACGAGAGCGGCTACAGCAGCAACAGTGACGCAACTCTACCAGGCAGACATAGTGCCGGCAAGGTTTGCAACTCGTACGATAATCCTTTGTGGATATGGTGTCCGCGAATCATCGGAGGCAGCGATAAACACCAATGTACTTACGGCGCTGCCGGCGTTTCTCCACGGGTTGGAGATGCAGGCACTTGTCCAAAAGCAAGCGTCATGCTGCGAATATGGTTTCGTCTACCGGGCACTCTCAGGAACGGGCGCGTGCTCTGCAAAGGAGCAGAGACAGGCTGAAGCACTAACGGACTTCACGATCCGCGGCGGAGTACTATTCCACAAAGACCGCGTGTACATCCCGAAGCAAGAAGCGCCCGACGTGCACGTAGCTGACCCGGTACTGCCGAGCACGGTTCACCTCCGCACGAATGTGGTGCAGAGCATACATCACAACTGGTGTTTGCACGGCTCCAATAACAAGACCTACCTCTGCGTCTTTATGTGCTTCAGCTGGCCACGGTTGCAGGACACTGTCGACGAAGTCCTCGCTACGTGTGTAGACTGCCAGATGTTGCACCGCAAAGAGGCAGAGCTGCGCAACTACGGCTTCGCCCCTCCACGGCGAGAGATCTTTAGATCCTACGCGATCGACCACATCACAGACTTACCGGACGCAGGCGGATTCACATGCATCCTCCGGGTTGTCGAGGAGCTCATCGACTACATCTGGCTCATCCCCGTTGCGTCCACCAGCCATGAGGAAACAGGGAATGCGCTCGAGACACGAGTTTGGGCAGAAGTAGGCTGGCCGCTCAGAGTAAAAGGCGACGGCTTCTTCCGAGAAATGAAGCTACGCTTCGCGCGCCGTGGTGTTCACCTCGCCATTGGTCTCAAAGGAAACGCGCGTGGACAGTGGCAGGCAGAAAGACCAAACCGCGACGACACGCCGTCTATCCTCAAGACCTGCTGGAGAGCAAAAAGCAGCTGGCCGAGACTATGCGGGATGTTGCAGCTTCTCAGTCGCAACACACCACGTCCACGACTCGGAAACAAGAGTCCAGCGGAGTACGCCACTGGACAAAAGCTCCTCTTCCCAAACGGTCAGCTCGCAGACGCACTCAACCAACCGGAGACCAACGTATCGGCCGCTGCTGCAGCAGATATTCTTGCGGAGCTCGACGACATGCGAAAAGGACTCGCAGCACGACACGAGGACCAACACCGCGACGCGACACAGCAAGCACTCGCACGTCGAGGCGCGTTGAGCCACACGGATATCGCTGTCGGAGATCTAGTCGTCGAGCGCAGTGCCCACAAGAGCAAAAGGGCACTGGAGTACGGGCCAGACCGCGACGCGGTTTTTCAAGTCACGGACGTCATCCAAGGTGGCACGTTGAAGATCGTTGACACCCGCAAGATGAAGCATCTCATCGACGGCGAGATGGTAACAGTCAACGACGACACAGACCAGCAGGGCCTTTTGGGTGATGCAGCAAATGACATCCCAGAAAAGACAGTAGCAGCACGGTTCTACATCAAGTGTCACACGCCTCGCACGCTAGTCATCTTCGACCAGCCAAAGCTGTTGATGGACGGAGCGCATGAATGTTGGGGAGTGAACCTGTTAACTGGCAAGCTCATAGTACGCGAAGCAGTCGATGCAGCAATCGACAACAGCAAGAAAAGAGCCAAGGCGAAGCGAAAGCACGTCTACCGGGAGACCCTTCTTCCGCAAGAAGCTTACAAGCCGCCTTTCTTTTCTGTTTTGGACTTCTAAAAATCGAGAGTGACGAATCGCCTGCCGAGCTTGCGGCAACAGTGATTCATCTTGCTGAGCCTGCGGCAATGCAGAACCCGTTATCCTTCCCCCAACGGATTCAGGTCGTGTAATAACCGAGTTTCAAGATTTCAAAGCCGGCTCTTTTCGACACGAACACGGCACAAAGAAAACGAAAACCCCCGAAGCGAGACCGCTTATAAAAGGTGATCTCAGTGTTAGTTTTTCCACACTCCGCAGATGCTCTTATTGTGCAGAAACTGCTACAGGTATTTCTTTCCAAGCATCGGATGCGAGTTTCAAGACTGAAGTTGCATATTTATTATCGGAAGTCGGTCCATTTTGCGAAATTTTTCTACGAAGTAGCAGCTATCCCTCTCGAGTTTCAAGACCGGCATGCCCGTTATCAGAAGCGACCCGAGTCGAGCAAAAAGCAACAAGAGCCGAAGCACATTCAGCGTTTTTACCTTCAAGTTCAGCGGAACAAGCAGTGAGTCCGCAACCTTTACAGAGCGAGTTTTTCGGCAACGCAAGACTTAGCTCAACAAGTACAAACTTCAACTTCTACAGCCGATGGCGAGCAAGCGCCATCAAGTAAGGTCTTCGCGAAGCGGGTGCATTTGCCAAAAGACAGCCCGCGCACGCTTCCCAAGACGGAAGCAAAAGCAAAGCTGCTGAGCAAATACAGCCGAAGCCAGTCTTCTCATAAACTCGCAGCAGTCAGCCCTGTTTTCTTTTCAGCAGCTAGTGCAGTTTTCTTCTCCAGCCCTTGTGGGACAAGGCCAACAAGACAAAGTAGAAAGCCAAGCACGTCTTCTACTTCTTTTCCCTCTTTTCCGCTCCCGTTGGCACGAAGCTAAGCAGCCTGCTGGCCTAAAAAAAGTGGCAACGGGGGGATGTACGTGCGAGGAGCACGACAGCACGACTGTGACTTGCAGCATATAGTCCGTTATAGATCCACGCGAAAGAACATTCAGAATCATGAATCAAGTCGCTTTCCTTTCTTCCTTGTGACTGTTTGACAGAGTTCCCAAGACAATACAAGACGAAGATGTTTTGAGCTTGAATAAAGGTTACGACTTGAAACAAGAAGCATCAAGACAGAGCTTAAGTGAAGAAGCAGAAGGTTCCAACACGAGAAGCACAAGACGCGAGCGATTCTAAGAGAATCAAGACTAGAATCCTTCTTGAGGCGATTCCTCCTGAAAGAATAATCATGGATGAGAATTTGACGGACGTTTAGACCGACTTAGTTGACTTGCACGGAAAGAAAGTTTGGCCAAGTTTTGTACAAGTTACAGTTTGAGTCGCTAGTCGACGACAGTGCATTGCACTGGGCTAACCAACAACAACAACAACACCGCTTCCTTGCAGCTAGCAAGCAGTTTACAGAAAGTTCTGCACTCAAGTGCAGTTACAAAAAGTTGAGGTCCGTAGCCAGAGCGCATTTTGTCACTTTCTCGAAGTTGTAATCGAGAGTCGTGTGTAACACTTGGTGTGTGTAGTTTTGTGTGGTGGTCCTTACTTTGGGAGGGGGAATGTAGGCAAGATCAAGATCAACCAAGACACTGATCGAGTTTGTGACGAATCACCATAAGGATCCACCTGGGTCCCTATGTTGCTGGTTCTGATTTCAGTCGTTCCCGCCTATGTTCCTGGTCCTTCGTATGTTCCTCCCATGGTATGAAGATCCCCACCAGAATGACAAACCGCACCAAGGTCCCAACGGTTCCCAGGTTCCAAGGTTCCCCGAGTAGTTTCATCATCATCATCATCATCCTAGGAGTAGTCACCATCTTCATGCGTATCCTAGTGGTAATCGTGTGATCTTTCTCACCCGCAGGCTGGTAATAGTGACCCGAGTAATTTCCCTGACTTTCATGCGTGTGGTAGTGGTTTCCAGTGTGTTCATTCTAGTGGTGTAAATGTTTGGTCGGTATTCAGTCGGTGGACATTGCTAACAATTTTTCAAGCCCCCGCGTTAACCTATGAGGGATTCATGATAGGTGTATTCCGTCTACCGCCTAGAACATGACAAACAGATACATCGTCCACGAGCGGGACACCCATCTTTTAGGATGGATTCGCACCTTCTCCAGGCTCTGCATGACTCTCCGCTCAGTATTACGCTACCACGTAGTGGTTTGCCTTCCACGTCTCCTCAAGGTTTCGTTTCGCAACCAAATCAATGAGAGCGGCAGCACTTCTAGCTGCAAACCAACGCGAGAAAAATGACAAGCCAACTCGTCACTCGCTTGTGACTCTGTCATGCTGTAGATGCCAAAATCTAGACTCTTCTACCTCTAGATAGATCACCCAGTTTTCTTCGACAAATCCACCTTATATTATACGAGTGGCTGGAGTGACTTGCTCAGAATGAACAGCGTTGCCACCAAGGTCACGCCTAGGTTACCTTCGTCTGAAGAGTTCATTCTCCCTCTGTGGAGGCTGAGCCGCGAATGGCGCGAGCGCTCCCTCTTTTCGTTTCATGACAGGCCTAGCCTGGTCGGAATCGTCCAGGACAAACTTGAGAAATGCTCGCAGCGTGTGTGCTCTTTCCCGCAATCTCTTATCCGCGTCGTCAGATGCGGATGCTGACCACAGATGAACTGGATTTGCGTATTCAGGCAGATTCACACTGTGCATTTGGATCTACTACGATGGCTTGGCTTTTGATCTTCTTGTTATCCGTAGGGAAGTTCTAAAACTATGTTGGACGATGTCATCCGTGATCTTGTTCGTTCTTCCATGTAGTTTTAGAGGAACTAATGAAACTTACCTAGCGGAGGATCATCTCTGTACTTTTAGATGGGGAGAGGCTGACTGTTTCGAGTACTTCTTCATGCCTATTAGAAAGATTGACTTTTCGCTACAACTCTGTCGCACTCTGTCGTGTACTAAAGCCTGTCCGCGTGTACTAGAGCCTCACGTCATACCAGATAGGTGGCTGAATGGTTGAAGGTTTGACCAAGATCTTTCCATTTATTACTAGAATCATTTCCGGCACCACTTGTATTATTCAGAGTCAGCTTCTCATGTTTTAGGCGATTGGGGACTTTCATGCTGAGTCAAGCTCTCACGCTGGGTAAAGCTCGCATGCTGGGTCGTGAAGATTCGGGGCGCATTCATCGGGTTCGGGTTACGAACACAGTACTATAATGATGAAGTGGAAGTGGAGCTCCTCTGTTGCTGAATTCTATGTAGAAGTGTCCATCTTCATGCACAACGTCCTTCACTGTAGAAGTCAGTGCTCAGTGAGAAAGTGTTTATCTTCACGCACAACATGCTTCTATGAAGAAGCGCATGCTCTTCTTGTTCTTCAATTATGAAGAGGCGTTCCTCGTCAAAGAAGATAAGCATGCCCCTTCTATCAGAAAGTCGCGCTTGCTCTTCAACGAAGATGCTTTCATCAAAGGGCATGCCTCTATGAAGAAGTCTAGATGCTAGGATGTTGCAATCACAAATTCTCGCCAATTTATTGTGGATGAGTAAGCTGCTCCTCCTATGTTGAAGCGCCTCTACCTGAACCTGGTCGCAATCAATAATTATCAGGTTTCTTTAGTGCAATTCGGATTCATTGTGTAGAAAATGATAAGCAAACAGACCAACGCCTAGGCCACTGAATTCATCAGAAAAAGTTTGCTCTTCAAAATCACATGACTGAGTCAACATATGAAGTCTTCTTTGCGTCTTAAATCCGATGTTAAAGGAGTGCCCTTCGTTCTTCGTGGTTGCAATCAATTAGTTTTAGCGCCGTCCATTCTTGTTGAGTAATTTGCTGTCCATATTGATTCTCCGGCAGCAAGGTGTCTCCTTTACAAATTTTCCAAAACATTCTCAAACTCATCTGACATCATCTGCATTACCTTCTGTAGTCATCCTGCAAATGCATACTTATCTCTACAACCTCGCAGATCTAGTGCTGGAATCCATAAGCCTCCCTGTGCTTGTGCAGAAGTCTTAGCTATAGCTGCCTCTTGATCTTCATATTCGTCCTCGGCAACATATTGACCACGGCGATTCATCATCTAGATCTAATGATGCCAAAACTTCAAAAAAAGGGCACTAGCTCCCAAAAACCTATCCGAAAATAAGTTGTTGAACCTTAGATAGTCAAGAATCTTATTTGCATGAGATGAAAAGAATCCTCATACAGGACTGAGACGAGTGCAGCGAGAGGACATTTTCATTTTTTTCCTGTTTGGTGTTGTTTGTGTTGAAACCTATCCAAAAATAAATCTCCTCAAAAACATTTCAAAAAGAGGCTCTTCGTCGCCTTTTGGTCGTCCGATAAACCTTATATCATAAGCATTACTATAACACGAAATGAAATATAAGACTCATATATCAAGCGTCAAACTATTATCGTTATCGAGAACTGTCGCAGAATACAAAACTTCTTTTAAGTGAATACTTAGTTAGTAAAATAGATAGTTAACTAGATAGTTTAGTTTCTAGCTAGAGAAGGGAGTCCAAGAGCGTGCAGACGGATCGATGGGCTCGAAGGTCTAGGGCAAGCCACAGGCATCAGAACGACCGCAAAAGACTATGAGTTTGAAGCTCTTTGGATGAAAAAAGTCGGCTTCAAGGCTTTCGGATCCAGGTGGATCCGCAAGCCTCATTTTGGACTTATTTCATGGAAAGAGCTTCAACCGCCAGCCTTTCTGCGACTTCTTCATAGCCTGTGGCAAGCCCTACATTGACGAACCCACCGACGGCATCTGCAGCTCTTGGACTCCTTTCCCTAGCTAGTTTAATGCTACCTACTTAACTATCTAGGTTAACTATTTATTACATTAACAAAATGGTCCTTTTAGTAGCCTGCCAGTTTACGATAACGATAATAGTTTTACGTTCGATATCATATCTGTGGTCCTCTGACAAAAATCCTATCAAAATATTCTCACGAGGCTAGCTTCTGTCGTGACCCTCTGAGCGTGGTCTGACGAACCTCTAGTACAACAATTGTCGTGATTTGGTCTATTCATCCCCGAATTCATCCCTGAAATTTCTGTTTGTAGTTGTTGTAGCATGTAGCACCAACCTCAAAGGAGTTGGTTGCTTCACTTCGACAGCATCTGAATCTGAGTCATCCCTTCTTACACAAAAACCAGATAAGAACGGCAGAAGATATAGCCAAAAGAGCCGTAACAAAGGACAATTTTCCACCAAGCAAAGGCTCAACCAGTCTTGTTGTTCGCATTTTGTCGAGGACCTCCGATAGTGTTAGAAGTGGTAGTGCTACTGACCGCAGTATCAAGTAGTTGCGAAGCTTCTAGTCATTGCGAGGATTTTTGTCCTCGTGGTAAAGCAGCTTGAGCTTGCGCAGGTCGTTGACCTTGCGAAGGTAGTGGACCTTGAGACGAAGGATCTGGCACTTGGCGAGACAGCTCGACTTCTGAGAGTGGCTTGCGAAACAACACCGGAGACAGAGGACCACCACGCGGCACGACAGGTACTATGGGATACATGGGGCCGGATCGTCTAGTGCTCATAGCCAGGACACTTTCAGTTGCATGTTCCTCAAGTCTCCGTTGTGTCTGTTCGTGAAGTATCTGCTTCATTTCTTGAAACATCTGCTCTATTGATGCCAGACACTGCCCATTCGCATTGGAAGTGGAAGAAGCCTGTGGCATCATCGTCTTCAAAAACACTGCCCGGTTCCATTTGTCTTTTGGGGTATTATGGTCGGTCCACGTTTTAAGATTGGTGGACCCTAGACGAGTCCACGCATCCGAAACTTCTTGCAGCTCTTTGTAGTTGTTGTTGTTGTTCCAGTCTGCATAAAAAGGCCCCTCGTAGATTGCCTTGCTCGTTACTTCGTGCCAGTGGTCCTGCGCAACCTTCTTTGCCAATCGAGACAGCCTCAGCTTGTCATCTGTTACGACAGCGGTCGCCATGTTGGAGAGTGCTGTCCTATAAGTGTATAGACGACGAAGGCCGCACCAGCAAGGGACCCGTCCACAACTACGGTGACCGAGGTTGTCTCGCCGCGTGGCTTGTAGGTGCACTCCGCTTTCTCGATCCCTGTGACGTATTTCTGGAATTCGTCTTCCCCCAAAGCGGAAAAGACAGACTTTCCCATTTGCGAAATCAACTTGGCCGCCTTGTTTGCCTTTGTATTCAACTCGCTTTTTTCCGTTGTAGACGCCGCAATGCCGACTGTAGCATGGAAGCTCACAGCCACCGACTCAATCGCTGTAGGTTTCGACACCAACCTGAAAGCATCCCTCGACTTTTCGTTTTCTACGACTACTGGCTTCGGATGTGGCTTCAACTGTGCGAGAATATTTTTGAGAATGTATTGTGAATCAGGCTTGCTGGTGAAGTCGGCCTTCACCTTGTACCAAGCCGGGAAATCGAAAAGCATCTTCGAAGCATGTTTCTCAAACTCTTGCAGAAGTTTTCGAAACTCTTCCACGTGCTCATCATCTGCAGCCACCGGAGCACAGGCGGCGGACGATTCGTTCTGCTGCAACGCCTCAAAACCGTGCTTCAAAAACCAAGCCTGTTTCTTTTTGTCTTCATCTTCTGGGGTAGCGTTCGAGAAATCTGTTGAATAACTTGACGTCTGATCGCCCGCCAGCTGACTATACCAATCTTCTGCAGCTTTTCTAAGTGCATTGGCCTTGCCGTTCCCCGTTGCATAAGAGGATCCTTTAAAGATTGCCTTTCGGGTCAGGTCACCTCCTTCCAATGGGAGTTGACAACTTTTTTCGCCCATTGGGGCAATTGCGCCGATGTTGTTTGTACGTACTGACCGCATAAATTTCCCCGCGATTTTGAAAAGCGCCTTTTTGGCAATTACGAGGGCGAACACGGTACGAGTATATGTTGTATCTACCTCTACATGTTTGTCAGTTGGCGGCGCTCCTGCCTTTGTGGTTCTTTGAATGTAATTCGCTGCGCAAGGCTGTGTCACGTATTTCTTGTAGCACTTGCTGGTAAGCACTTCTGCGAGAGGAAGGGACTTACCATCATGATGACGCCGATACTTTCTCGCAACGCTTTTGGCGGCATCGGTTTTCACGTCGACACTCAATGTTCAAACAACTGCTATCTTCGTAGGTGCAGGAAAAGAAAAAGGTCCGAAAAAAATAATGTATGGGTGATCTATAATTAACTCCTTAATAAAACATCAATGGACGTAGATGCAATATTGCACCGTAGTACTCTTTTCGTACGTCTGACGTTGGCGTGGGCTGGTCTTGTAGATTTCTGAACAAGGGAGCTTCTAGTTCTAGATCTAGTGTAGGGTAGCGTACGAATCACACAAGTAAAACGAGCGGGGTGATGTTGATGATGTGGTGCCAAAAAAAGAAGATGAGTGTAAGTCTAAATGTAGTATTTCGAATTCAAATAAGTAATCATAGCGATAACTTGGATTTATACCATATATTAACGATAGAAGTCACCTTTATTCTTCTACCTAGCAGAAGTAGACGCTCTTGGGCGGGAATCGTTGAGGCAAAAACATTGGAAGTGGAGGGATGACGGGAAGATGAACTAAGCATCAACATAAAGTGTCAACAACTATGAGCAACTACATCAAGATCGTGACGCACTCCCCTAGACATGGAGACCTTCGCTTTCTCGTGTTATAATCAATAGGATCTTCATACTAGTTACAACAATATTACTTCTCCTCTGTATATGAGTCATATAGTCTAGGATCTTTTGGATCTATGTATCTAGGTTTTTGACGATCCTCTCTGTTCTTTTGGCTCTCTGGTGTAGGTTCTTCAGGATCTTGCTGTTGAGGATATTGTTCTTGTTCATGTTCATGCCTTGATCATAGTATGAAGTAGAAACAAGAACAAACAACTAGCTACTTGATGAACTAGGAGGCACTGTTATAAAAATATTGTCCCAAGAAGAACAGGAATTTATCCTGACCGCCATGGACGTCGTATAAGCTTTGAAGCAGAGGAGGAGGACTCGGTGCTTGAACTTGATCTACAACAGTGTGCACCTATGTCGGCATAATTCATGGCTCTTTCCGTTCACTTCTTGCACTTGCTGAAGAGAGGCAGCGCTTTCCATTTCCGAAGGGGAAGGGCGACGGCGAAGTATCTAAATGAAACGAAAATGGAAATCCTCTTTGTCCTCCACTTTGAAAAATCAAAAAAAGGCTGCTCTTCTTGTAGGTACTTGAAGCACAAAAAACGTGAATAAAGGCTGCTGACTCTTCTACTTCTTCATGAACTAGTACTAGTTCACAACTTACTATGGATCTTGTGCTTGTTGTTGTACGCCTACGTACACCACAACTCTACTTTTTGCCCAACAGCATATATGTAGTGATGAGGTTGGTGTCTTGGTCGACTACAGGAACCCACCTCCCTTCTTACCGGTTTCTCCGCAACAATTCATCCTCCTCGTGAACGCTGCTAAGAAAGCGCAAGTGTTGAGCCTTTCACGCAAAGCTTCCGCTCTTGGCACAGCTTCCGCTTCTGCAAGATAAGAGAGGAAGAACATTTTCAGGGAGAGTACAGCTCAAGCATCTTCGTGCTCGACCTTGTACATATTCTTAGTGTAGTACGAACAAGAACAAGATTAGAATTGATCTTGCTTTGCGAAACAAATAGCAGTGCAGTCGTACAATTTCAAAAGATTGGAGAGCACGTGATGCCAAGTTGTCCCACTCCTAGTCCTACCTGGGAAGTTACTAACGCTTGACAAACGGAACTACAGCAACATTAATACTCATACTCAAGCAATAAGAGGAGCAACGATATTAGTAGATAGAAGTAGAAGCAGTAGTGTAGTATTATGAAAGAAGGGATAAGACTAAGATCTTATGAAAATAAAGGCAAGTAAAAGTTGTACTTAGTCTTCTTAGTACCGCTCTAACTCTGGAGGAGGTGGACGCGATCTGGCACAAGTAGCTAGTCGCTCTTTCATTTCACTGGATTTGGTGCTCCGCGTTACACTCTGTCCGTCGCCACGGCGCCTAGAACAAGAGAGGATAGTCGGGCTCAAACATTGCAAAAAAATAATTATTAACCTAGAAAAAATCACCGCCACAAAACTCCCCACCTACCCCGCGGGAGAGTCGTCCGCACCTCCCTCGAGGTCCTTGCCTATAGTCTCCAGGAGCGGCTTCCCGCCCTCCAGCCACAGTCCCGATAGTCTCCGACCGCTTTCTTGCGGAAAGTTACGAGAAGGTCCCCGGGCATACTTACAAAAAAGAAGCCGGAAAAACTCCCGACAGGGGTAAGGACGCAAGTTAGAGATAGAAGTCGGACGAGAGACATCTGACGACCGACGACACGAAACGCCACGGGCCTGACAAGCGAAAGCCGTCAGCCTGACGAAAGGCGTCGGCCTGTCGATAGCAGAAAGACCATAGACAGTCAGACGAAGAGCGCCAGCCTGACGAAAGCCGTCGGTCTTCCGAAAGGCTGACATCCATCCAGCAGGCGGCTCTTCTCTGACCGACGAAAGACGAAGAAGAGAGGCTCAGCGGTTGCAAGTAGAGAGACCCAGCAGGCGCGGCCATCCGTTGCTTTTTCTTGGCCCGTCCGGGTCCCCCTGCCCTCACTCTTGCCTACCACCGTGGGCGGGCTATAAGCGTTGGGCCCTGCGGGTCCTTAATATGCGTGTGCGGTGGTTCTCTTCCGGTTTTTTTGCTTGGACTGCCGTGAGAGTCTTGCAAATTCTGAAGAATTTGCGTGGCCCCCCAGTAGTCCAAAAGCAGCCCGCCCGCCTTCCCATGGGTCGACGTAGCTAAGCTCGCGAGTGCCAGCAGTCTCGCCACAGTCAATCCGTCGAGGCTCACTACCCAGCCCGCGGGCTGTCTCTAGCTGTAGCCCGTGGGCGAAAAAGTGGTAAACTTGGAGCCGGGCGAAGCTCCTTGTGGCTGCTAGTTATAATGTCGCAGTAGACACGCACAATGCTACTTGTATTTTCTGAAAATCAACACTATAAATATGATCAGCTAAATTCAAGCGAGCAAACAAGGCGATAGCCTCGTCCCGTGATCGGGTAATGCAAAGCTGGCCTGTAGAGCTCGCCACCGCAAAGTTGAGTTCATTCAAAGCAAATACGACAAAATTGGAAAAGGGGCTGTAGCTCCGTCCTACACTTGGGCTAGGACAAAAGGGTATGCAGAGCCGCTAGGAAAAATGTGTCTGTAGAGCCGCTCACCGCAGTCGCCAGTCAAAGCAAGCCCAACCAAATAGGAAAAGAGGCTAGTACGGCTCCGCCCATCACTTGAGGTAGGAAAAAAGAGCCACTCACCGCGATCGCATTTCTTCAAATTTAGCCCAACCCAAAAATTGGGGTACTCAAAGTCGATCTGTAGAGCCGCCCACCCCACCCTGAAATTGGGCTACTCAAAGTCGATCTGTAGATCCATAAATATTTTTAGTACTAGTTGACCCGGCAAGTATATGGCAGAGCGACTAGATGATTCAAGTTTATGGCGCAACGTCTAGATGATCCAAGTATATGGCGCAACGTCTAGATGATCCAAGTACTACATGGCAGAGCGTCTAGATGACCCGAGTCTATGGCACAACATCTACCTAGAACTAGATCCAAAGAAAAATCAAAATCTATTATGGCAACCCTAGACCGAATCATCCAAATATAAATTTCATGACTCGGGGAGTAGCACCTAATTTCGGCGGAAAAACTTCAGTCATATCAACCGGGGAGTTTTTACCTTCAAACATCGGAAACTAGAACCGTCCAGCCGAAACCAGACCAACAAGGTCCGAAGGGGCATGGCAGGGACCCCATGGACGGCGCTGCACACCCTAACAAGACGCCAAGGCTGCAGAGGGACCAAGATGCCGACGTCCCGCCCCGGTGAGCGTCAGCGCGCCACACGATAAAGAGTCCCCCCAGCATGTGGCCCTTAGCATAATCCCCGAACCCCAGTGCACACGACCAGCAGTCAGGACGGCGCGTACCCCTCCAGCAGCTACTCCCATTCCCCGAGCAAGCAGAAACAAGCGCGCTACGCCGCAAAGAAATTCAGCTCCCCAACCCTGGACGACAATGAGAGGCCGACTGCTACGCAAAGCGACCTTGGAAGAGCTAGCTTGAGCCCAACAATGGGCCGCCCATTGCATCCCGCACAAACACAGAACAGAGCCTGCGCCACCAACTTCCAAGCCCGAGGGAGGCACCCCCTCAACTCCGACAGTTGAATTCTCAGTCCCGCGCCTGCAAAAAGTCTGGCGTTCGAGCTCGAACGCCAGGACTTCAAAACCCCCGATGCCAGGCTCCTTAGATTTCTGAGAGGAGGCAAAAGTCTGGCGTTCGAGTCGAACGCCAGGGTGTTTTCCTGTCCACAGACCGAACGAGTGGCCCCTGCTGCGTCAGTGTTTGGACAGGAAAAACCTCTGGGGTTCCACTCGAACGCCAGACTTTTGAACAGTCCCAGAAATTGGCCATGGTCGTCGTCGAAGGTTCTCAAATCCTGGCGTTCGAGCTCGAACGCCAGACTTTTTTCAGTCTCAGAACTGAGATTTTCCTGAGACTTGCCGCTCCCCTGCTGGTCACGGCTTAGGCAAATCGACCCCAAGGCCTGGGGTGCGGGGCAGCACCCTGTGGCTGTCTGCGTGCCTCACGGCGCATCCACGTATCCACCCCGGCGCGAAGGAGCACTGCACGGCCACCCCGTCCGGCCCATACCATGACCAGGCGCGTGCGCCACGCCGCGTGACACCGTCTACGCACCCGCCGCCGCCACACAATGGAACCGCCGCGCCAGGGGCAGCACGGGAGCCGGCGCACCGGTCCAGCACAAGGGCGCCGCTACAGACGCGGCCCGGCGCGTGTCAATCGAGGCCGGCGGAGGTTCGTTGAGTTGGGGGATGGGCAGCACCCCCCAAAAGTCAACCCTACCGCGGGGCGCCCGCGTTGTAGTTCTAGCGATTGCGCACACCCTCAGCCCGGTTGGACAGCGCGAGCAAAGTGGAAGGCAGTGGCCTGACTCCAGCGGGCGCGTAGATGCGTCGCGCTGTCGCCATTATTCGCCTAGTAGACACTACTGAAGTTTTTCCGCCGACGAAACGTTCTAGGAACACAAGTCATGATAAATTTATTGTGGCAAATCTAGACCGAATCCAGAAGAACCCTACTCCGAATCCGTATCCCCCATGCTAACTTAGTTACCCAGTACTTACGTGATACCTCCTTTTGGCACTGCCGTTGCGAAGGCCAGAGTTCCGACTGAAAAGGGGTGCCGATTTGTCTGCTGCAAGACCAACATCAGACGATCTCGCCACTGACAAGCCAACAGGTGTATGCGACGAGTTCTTTCCATTGTCTTCAAGACGATCATCAAGACGAGACGCTTTCCGAAGATGGTGAGACGATGCGTTGAAAGATCCACTGGCACTGGGTTTAGAAGGCTGACTGTGACTGATGAAAAAACGTTGATGATTCAAATGCTGCAGGCAAAAATGTCAGTGATGATGATAAGCAAAAACGTATGTAGAAAAAGTGCTCCATGGATCTTCCTGATATAGAATAATCTTTGATGAACATAAAAACAAATGTAGAAACTGGACTAGTATCACATGTTAAACATAAAGTAGAGAGTTTCGCGCTTTCCGGATCTCTGAAATGCATGGGATGGATTGCATGCATGGCAATGGATGGCACTATTTAGAACTAAGATTTTTCTTTCGGGGCGCCCGAGGGCGCCATCGTCCGCACTCACTGTAGTCAAGTTTCACCTTCCAGCAGCTTGGGCACAAGCAACTTCGAAGCATTCGCATCCGGGCGCAGCATACGCAGGCTACAGTCAGAACACCCCCCCCCAGAGACCACCTCCCCAACGCCGGCAACGCAGGGGACCATAGAGACGCGCCGTAGCCTGTGCACGCAAGAAAACTAGCGCACTTGCCGCGTGCAGTCCAAGGCTAGACTGAAAGTCAGACGCCACTGCATTCCTGTTGCTTCTAATGCGGGCCCATAGCGAAAAAGTATAAGCATCAATATACTGCAAGCACACTGGTCGCAAGCATGGCAATGCCATCCCGGGGGGCAGTGGGGGGCTCCATAACCTAACGCCCTAGGCACTTACGCCCATCAACCACTACGCACTTACTTAGGGGCCCGGCTTCTATCTAGCTGCGAATATCTAGGCTAGTTCGCTGGCATCTCCAACGCGGCCAGGCGTTAGGCGCTCTGCGTCCTCCCTGCAGCCAGCTCGAACCGAAAGGGAGCCCACGCGCGGCCTCACCCCTACGAGAAACGGCCCCCCTATCCGCGGGCGGGCAATGCAAAACGAGATAAGCAAGGCAACGGCCCTCCCGTGGCCTTGTCAGGCGGGGCGCTGCGTTCAAGCAGAGAAGTGGGCGCTTCCCCTTTAAAAAGGTCACGCCTTCGCTCCGCCTGGCCATGCCATCCATGCAATGCATTGCAATCCATGCCAGCCATCATCCATCTTAGGAAGTGCTCTAATAAAGATAAACTACTTTCACCAAACAAAGCTACTTACAATCCTTTTCACCGAAAGAGTGGCCACCACCTCCAACTCATAATCATATCCCTTACAATATTACTTGAATCTTCACAAAGCAAATCCAACTCCTAGTGCCAAAACCTTTCATGTCTAAGGTTCGAACTAAGTGGGGAGATTATAAATGAAAGACACGATCCTGTTGCCGTGATCGGCACCGGCATCCCGACGACTGACAAGTCGTCCCGTTCGCAGAACGTGCAATCGCGCCCCGCAAAGGCAGAACACCGGCACAAAACAAAGGTGGGACGCTGCTCAGACCTAGGTGGCTGGTCCCTTCGATCGTGACATTCATAAATAATCTCAATTACATGCGCATAATAACAAGAAAACAAAATAAAAGCTCAGATGTCAACAACTGGAATAATATTTATGCACAAAACCACTTACACAACAAGCATTGAATATTACACAAGTTCAGCGAAAAAAATTTAAGTTCTCCAATGTTCAGGACGTTGATCATTAGGAGGAAGAAACTCCTCCATGAAAAGACGGATATCCGCGATCGCGTCATCAATCGAATTCTGCCGAGCTGTAAGCTCCCTGGCATGCACCATCACCATATCGCCAATCATTTTCATGAACTTACTGATTTGAATTACAAAGAGAACAACGAAGAAAACAAAGAGTGACTGAAATACAGGGCCGGATATAACCCTCTCATCATATGAAGATACGAGATCCATCATTTCTTTTTACAATTATCAAAGATAGAAGTTTAAGAGGGCACCAACACAAGATACAAGAGAAAAACAGTTCTAAACACCAACTAGCTCAATTTCATCATCAGCAAAGCAATCTTCATCTAATTCACATTCCGACAATTGATCAGATTCGCCATTACTAATCACTTCAATTTCGTTATCCACATCAACTTGGTTCTTCGCTACAAGATCCATTCCTGTGGTCTCTAACTTCTTCAACGAGACATAACGACGCCACGCGTCGCTATTCGAACTCCAGCTTCCAGCACACAAAATGTCAGACAGCGTTCCACCTGAAGACGCGATAGCACTAGCTCCGCCACGCCGGAGCGAATGTGTCCCAAACGAGCCCGGTTCGGAAAACCTACGAGCCGAATACTGAATAGCCCATAAGGCTTTCGCATACGAAGTGCGCGGAAAAAGCGAAGCGCCAGGAGGTTTTCGGCTGAAGAAGCGGTCCCACAGGACACAGACGGGGCAGAAATCGCGAGCCCACACGGCGTTGTCATAATCTTTGTCCAGCGGACGATCAAAGGTCTTGTCAGTAAGCCTATTTTTAAACGTCAAACAAGTGCAACTTCTTGTAACCACATCACCTTCTAACTTATTTTTACGACTGCGCAAACGGATAGAAACAGTACGCTCTTTCTCATTTAACCACACTGCTGAGTGATCCAACAGCTTCTTTTTCAAGTTCTTCTGCACATCGTCCTGGATCTTGCATAATGGAATTCCTTCGTCTCCACACCTAAGAAGAAAAACCCAGCACATGACGAAGATGTGTTTGTATTCTACCGGAAACTTCTTCATTCCAAGGATTTTGTTAAGGAATTCCGCTGAGATTGCATCTTTCGCATTACTAACCGGCTGATGCCGTTTGATTCCTCTAGATATAGTCGAAGATTGCACCTCATCCGGATACTTAACATGAAGAATAGCAGCGATCTTGCGCAGGGCCGATCTAGCTGCGTTCATAGTTGAAGCTCGATTATAGAGACTCAAAAAATCTTCAATCTTACACGTGGTGTAGGGAAAAGCTTTTTCTCCTCTTGATGAACACAAATTTAGATAAGACTTGAAGAAACTAAGATAGGAATCCCATGTTTTAAGCGCTTCGCCTTTTACTCTAGCGGTGTTAGCTGCTAGAATATTGCGCGCCTTCGCGGGTCCATAGCTGGCCATCAGCTGAATTTTGTTCTGAACCGAGAGCGAAGTATCTAGAACTGCGCTTTTCTTCAGTGACTCAATAAATTTCTTCAAGCGATCAAATAAAACTTCGTTATTCTGCGCCTGCATCACCTCAGCAGGCGTTATCTGAGTAGATCCAAATTGTTGCAAAGTCAACCTATCATGCACACTGTGGAATAATCCACCAACAACCCTAATAACATTCGCACGTGCTGAAGAAGATGACGATGAACTAGTTGATGGAAAACTACTAGATTTAACAGAAGACGATCCATTTTGAACAACTTTATCTTTTCCAACAATCGAAGTAGATGAACCTAGCGACAGTGCTGCCTCTAGCGGCCGTCGTATAACAACCCCTCCAAGCGATGCACTATCAGTATGAATAATTCTAGAAGATAATTCTAAATCACTACGTCGCACTTCGTTACTAACTACCGCCGCAGCGGACACATTCGTGCTAGGGACTTGAAACACCCACATCTCTCAATCCTACGATTATTTGTGAGAGGGAAGGACATTTCTCTCTGAAGACATCTACTTCCACGACTGAAACCAAGAAAACTCCTAGAAGCAGCATAAACGTTATTTTTAAAAAATTTTTAACTACTAACCACGATTCTCTTCTCTCGACTCGTGTGAAACGTAAAAGCGAATACTCCACATTCTACTCGACCTAAATTTTCAGAAACGACAAAGATGTTAATCGATCTCGAAACGAAAACTAAATCAAGACGATAGCTTCAACACTCACTCTTTCTTAGCTTCTTCAGTAGCAGACTCAGTTGCCGAGGAAGAGCCCGATGCGAATTCAACATCGAGATCCCAGTCATACAAAACTTTCGAAAACTTCTTCAATTCTTCACACAAGTCGCGAGTAGCTGGTAAAACATGCTGAAACTTACAACCTTCTTTTCCACAGTTAACACCTCTACTTCCTCTTCCTTGCTTCAACCAAGTGAAGCAATAGCGCGGACCTTTCCCAGCTCCTTTCTTCTCCGGCGAGCCGTACGGAGACGGACGCTCACGCTGGTACTCCTTCTTGTCCAATTCCTTCATTCGCGCCTCCAATTGAGCCGTCATCGCAGCAGATTTCGCGCTGTATTTTTAGATTCCGTTATATAAAACCTAAAACCTTTAGTAACGACAGAGAACATCACACAATTCGAAAGAAGCTACAAGCCACAAAGTCCATCTATCTACCTACTTTGATGCCACCTTATTCACTACGCTCTGCTTGCCATATTTCAAACTATTTGAATTTCAGTACTTCTTTCAACCAAAGCCAAAGAAGAGAACCGCTCCACGTATGTCTCGAGAGCTTCCTGGAAACCCAGCTGAAAGAACGTGGTGATCCGCTGATAATAGTTGAGGCCCCCGATCATATTTGTCCCCGCTAAACGCTGAATGTTCTTCGAATAAACCGCCTCCAAAGCCTTTTTCTTGATATCGTCAGAGACTTTGGCCAGATTCGGAGCCGCGAAAACCTAAAATTTTACAGACAAATAAGAATTATAAGAGGGGACACCTTTCGCGAATCAAGGTAAACTTTTCTTCTCATCCATCTACTCACGCTGACGTCTTTTATACCAAAAACAAAATTACTACCTGCAACAAATCCGCAACGACACGATGAGCAGCCATCACTTGCCCCAAATCGACTCCAGCAGGACGGGCGGGCTGACCATTCTCCTCGTCAGCTTCAATCGGAGGTAAGTACCCACCAAACAGGACAACTGCGACAGCATCTTTGCACACCAAATCCATGATCTTGTCAGCAGGGCCAAACTTGCGCTCGTGCAAAGACCCAAGTTGGCAAAACAACTCGATGTCACCGAGATCCTTCTGAGAGATATTCCCAACCAGGACTCCAAATTGCGTCTGGATAACTTCCTTAATCGCACGCACCTGAAATAATCAAAAAGGAAACAAAATGAAACAGAACTAATGTCAAAAAAAAAGAACAAAGTCTATACTTTTCCACAAAGAAAAACTCTATTTTTCTAACTTAGAGTCAACACTTGCCACAAAAGTCCATACCTTCACTGGGTCCGCCTTGTCGCGGATTTGCTCATCAATGAGCACCTGGAAGGCATTCGGTACTGCAGCAACCGCCATTTTGGAACAATATTCAACCTCACAAGGAGAGCCGCTACTTTCACCCACTAAAGATCACAAGCTAAAACCCACAATTTTTTTGGGGACAAATTAAAAGACTTTTCCCGTCTACTTTACCAAATACGTCACTATTCCAAATTCCTCTTCAATTCTAACACTCAGAACAAGTCGCCTCTTTCATTCATCACTTTACATTCTCAAAATTCCAAAGGATCAATCCATTCATTCATTTAGGACCTGCAAGCAAAATTTCAGCATTCTCAACATCGAATTTCATCATTTTCTCAACTGCTTCAAGCACTGATCCACCAACTAGATCTTCATCAAATTCAAAATTCTCCTTAAATAACTGAAACAATGGCTCTTTCGTCGGTAGGTCTGCTATATTGACCTCCGAAGGCACACGCCCCAAAACAGGAGAAATGCTCCTTTTACTACATTCAAGCCAAAATAAATACGCGGCCAACGCCATGTTACCCGTAGAACTATTCATTCTGTGCAAGGAACCTTCCGCAGACGAATTGTCTACTAAAACTTCAGCCCTTTTATCTTCAAGAAAACTCGACCATAACAAAATAGATACAATAGGAGCAAGAGATTCCAGAAAATTGATGGGGAACTTCGCCACTGAGTCGTGGAGTTGATCAGACTTGACGCGCATCCTCCACATGCGAACCCTCCCAAAGGATTCCGTCGACACGCGTTTTAAATCAACCAAAACACCACAAATTATTCCTGAACCTCTCCTCCAACTAGCGTCCGTGTATAGAACATATGAGACTGGCAACGCGGATAACTTCCTAGGTGGTGCTGTCCTCAATAAACCAGCACACGCATTCAAGCTAAGTTTCAGGCATTTAGATAATGAAAAATCCGCTGACGTCTGAAACATTCGCGTAAGAACTGGCCTCAAAAGAGGGTGCAACTTACGATCGCACATACTACAAAAAGCAAAACTAAACTTACCATATAAGGACGCTGCCTCTGTACATGACAGCGAACCTTTCCTCAACACTTCTTCAACTGCCTCTATATATGCTATTTTCCTATTTTCATGAATGGCGACTGCTGGCCGCCCCTGTAGTAGAAAAACAAGACCTAGCAACGTAATAGATTCATTTGACACCTCAACCTTCTCGGGCCTATATGCCCAACCCAGAGAATCAAACAATCTACACATTGCGCTAGATGCTTTACTTCCCAAAGAATTCTGTACAAAACTATGAAAATCGTCTATGAAAACGCTATTTGGAATGCGAAAGAGACCACGAATAATATTACTCAACAACTGAGCCACTCTCACCCAGCATACTACTGAATGCGTGTTACCAAAAACTAACGAAAGCGCACGAAATGCTACCCACCTATTCCGTGCTGTAGAAAAAACTGCTATGAAGTTTGAGGATTCCTGCGACTTAACAATGCCAATAGTCTTGTAAGCTTTCTCTATGTCTATAACGATCCCTTCTATTGGATCGCCTTTTTCTTCAACTAAAAGATCTGGATCAAATCCAGTCAACAATTCTTCATGGATATCAGAAAAGTCCACAAAAGGCTGCTTACCTTCACGATTCCGTTTCTTAGTATTGAAAAGAAAATGATCAACATACCTAGGATCAAGCTTAGTATGCGCCTGTAAGCGTGCCGTAGCAGAGGCCATAGCAAGCGCCTGCAAAGGCGTTGGAAGCGGGACCAATCTATTCAAAGAACAGCCCGAGTTAAAAACTCGAGCATCGTCAATCATCCTCCATTTATTCTTCTGAAATACTGCAAATCTCGGGACAAGGTGCGTCACCTCTGCCCCGAGTTCGCTTATCTCAAAAGGGCCTTCTAACAACCCGTCATCCACTTCTTTCAACGAAGTAAGCCAAATATTCTCGAGCACTGGGTCACCTAGATACCCTGGCTTAGGCCTAGTAAGAAACTTTGCCTTTTCACACCGCAAGATCATCCCGGCAACGGAGTCGTCTGCCTCTTTCGCCTTGCGAAATGGCCACGATTCCGGGCAAAAAACGTGTCCATCACACGTGCCCCCTTTAAGAATGAGGCTCCACGCCGTCGGATCTTCGGTGTGAAAAAGTCCGTTCAATCTCCGCAATAATTTCACGTTCTTAAAGCCCAAGACCCTGCTATCTTCGAAATCGATGGACCTCCAGTCACCTTCGAACGGTGCTGGAGCAAAGGACTCCGCTTCAAGTTCGTCTAACATCGCTAACCCTTCGTCAATCGTGCTAGAAGTAGGCTCACACCGACAAATTATCTCCAAATTTGCCGGGTCAATAACATACTCAGGAGCTCTCCTTCTCACGGCTGCGACATCGTTCAAAATCCTGGCAGTATAATCTTCTGCCGAACGAACGGCCCTCTTCAGGGCAGCTCTCTCAGCCTTGGTAGGCTTTACCATGATCATCTATTCTTCAACAATAGGAAACAACCTAAATGCTGATTTATTTTCCAAATCATCAACCACTTACTATTCTTTATTTTTCTAAAAAAAAAATGTCTCATGCACATTCTGCCATCAAAAGCAAAACATTCTTTTTCCTCCAGTTTGCTCAATTTCCTTTTTAATCTCGACACTCTCTTCCGACTCAAAAGAACCAGCAGAGCACATCGCTGGATATATACGCCTCCTCAAAAAGAACCATCGCCTTTTTCCAATAACCTTCGCTTTTCACACGTAAAATTTTCAAACACCGCATACAACTTTCCAACAACGCTAATCAACAAATATTCTGCGAAGGCAGTCAATCAACTCGTATCATGGCAAGGAGGCTTAGCTCCAGCGATCTGCTCTGCTGTCGGAAGGGTAACATCAGACCGCAGTCGTGATGCTGACGAGCCTTCTAAAAGCAAAGCGAATCGCCCCCGGAAGTGGGTGGGTGGGAAAAAAACAACAAATTAACACCTAACAACAAACAACCCAAAAAGGGAAGATAGAGCTTTGTATCGGGTCATTACACTCTAAGGCCCATTCAATGAAGCTCCAATAGGAGCTTAACAAAACTGTAATACAAAGGAACAACCACGCTCCAACTGGAGCTAAGCTTCGGGTGCTCTTCCTTGCCATGAACACCCTTTAAAACGAGTTTTAAAGGCTTAATTTCGTCAATTCCTCCATAACAATATATAGGCCAAAGGGGTAGAGCTGTTCTAGGTGTCTCGTGCTTGTACTCGGTCCATAAACCTAAGCCTATTTCGTCATAAGTCCAACCATAACAGTCGTAAGTCCTCCTGCTCGACTACGCTCAAAGGTGCGCCGTATCTGCTCTGCTTTAGCGAACTCGCTCTTTAATCGTTGCACTGCACTCAAAGGGTTTTCGCTCATTCTTGGAGATACACACGCAGAAGAACCCCTGGTGCCTGTAGAGGACGGCCCCCTTTTTGTAGTTGTATTAGAGTTACCGCGGTCGCATCTTCCTTGAGAGCATAGTCCCTGGGTGCTACTTCTTTTTCAAGTAGAAAAAGCGCCAGGGATGAAGCTGAGAGAGGATGGCTAGCCTTAACTGTAGAAGCAGTTCTATTATTCACTACCGTTGGAGATGGACAGGTGGAGGGTCCTCTTTTAATGGATGTTGAAGAAGTTCTGCCGCAGGTTGAGGATCGTGCTCCAGCATATAGCCCAGATGCTCCCGTATTTCGTGAAGATGTTGGCATTAGAAGCAAGGACTTTATCCAAAGACTAGAAAAGTGCTCTATAGTTAGCATACTGATGTAGAAGTAGTAGCACTAGTGGCACTAGTACAACTACCAGCGCTAGTCAACCATAGAAGTCTACCTAGTCTTGCGAAAAATCATGCGATGACACGAAGTCAAAGGACAATTTGGCCAGGGAGCTGCTCTCTCGTTCACTCATAAAAGTGATGGTCGCGGTCGCTGATGCCTTTGCGAGGAGCCTGAACTAGCTGCTCGTGACGAAGGAGCCTCGTTGTATTCGCTAGAAGGACGACGTGGACGCGGAGGTGAAGCATCTTTGTTGTTGTTCGCGTGCATTAATACCTTTAATTTGTTGATGTGGGCGTGGTGGAACGTTGATTCCGAATCTGAATCAAGAATGAATACTACAAATTAAAGTGTAGTAGAACTAGAAGGAGGATTGCCATTAGATGAATTACTACGTGATCGGTGAACGTACTAAACGTATCACAAGTAGGTTAGGTTAGATACATAGCTGATTAATATTATACCAATAAAACTTATCGATGAGAATGTGAGAAGACTTCTAAGACGTTTAAGATAGAATAAACACTACCTCGTCACGATGAGAGCGAGAAGAAGGCTTGAACGAAGCTCCCTCTGGTGAACCATTACCCGTGGGCAAAACTGGGGGTCGCCCGGGGCCTGTTTTCGGCCTCGGAGGAGCTGGCGGCTGCTCATCTATTACTCCTCGACTCTCCTGTTTGAGACTGTAACCCGCACGACGCCAAGAGTCGTCATATATGGGAATGGCTGCACCTGCTTTGACCTGAGAGGATGCCGCACTCGTTAACAAGCGCACACTTTCACTCACTTCATGATTTGCATTATGTAGCTCGGCGTTGCTGTGTGACCAGTAGGGTGGTTCCACTTGCTGTAGTTGGACGAGGTGTCTTGGCTCTTCGTCACATTCACCAAATTGATGACTTATCGGGCAACCATTCTTCGTCGAGTTGTTGTGTGAGTACGCTCCTCCGGTCTTCATGTTCATACAACTATTAATAGAAGAAGTGTCAACCGATCTTGTTTGAGTCAACGGGGAAAGCAGAAGAGCACTCGTTCCAGTGGTCGCAAGAATCTGTCGGTGTAGAGGCGGAGGGGATAACTGCCGAGGCGTAATACCAACGCGAAACTGGTTTTGATATGGAAAATGCTGCGCGTCCAGCTGTGCCTCAGGCGGAGCTAGAGTGGAAGTTGACGCGGGACTCATTGGCTGCTCTCCGGCATCTCCACCACCAGCAGTAGCTGCAGAAGCTTGTAAAAACTGGGAAGATCTGCTTGCGGAAGTTGTGCCCTGGCTAAAATTCTGATGCCGTAATCCTCTGACGTAGCAAGGCTGAGACAGCGTCACTACAAGACGAGGGCGAGAGAGAGCTTGGTGAATTTGAATTAGAGCAGCAAGCATCCAAGCATCAACTTGCACATGTAGTTCTAATTAAAGTTACATCAGTAGAACAATTAGTAAAAAGTGGTCTTCACAGAAGATATTACAACTATGGGCACAACTACGAGCAAGAGCAGAAGCATAGTCATGATTTGCTCTTTCCGTCGTGGTTATCATCTTCACGCTTAACCTCGAATTTGCTCTTTCCGTCGTGGTTATCATCTTCAAGCTTAAGCTCAAATTCGATGACGACCACACAGCAAACATTTTTACAGCTACAACATCAACGAAATCCTCATCAGACAGACAGCTTATGAAACATCTCATAGACTGGGACTCTGCTTCAAATCGTTCACGAGTTTATCCTTCATACTTGTAACTTGCGGCCGCACAAGATTGCCCAAACCTTTTTTCCGAAGACCTTCTTTTGCTAGTTGTTGCAGTTGGTCGAATTCTGCCAGAAGATGTGGTCCTTCTTCAGCAGAGGTAGTAGAATAAGAAGAAGACGCAACGACTCCACCTGGTGCGCTGCTAAGCTGATCTGCAGGGGGTGCAGTGGCGCCTGGTGTGCTCCTAGGTCGATCTGCAGAAAATGAAGATGATGGTTGGTGGTTTTGGTGGTTGTCATCCAGCGGAATCGAACGCTGCTCACCTAAGAACGGCGGTTCCTCGACGATGCGCTCCAAGGCTGTACCAGATGCAGAGTGATGAGATTAGTAGAAGACGCAGAAGGAGTATGCACTTGTAAATGTTGACGAGGATAAAATAGAGCAACACGCGGAGAACATGACGCGCTATTTTGTTTTCTAGACGAATAGGGCTGGATTCATAATAATCGACTAAGTGTCGACACTTTGACTCTCTCTCGAATCCCAGTAAGTCTTCTAATTTTAAGCTGCCCACCTTTCTTGATATAGGAATCTTAGGCATAGGCGGCTTCGCCATAATGATACGTCGTTGCTCTTGCTTCCCCCGGGGTTGCTCGTGGTGCAGGCAGAGGCTCGTCTCCGGGATTCGTGTTTGTTGGGGGTGTCTTTTCCTCATAGTCGCCTCGTTCTTTTACGTCGTTATAGCCTCCACTTGACCTAGCGGCCGACCGCATTTGAGGCACAGAATGACGAGCGCGAGCCCTAGTCATACTAGTACTATGATGCGCTTGAAGACATTGCGTAGCATTTGCTTGAAGAGGGCCAGGGCCTTGGTCTTCTTGATGAGTTTGATCTACTTGAGGCTCTTGCTCTTGTTGATGTGACGGAGATCTTCTTAATCTTCCACCCAGTCCGCGAGGACTCAAAGATACTGGCGACATAGATTTCAACATAGCGTGAACTGCACGAGGAATAGCTAGCGGCGATGCTCCTGTAGCCCTAGCCTTTGGCCTGTCCTTTAGGTTCTTGATGTTGGTGATGTCCGACCCATCTCCTCTTTGAAGATTGGGGCTCCTGTTCTCCTGCTGGCCTCTCTTGCTGACCTCGTCTACCTCTACCCGTCCAGCTTCCGTTGTACGAGTGCGCGTTCCTCCTACTTTCGATGCACGCGGATGCTCCTCGCATGATGAAGTCCTCCTCGTTTTTATCTGGAGGCCTTTCGCTACAGCTTTTTCTACAGCTTCTGCTTTTACAGCTTTCTTACGTGCTTCTTCTTCGTCTTCCTGTGACATACACCTTGCAACGACTCGAGGTTCGCGCGCAACAGTTTCTTCTACAAGCTGCGCCATGCCTCGTGGCTCCGGGAATCTAGGGGAGTGGGGTCTGCTGGATGCTTTTTTCGCCATAATATTGCGGGTTTCGGGATTGTTGTAGTTTTCCTTTTCGTCATCCTTCTTATTTGGCGAAGAAGACGAAGCTTTGATAGTGATGCTATCCTTCTGCCCTTGTACTACTTTTCCTGGCGCGACAGGTGATTGCATGGCTTTCATTCTAGGAGGGGACACAGTTGGCGAAGTTAGATCTTCCCAGTATCCATCTTGTGAAGTTTATCTTGAAGGGCCATCACGCGGCTTTGCCCTTCAAGAGGTGCGCCAAGATGCTTCTCAAAGTGGGAGACTCTCGAATGAAGCCTTAATGGGGGACGTGCATTAACGAACTCCTGTGCTGGAGATGCATGAAAGTCTTCCAACTCTAAGACGTCATCTTTCTGCTGGTGTGATATTATTTTCTTTACTACTGGCGTCAAACGGTCTGACTTGTCCAAGGTCTCGGAAACTTTGCGGGTGATAAGATGATCCAACGAACAAGACCCAGTCTGGTGCGCTAGTAGTCCAGGATTAGTCCGCTGCTTAGGCCTTACCGATATTCATCCTGAAGGGCATCTTGGTAGCCATTTCCCCTTACAAAAGCCTTCCAAGATGCCTATCAAGATGAATCTGAATTAAGGGAGGCCTTAATCTGTGCTAGTCCTGGCTGTGGCTGTGCTAGTTCTTGCACTTGTTTCGTTAGAAATGCAATTTTGTCTTCTAGAGCAGCGCACTTTGTCGCTGACGCATCGAGGACACTCTGCAACAAGGTGCGCAGGTCAGGTTGTTGGTGTTGGTGTTCTTGGAGGTGTCCTGTGCTGCAGCTACTATTAACATCCAGGCAGGCGGCTGCTCTTATTTTGTCATGCCCATGCCCTTTGTGTACTTCATCTACCTCACTTGAAAGACGAAGAGGAGCATGATCAGGTCGCTTTTCATCTTTTACCACTTCACCTTCTTCACCTCCCACGTCTTCTTCTTCATTCCTCTCAGTGCAACTATACTTGAGCTGATGCTCTACGCCTGCAGTTACACCTCGTTCTTTTGGTCCACCTAGCGGAAAAAAACTATCGACTACTCCCTCGAGGACATTGCCATGGCCATTAGCTGAATCCTCGGTCTCCCCAACTACAGGACTTTCGTCATTGGCCTCATCTTTAGAGGCTGCCACATTGATGCATTTCTCCGAACACACTTGACTTCTTTCCTGCTGGAAAATAAGCCAAAGACGGTCGTAGAGAATGCAATGAATGTCGAAGCCCTTAACATCTTCAGCACTATCTTGTTCGGGTTCTGCTAAAGAGGAGGACTCCCGAATCTTCAGCATGGCCTCCAAAGCTTTGCGGTGTGCTGGGCCGACACGGGATAACTGTTGCTGAGCTTGAATAGAAGTCTGCGATGAAGTCTGAGACTGAGACTGCATAGACGAGTGGGGCTGGGACATGGTGCCACTCCTATAAGGCTGAGAGGACGCACTATTCATAGACTTCGAATCTACAGGCTTAGCATGTTGGAGAAGGTTGGAGGCACTAGAACTCTTGTTGAAACATGCAGAAGCTGTTGGCGATACTTGTTGATGTGCAGCTAGTACAGGTGCGCGAGCAGTAGGATTGAGCTGCTCTTCTGGACCATCATGCTGTGGCGGTTTCGTGTAGTTCGCTGAAGTGCTAGCTCCTCCAGCATCTGACGCGAGCTCTGTTCTGGATACTTCCAAGCTAGTGGACTGAGTATGCGCGTCCTCTGGCTTACGACCAAGGGACATTCTTGCTGTCTCTCTACTAATTGCAGTTCCTCTTGGAGCCGTAAGAGCTGGCGCAGACGCGGCCTCACTTAATAGAGCGCAGCTTCTAGCTCTAGCAGGTGATGTAGTATCCGGCGCAGTGCAACTAGTAATAGGAAATCCTACTTCGACTACTTCACTGCCATGTAAATGCTTTTGCCGTTCCGTCTTCCAGGTATCACCCTCCAAGCTACCGCTTAGGCCGCGATCTTTTACGCAGAAGCTACGAGCTGCAACGCCAGGCCTACGACTAGCACACGCGCCCCCTTCGTCTGGCTGTTCATGCTCACGCGCAATAACGGCTGAGCAAGGAGGTGGAGAGAGTTGCGCAGCAGTAGGGCAGCTGCCTGCTTCGTCCTGGTATCGCTCTCGTTCATCTGCATTGTCGACTTCGCCAGCCCCTCCTTCAGGGTGATAGTTCTCTTCTTCAGCCGTGGTGCTGCCTGGAGAAGAGGCGCAAGCAGTTGTAGCAAGGCCACCGGCCTCTTTTTTTACTTTCTCTTTATTCCGCGTTCGGTCGTTTACAATAAAGGGATTGGAATCGAGCAAGCCAGTGCTGGCGATACTGCTGGTTATTTCGCTTGGTGGTCCTGGATCTTCCTTTGGTGGATCTTCGCTTCGTGGATCTTCCATTGGTGGACTTTGATTCTCCACCTCCTTGACCTTGACCGCGTGGTCTTGAATGTCATCCACATCATTTTCCTGTTGGCTTCCCTCATTCGATTCTGCTGGTGCCGCAGTGCGAGCTTCTTCTGAAGCTATTGTATGCGCGGCAATCGCATTCTCATTGTCGGCAGAAAAAGCTCCCCCAAAATGGCCACCAACTATCTCAAAAAGATTCTCGTCTCGGCCCGTTGTGCTCGTTGTAGTACTAGCAGTTGCTGCGTCTTTGCTCGAAGCTAACAGCGCGTCAAGGTTGCGCCGCGCGATGCAGGAATCATCCTCGTCGCCTACTTCACTCAAAGATGGGGGACGAGTCATAGCTTGACTACATTCCGCGCTCGCCGTTTCGTCGACTGGCATGATGTTGCTTTTTGTCTAGTTGTACGCTGTACCTAAAAAAGAAAAAGTCGCCAACAAAAAGCAAAGCCTTTCTTATGGCCTTCTACTTCTTCTATTTCATCCAATAAGCTGCTCACTCGAGCAAGAGCTTCGCGATCGTTTGGATGATGGAAGCGCTTGCGACTTACGTCTAGCCCTTCTCCTTGCTGTGTAGAAGTCCGCGACAGCCCCCGAATAAAGAAGTTAGTTAGTGGGCCTGAGCAAATGCAAAATAGCACGCTCCCCCCCTCCTTGTGGTCGTAGAAGGGGTGACGAATCTTCGTCGAAAAGATTCGCTCGCTTTCTCTCCACGTAGCCTCTGCCCCTAACTCACTCGCGCGAGGAGGTGAGAGTCTCACCACGGCAGCACTCAGTATTTCTCGTCGCAATTGTTTTATGAGTTTGAGGCCCACGCGCCTCAACCCCCCCCGCCAGTTGTTAATGGCTATTGACTATGTATAGAGGTATAGGGGGCGCATCTCACAGACCACCTGGCTTCCTTTTCCTTCATATTTTCTTGGTCTAGATGGCTTGTGAGATGCGTTTCCTACACTCGGAATATGTAGAAGCGCTGCGCCTGTGTTCGCTATCTGGTAGCTCAGTCCGTTCCTTTCGAAAGGGGGATAGGGTCTCTCGCGCCTACTTTCTATTGGCATTCCAGGTTCCGCTTTTGGTGGAGTCTTCTTATCCTCGAGCGAAGTGACAAAAACTGGAATTGGCGCGCGCGAACCTTTGGGCTCAGAATTCGGCCTGATCGCGTTTTTAGAAAATTCACGAGACTTCCGTCCTGCAAATGGGCCGGGAAAAAGCGAGACTGGCCCACAAGTCGGCCTGGAAAGAGCGAGACTGGCCCACGCAAAGCGTAGTGCTCGGAAACCGGCCTGCCCTCGTCTTTGCGAAATTTGCAGAACTACTCGCTCCCCTCTTCAAATTGGGCATGCCAAATAAATTGAGAGAAACTCGCTCTGCTACTAAAGCTAACAGCTTGGCCCTGCTCTGCCTCTGCCGAAATTTGTAGTACTAGTGACACGCATCCCGCTCCAATGGCTTTGGCTCTCGACTCTCGTGCTCGTGCCTGTGCCATCCATAGACAGTAGACACACTCTTTCTGTCACAGTTGAGAAAGGTGCAAAGCATCGCGGCGCACGATGTTCTCAAGGTCGTGTCTGGCTCTGATTTCAAAAATATTAAGTTGCAATCCGAATTTATTTAGACTCCGAAGATTCGCTCGGTGCTGCTAGGCATTACGTACGTCAAAAGTATCACCGGCAAGGAAGCTTTGCTATACAGCAAACACATCTCCGGGATTTCTCATTTGTCGACGCCTTTCCCTACTTTGAGTCTCTTGATGACAAAAAACCATCACGTTCGTCGGGCTACTTGAGGTAATCCATAGCTACTCCACTAGATGTGGGCGCTGAGATCTTCTCTAATCTTTAGACGCACACTTTTTACATCATTTGCATCCAACTCACGTCACTGCGATGATAAGACTTTATGTCCATGCTGCTTTGAGATGGAGTTAATTCAATTCGAATTGATGTCCCCGCTAGAAAATGCGTAGTAGTTAGATTTTTGCGAAAGTGTATGACAATGCTTATGAGAGGTGACCGAGCTCGTTTGACTTTGAGTAGGAGTATGTATCGAAATCAAATAAGACAAAGACTAGCACTAATGCCGCATGCTGATGCTTATGATCATCGACTGCGGCTGAGCGGTCCATACGCTTACATCACTCAGGTCGGCGACGTTGATAACTTCTACCCTCTTATCCCTCCATCTTCCCACCCTGCTCACCAGGAGCCACGTCGGGTGAAATTGCCTGCTTCACCCGATCCAAAAACCCAATCGAAGCCACTGTCTTGACCTTTGCTGCTCTGCTAGCGAGCTGCGGCTTCAGGAACTCTTGCAAATGTATGAATGGTGTCTATTCCATCTAGCCAGACCATCGAGCCCCCCTTTAACCTATGCAGTTTTAAGGGGCAAAGGTGCAGCCTCGATGGTCTGAAAGTGAAAGATGGAAAAAACGTCATCCATAAAATGGCCTTTCATCTCGCCAGATCTAAACGCTTCTACCCGTCGGTCCTTGGCGATCTGCTCTTCAGGGTCCTGCTCAGACTCAGCTTCAGATGAGAAAACTTCCGGAAGTTCGATCAAGGAAGGGGTTAGAAGAGGGGACGGAGTAGAGAAGAAGCAGAACTGAAGCAGTGTAATTTATGAGAGATGAAGAAAGTGAAGGCCATAGTCCTCGCTCTTGGGATTTCATTGGGGGCAGCGAGCTCCTGCTAGTAGTAGTATATGCTTTCGGAGTTACATGCTATTAAGCATGGACATCGTCTATGTCTACGGATCACATCACCACAAGCACATAGCAAAAGTCTAGGGTCATGCACCCCGAGGTCGTCGCTGTGCGCAGTACAATCATCGTCGTCGCCATCGGAGCATTGGTCTTCTTCTTCACCTTGATTGTCTCCTGGTTGCGAAGAGTTAGAGTAGTCTCTTCGCACCTTACCACTTTCTTTGACGTTTTTCTGCTGCACGTGCATGATATTGTTGCCATTCTCATCCACCGGGATGTCTGCTAAGCTCAGTTCTCTGCCCACGTTAGTCTTCTTTGGGTCGGGTGGTTAGAGCAAGAAAGGCAAAGGATAAAGCTGCTGCTGCTGATGATGAATGCATATGCGATCAATAAATATTGCAGAAGCAGAACTTTAAAAAAAAAGATACAACAGAGTTGACTAATAGTAATCGTCATCGATTCACCCTCCTGGCCCTTCCTTCCATAAGCACGCAACTCCGCTTCTTTTTTCTGTGAATCTTCTCTGCTCCTCAGATCCGCCAACGCTGTTGCGTTTAGCTTCTCCACTAGGAGCTGACGTCGCGAAACTTGCTGGTTTGCCGCAGCGCCATGCATATTGGGCACAGAGCCGACTGGACGCCTGTGATTCGTATGGCCAAAAGAACCATACGTCCGACTGGTGTATCTGCTATGACGTTCCTGGACCGGAGAGCGGGCCTGGGGCTTGGACTTGCTTGCCCCTGCGTCTTGAGGATTGGATGTGCCATCTGGTGACGATGTTGGGCTATTGCCTTTGCTTGGAGAGGTGCTCGAGTCTTGCTCTTTTTGGGATTGAGACTGATCTCCAGGCCCTCCTGCTTCTTGCTTTCCCTTTGCGCCTTTTCTTCCCTTTCCTCCATTTTTCTTTCGCCCACCTGGAGAGTCGGGGTCGTCACTGGCCGAATCGTAGTCGCTGGAGGATGCTCCTGCCTTCTTTGCAGCTGCTGTCGCTGCGAATTCCTCTAGCTTCTTCAGTTTCTCTTCTTGTTCTTGCTTTTTATGTGCCTTCCTTTCTTCTGGTGTTTTTCTCGCCTTCGTGTCTTTCTCCAAGTCCCTGCCAGCGCGGTGGTCTAAGAACTGTTTGATTCTTGCACTAGTTCTAGAGGCAGCGGGCATTAGCTTGACCACCTCCGCGTCTGCTTGTGGCAAGAGCAAGTCCTCAGCCTCTTGCTGCAAGTCCTTCTGGCGTTTGGCTTCCTCTTCTGCTTCGATTTTCTCCATGTACTTGTCGAAGGGGCGTAGCTTGACACGCTCTAAAGGCCACCCCATCTGCGTCAGCACTTTATGCAGTTGCCGACACCCGCTCTCACTGGGATAGACCAGCTCGCGCCCTGTGCCACTAACACGCAGATCTTGGCCGGGTGTCCCAGTCATCGCCGCTGCGGCTGAGCCGGGCAAATTTTCGCGAAACTTGCCTCCCATTTGATGCTCTCTGGTACCTAGCAGCAGTAAGCGAGGAGCTAGCCTGCGTTTCTTCCGAGGTTGGACAGATTTGACTGTTCCATCAGGATTGTAAGTGACGAGGTCTCCATTGGCGTTGCGAGAACGCAGGCGGCTAAAATCTTCGCCCGTTGAACTAATGTCGGAGTCAGAATAGCCATCGTCAGATCCCCACTCTTTGGATAAACGGCGAGGGGTTAGAAGATGCGAGAGATTTTGACTTTGAGTTCGTTCTTACCTCATACATACCACGGCTACAGCAGCGCATACTCCTGTCATGCACAACCGAAAACATTATATATAACATAGAGCCTCTCCTTCTACCTCAGACTTCACAGGAACTACGCGTCTACTCAGTCACGCCATGCATAGAGTCAATCTTCTTCCGATTGGATAAGCCTCCTTGCGGTCCTTATCGTCGTGCTCTGCCGCTACCTGAGCCTCGCCTTCAGCTGGTACGCCATTAGTCTGCTGTTCTCCTTCCTGAACTCCAGCTGCACAACTGTCTACAACAGCTTGCCCCGACGATGACGCGGGCGAGTTGGACTGGTCATTATTATCAGGACCAACGGTGCGGGCAATTTTATCTTCTTCCTGTGCAGCGGGTGCAGTAGAAGTTTGCTCAAACACTACGCGTTTCGGCTTGTACTTATCCACTCCAGCAACTTCTGGCTGTACTTTGTTTGCGTTATCTCCCTCACGCACGGCACCAAACCCAGTAGGACTCGTAGCCGGTTGGTCTTCAAAAACGGCAGGCCTCGCTCCTTGATGAAAAGCAGCACGCTGAAAAACAGTGGTCGTCTCAGTCGTCATCAGTAGACTCGCTGCTTGTGCTTTTTTGGCGTTCATCCTTCTGCGCTCTTCTTTCTGCTGAGCTCGTGCGCGCGTCTGATCCTCCACAGCCAGAAGATCCTCTATCTGCGTGACGAAGCGCTTGTCGTGACCACTGCCAGTTCCCCACTGGGCCCAATCTATGTCGCCTGATCGCATCTGCCCAAAGCCGTAGGGGAAGTGCTGCTTTTGGGAGATGTAATAGTCGACGAGGTCCATGGTGAGCGCCTCGAGAAGACAAGAGAGGTGGGGTTAGAGGAGGGCGAAGGGGTTCAGCCTATGTATTCCCTTTCAGTGTCAGTAGTGACTGTTGTAAGTACTTAGAATTAGTCATAGTAGTAGGGTGATAACCATTCCAAATGCCAGAAAGAGACGCCGAGGCTAAAAATCGCGGCAGCTGTTTTATCTGAAGCCGAGTGGGCTTCCGGCTCTTAGTGCTCCCCATACAAAACGAGTGGACCAACTCCGTCCTGCCATAATTCGCATTGATACTCTGCAATATTGGGTGTCTGCTTTTCGGGTCTTTGTGCTCTGCTAGTGCGATTCTTTCCGCTGCTGCTTTCTGCTCTCGCTGGATGATAGTGAGCCCGTCATCACTGCTCTCGTTAGAGGTCGGCTTTTGGTGTTCGTTTACGTTACCCCGCTCGCTATGCCTTTCCCCCTTGAGAAAGGCAAAACGAACGGCAACAAGAACGCCTTTGGCTTGCCCTTAATCTCACTCCCATGCTCAGGCTCATGGGCCATTGTCTGCATCTCCGCTAGAGACTTGACCTCCTTGCTGGCGTCCTGTTTTCGACGGGCGCTACCTCCCGTGACAGTGCTGGTTGGTGGATTAGAGACATTGACACGCATATGCCATATGGCTGGCGAACGATCATTTTCTAGAGCAGGTAGGATCAAGAACTACACTGCTATCATGTTTCTTTCACTACGACTAGACTCGCTACTCGATCATCGGTTAATCAACCTGAGAAAGCTCAATGTCAATGTGAGTGAGCTCGTTCTCGTTGTCGTATTATCAACAAGTTTATCATGAGCCTTAAGCGTCGCAGTGTTTGGTCGCTGCAGCAACGACGAAGGCGACCGCAGAAGCGCTAGCGTAGGACTGGGCGGCGATGTCTTCAGCTTGATGTACTGGCTGATCTGACTATGCAACCCATGCAATACTGGCGGTGGTTTCTTGTGCCGTTTCTTCCTACTATTAGCGCTAGTCTTATTTCAATCCTTCGTTGAGTGAGGTGCCCTGACTTCCCCTTATTTTCCCATGAAGCCACAGGGTGGAACCCCACTCAGCATGTATGATAGATACTCATACTCAGCATGGGATAGCGCAAAACCAAAACTAGCCTTAATACTAGGTATCTCGATCATGCACACGGCGTCTGCTGTCAAGCCGCTAACGTTAGACCTTCCCTCTATTCATCTTAAAGTGCATCTTTGACCGCTTTCCCCCTTGAAACTGCGGCAAAGATGCGTCTGAAGATGAATGCGCGGTGGCCTTAATAATGGTCCCGTCCTGCAGATCCGGCAAGAGCATGGCCAAAGCATACATCCCACCGTAACCTTCGCCGATGACACAACGCAAAGGTGTAGTAATCCCGAACTCTTCAAACAAACACAATCGCACTAATTTCACAGCATCTTAGAGCTTACTACAACCTTAATTCAAATTCATCTTCAAGAGCATCTCTGACGTGCCTTTCCCTTAGGAAGTGGAAAAGGTTCCAAGGGCAAGTGGATGCTTCTCAGCATGAATTAAGGGAAGCCTTAGGCATCGAAGAGGTTGATCTTCCCTGGTTGTATTCCCGCTGCGTTATTGGCGTCTGCGTTATTTTGCATGTTGCTCTTCTGTTGAACAACTTGAGTTCTTTGCTTTGCAGCAGCAGTTTTGGGACTGGATGGCACTGCAGTTGGAGTCCCTGGCGTCCTCGATAGGGCAGCCTTCTGCGCTTTCGGTGCTGGAAAGTCGAAGGGACCCAAAGGTGACTGGATCCAGTCCCAACCACCCTCATCGCACTCCATGGTCTGCGTGCCACGTGAATACGGATTGATCGCGACCGTGAAGTATTTGCTCTGCGTTGTGATCGTAATGGTTGTGCTGTGATCGTAAAAGTCAACTACAATTATGAGGAGAGACTTACAGTTTTGCAAAGAAAGGACATACTTCCGCACAAAACGACGCATCGACGAATTCGAGCCTAGCTATGTTGGATCAGTCTTCTTTTATGAATGTTACAGCGGGTGACCAATACCTTATCCACATATATCGGCGGCGGCCATGTGCTGGAGATGATCTGTTGATCCAGCAAGTGCAGGATCACATTGTTCTTCGCAGGGGCAAGCCGGCCCTGTGTCCTGTACTTGACGAAAGGACGACGTAGCATGGAGCCACCTTGAAGTTGAAAGTCGCCATCCAATGTCCACACTCCGTCTCGTAGGTGGTCTCCATTGCCGTCCCTGTCGGTAGACTCATCGCTACTACTGCTAGACGACGACATCTTGAGCTAGCCTAGTGGTGCTAGGCGAAGTAGAAGTAGCGGCAGAGCTACATCTTTCTTGAAGTCTATACTTGCTGGCGTTTTTTTACTTTGAGTCTGTATCAGAGTCTAGCTAAATGGATCAAAGTCAATGGCCCATTGCCATGTGACAATCGTCATCATTATCATATCGGTTGTCTTAAAACAGAAGCTGAAGCAGTGACCAACAAACAAGTCATTTCAGATATAAAGTAAAATGCGTAGGAAGAACGGAATCAGTTTGGCAAGCTGTGCACAACAAAGAGGGAGAAGAGGTTCACTCGTCAGCGTGAGGCTGCGTAGAACGTGAAAATGAAGACAGACGCGCGAAGATGCTTGCCGCTGTCTTGGAAGCCGATAAATATTACGTGTACCGAGATGACTATCCTCATCGGCTCCACTGACTGTAATCAGGATAATTAACCGAAGCCGCTTGCTTACAAATACAAACTTCTCTCCTTCTAGTAGTTTTACTCTCGTCCCTCCTCTACAATCCTCCCATCCTAACTACAGCTAGTGGCTATTTAGGTCGCGCTCACAGGTAGAGCACTTCGTTCTCGAACACACTCACACGAGAGGCCCGCCTGATGTTGGGTGCGACGAAACTCTTTGGGGGAAGCTGCCTGCGAGCGTGTTGGGCTTTGAGAGGAGAGGACTCGATCATGATTCGGATGAGAAAGATGAAGATCTAGGCTATATCGAATATCTACTGCTACAGTAAACAGAATCCTGAGGAAGCAAAAATTCTAAACGTCCCATAGTCGAGGGAGGAACAGTCAAGATGCTGTAGTAGGAGTTGCGTTTGCGTTTCAAAACTTTTTTGTATTTAATTTCAAATATGCATTTATAATGTCTTGATCTTCTTGCTTGCTATCTTTCTTCTCCGTTGTTCATTCAAGAGTGCAAACTGAAAATCTGTCTCTTTCTCTTTGTTGTATTTATGCGATATATTTTACTTATTTCCTTGATAGATAGATGGGACAAGTTACTTTGTATGAACAAGAACATTTTTGTTTGAGATTGTCATAATTCGAAACACTTGCTATTCTGTTCATCCTGATCTTTCTGACATCACATCTGGGTACTGAATCACCATTGTATCACTCTTTTGCTTCTGCCATCGTATCTTCCTCATGTAGTCATGAGCGTATGGCGATTTATCTCTTGATTGTTTCTCAGAAAAAAAGTCGTAAGCGGAGTAGACTCGGTTGTTGTAGTTTTTTCTTTTGTGAACTTTGCGTCTCAGCTACGGCGTAGCCACTATTAGCTGCACTAGCGGATGAGAGTAGTTAAGCGCAATAGATATGACATAAGATGACGGCATCGAGTCCAGTCCGACGTGTGATGTTACCAATTACAGACGGTCGAAATTATAGCTGTTCTTTCTCTCTGTCAATGATCATGTAATCCTTATGCAGTTACTTCATCTTTGCGCTTCTACTTAAACCTAGACCTAGTACAAGTACAACTACTAACTTACTATCAATCACCATTATCAACCGAACTATGCACGTTGTTAGGTGGGATTAATTAGCCCTAGCAGACTGAAAAGAGGCGCCTTTTTGTTTCTGTCCTACAGCACTACCTCTCTTCTTATATATCTGATTGATTAATCATCTTCGCAGTTAAAGTTATCTCCCCCAGCCCCACCCTCAATTTCAGTTATCTCCCTCTTGCAGTTGTGCTAACCCATATTCCCAGTGAATAACCCCTTGCCATGATCATTTCATGATCTATTTCCCACCTTTTCCACGACCACCACAACAGTCCTTGCTATTCTCGCCTTCTTCCGCAGCGCCACAGTTACACGCATGTTAGCGCTAGTATATTTTCATCATCATCGCCCTCAAAAACAAAATGACCTTTATTATAAAATTGCGTTGACCTGAAACTGAAAGTCCTCTCCTGGGCAAAAGGAAGACCATGGACAGGCTACGCCATGTAAGTAAATGCGGTTAAGTACTTTATGGCCCCCTACTTCTAGGGCTGGGGCTCGACAATCTTCAAGAGCTAAATAAAACCCCAGCAATTTCCACCAGAAGCCTCCAAATGACCAAAAATATTGGGAACGCCAGCAGCCCACTCCCCGCCCCCATATTGCGCACACGCTAAAGGCGCGCGCCGGCATCCATGCTTGGGCGTGCGTTTTTGTTTTTCGCGGCGTGGCAGCACTCCGGCTTTTGTCGGTGGGTGCGGTCGCGGCGTCGCGTCGTGTCTTTTTATGGTGGGCGTGGATTCTAGTGCGGCTAAGTGCTGCGCGTCTCTCTAGGCTAGTAAGTCATGTAACGCAATTGCTGTAAGACTAAGAGGGGTAATAACGACAATAAGGAAGAGTCACAAGCTTCATATTTTCATTTTGATTTTTTCCAATTGTTCCATGTTCCATTCATTTCCTGTCTATCACGAGGCTTCATATAGCCCATGCTGTTGTAATGTTGTTGCTGAGTACTTTACTGAGAGATACACGAATGAATGGATGAAGATGAAAAAGTTGCCATATCCAAAGGTGTCCCACTGGTTCCCGTCATCGTGAGCCTTCTGGATTCGAAGACCTGCGATGTCCTTCATCTTCTCTGGGCCAGCACGAAGGAGCTGGCCCTCCTGGGGCGCCGCAGCCGCTCGAAGTTGGCCCTGCGCGTGTTGTTGTGCTTGAGCCGGCGCCCCGAGAGCTTGGTCTTGTATGGCTACCTCCTCGTCGCGACTCTCCGTAGTCAGCGTTTGGTACGGATGCGGGCCTTTGGTGGTCATTACTGCACCGGAATACTTGAACCCACGCAAAATAACGCCCATCCAACTATAGTATTCCGGATCCGATCGCAACTTGAATAACGTCTCGATCTGCTTCTCCGTGTATCCTCTATAGCAGACATGAACGAGCATGATACGATACATTGATGTCATGAAGATGAATACGCGAGTGACAGCACCACAGCTGCAAGAACTACTTCTCGAACTAGAGCTAGTGGACAAGGACATGTGGTAGGACAACCTGCACAAGTAGTAGTTGGGTTTCTACGTCTCCATTCTCCTACTTCTGAGTCAACTTCATCAACGGACTCCCTTTTAGTTTTACCATGTACTTACTTATTAAAGGATAGATTTGGTGAAAATATCCACGGATTTTCCTGGCATAACACGTCGGAACTTTTCTTGCGTTAGGCTGATTTTCCAACTCCACAGGAAGTCCGCCGAGAACAATCTCCCCGTTCGCGCTCTTCTGCTTTTCGCGAACGTAAAGCTTCAGGGGTTCGCTGTCACACAACTTGTGTTAGAGCTCAAAGCGCCTCACTCTTGCTCTCCCTTCGATTGAATTCTTCAGATGAACCTCATCAAGAAGGAAACAACGAAAAAAGACACTTGGAAATGAATTGCATTGCGCCTTAATTGTGCATCGACGTCGCGGCAGCCTGGCATCTGCTTTGATCCGTGCACCACTCAAACGGTTTTAGTGGGCTGTCGTAGTTCTCACGACCAGTTAGCACTGCGACTTTGCCCAGACGACGATTAGAGGTGATTGATTCTTTATTCACTGAACAATAATATTCCCCACTGTAATTATAAGCAATTCTAAACCCTAGAACTGAGTGATTCCATATCTGTAGCTATCCCGAAGATTTTTCCTGACTGTTTCTATAATAGGAACAACTCGACGAACGAACAGTGACTTGTCAAGAAAGATGCAGCACCAACCATATTACTACATTCAGAAGGGATAAAAGTAGTACCTTGGTACTCATCCCACTCATTGAAAGGACAAAAATAGAAAGGCTCAACCAGCCTTAAGCTCTGCTTCAGCTAGAAGATCGTATCCACATATAGGAGCAAGCCAAAGCTGTGAGGTGTATGCCAAGACAAGTTTGTCCACAATGCTGGCTGAGAAAGTGTAAAGATCCGCATGAAGGCCGATGAAGATTAGAAGTATGTCCCAGGAAGCAGCTTTCTATTCATAAGCCATCCGTCCATTGATTCTCCTTCTTCTAAAAAGCTATCTTTCTTGCTTTTTCGGTCTGGATCATGTAGATGTAAACTGTACAGCAGGTCGTGATAGGTGATGACAACGACCTCGTCAGACAAGAACTGTTTTTAGGTAGTTGTTTATCTTCCGTAAAAAGGCAGGCGGTTGCTGCTGCGGCTTCTGATACTCACCCTCAACGGGCTTCCCGCTGACTAAGGTCCCTGTTGTGATGCTGCAGCTCGGCAACATGAACTGCTGTGGATGCCGGTACCTTTTGTCATGACTCCCGTACCCATACCCGTTTGCTCTAGGCCACCGCTTAGGTTTACCCGCCAAGATTTCGAACGGTTGTTTGATGTACGCGGCAGCGTGGGCGAAATTGTACAACAGTGATACATTAGAAGATCATGTGAACTCAGTACTATTGTTGCCTTCCTACCAGCACGGGCATCGAAGTGGTTAAAGGTAAAAAACTACAACTAAAAGGATTTCGATTTACAACGAGGAGTTGTACAACTGGTCGGTCCATCAAGTGCGTTGAATATATTTCTTCGTGGTAGTGACCAATGAATGAAAATAAGCATGTGCCTACAACTAATCCGCGATTATACCAGCGCCTCTCCAGTTGAAGGTTGAAGCGTTTCATTTCTAAAGAGCAAGGAAGCTTATATGAATGTGAGAGAAGCATGTAAAAATGAAATATTTCAACCTTTAATCCAGCAGAGTGCCTTCTCTACTGCTCTGTTAAAAAAATTTCTATTTTTCTCATCATATATCTTGAAAACAATTTGGATACTCCTGTCAGCGACCACGATCATATTCAGAAAACCGTAAGAGTAAGAGAATGCTCAGCGTCTTTGTTTCGTGATAGACCGACGTTGTCTATTATTGCATCGCCAAAAGCTAGTCCAGCGTCTTTATGCATGATCTCGACACAGACCTCGAATTTCCGGTACATGTCCTCCGCTTTGTGCAAAGTATGAACAAGCAGAAGAAAGTGCTTTTGCTTTATGTATGTTGAATTTGATCGGTAAATAAAGTTAGAAAAACACGACACGAACTGCGATACATGGATGGCATTCGCCAATATCATGCTCGCTCACTTGACTTTTAAGGGAGAGTAAGGAAGTAGCATGAAATTTTCGGAAGAAGAACTACGAGAACAAGGATCAATAACTTAGAATGAAGGAGAAACCGCAACAACTTACTAGCTACTGCATGGTGTATCCGATGAGAAATAATTTGATAAAAAATTTTGATGCAGATACATATGCAGAGTAAGCACGACCTTAGAATTTCAAGAAAAACGATGAGACTACAACATGAAAGATAGAGTGAGTCTTTTCTGAGAGTAATGTTGGGAGCATAACCTTCCTCTGCTTTAATGCGGTGACGAGACACTGCCTCGACCCACTCCACCACGTAGTATACCCCGTGACCGTCTGGCGCCAACCATACGGAATCTGGACGAGCAACGCAGAGTGGCTCCCCTTCGGTTCCCCTCTTTTTCCTCATATGAAAAGACGAGGACAACATTTTTTCCGTAACAAAGTTGCTCCTAGATTTTTGTGAAAATTTTTATCGACACGAAAAACATCAGTGGAACATTATTTCAAACTTGCCGAAAAGCAAACAATGCGTGAAAACGACGAACAAAGCGAGCCTGCTCGGAAAGACAGTGCTCAAGTACACGTTGTCGTTGGTCGGTCCAAAGAATTGGATCTCCGGCACACACGTGATAGTGATTACCTCATCGGCCATAACTTCTGTGCAGAAAAAAGTGGTACGCGAGAGTTTGATTAGAGGTTTCCGAATGGTCGTCACGCAGTCGCAGCAACAGCGTATTTCTACAGTCTATTGACTCATGCAGCAACATATTTCCATCCTCTTCTCGGTATTACCTTCCCTTGGCCTTGAGGATGACGTCATACTTTGAAGTTCGTTGTTAGCGAGTACATTGTCATGACAAATCTAGACGGATTATCTACGTACTTCTATTGCTTAATATGAGTTTTACTTATCAACATTTTGGCGCAGCGCTTAATGTGAAGGAACAAGTTCTCCACGATGTTCTTCTGCTTCCGAAGGTCAGTCCCCCAGGACAGATGCTTCGTCACGCATTCGTACCCGTTCGCGTGCGCCTTGCACAAATTAGGTGGCGCGACTGTCAACTACGTGTAGCTATACGGAGATGGTAGCTGATGCGGACGATCCGGACAGAACTAAAATTTGATAGTTGTTTAGTGCAACACTGCATCACTTCTACATTAACCCAAAGTAAGTTTGGTAAGCAAAATGAAGGATAACACTAGTGACATCTTCACCCTCCAAAAACTAACTTGATTGCTTCTCAAAAGAGAAACATGATGATTGATTTTGATTCTTTAGTCAACATGATAAAAACATGATTTGGAATTCATAACATTTGGAAAGGTCGCTTGTCCAGGACATGTGGATATTCCCAGGACATCCTCCGGCAAATTACGGTGGTGATGTTCTCCTGGCATTGTTTAGAAGAGCTACGACACGTTTTGCATCCCTGGTAGTACCAATGGCATCACTTTGCCTTTCAGTTGATTTATTCGTGAATTATACTAGATTCTTTTTACAAGCATGCTTACATAGCTTTATATTCGAAGTAAACGATTAAAATCTAATTGACGAATATACTGCAGAACCACCAGTGTCGAGCAAAGCCCCCGCTGCCCGCTTCTGTTCAGTTAGCCTACAGCTCGCTCCGGACTTCACGGTCTAACTATAACTAAACTTCCAAAATAACAAGTACTTATCTCATGAGGAGGAAAACGAAGGAAACGACCGTACGTGGATACAAACAAAAATAGAGGAGCCATAAATTATGTACAGAGAAGGGCCTCCAGGTGAGCCGTCTTTCGGTTCGAGTGGAATCTTATGCACGCTAACTTTGTTCCCGTTCCCCTGATCGTGTTTCAGATTAGAGGTAGAGAGAGTCATCATGTGTCTTACCAGCTGTAGCCCCAGCGCCAGCGCATGCACCTCGACCTCGACTGTGTTGCTGCATTTCTCGAAATAGAGTCTAAATGGCATCTATCTGTCGTCTCTGTCTTCTAAAGCCAGGCTTTTTCACATTAGACAATGCATACTGAGTTAGACTTAGTGTGTCAGAAAAGATATTCTGAAAGTGAAACAAAGAAGATACAAGGAAGTAATAAACCCACATCGTAAGTTCCTGTTCGGCCGCTAGAGAAAGACCGAGAGGCACAATAAAACTGCCGAAGCTATTTACCTCTCGACCGTACTTAGAGGTAGTTTTTCATTATCCGCGCTGAAGTGGCTTCCCTTTCCTTCCGTTAAACTCGCCCCAACTTCAAAGAAGACTCCACTCAGCATAGCTGTCCACATGGGATAGTGATAACCTCGCCTTAACGTACTGGTCTACAACTCCCGTTTTTCCCTGCGCTCGAAAAAGCTGCTCATAAAGGGGATGCTTCTTTTTATCCATTTCAGTCGCCGCCTTAGATGGCATAGAATTCTAGGCCACAAGGCCTCGCGCGGTCATCATAATCATGATCATGATTGAGTCCCTGATGCTAGCTTCTACACTGAAATGAGCATCAATATTCTAGGCCACGACTTGTGTCTCTCCAAGACGCTGCTTTTATCTCTACTTACTCAAGCCTGCTGCACTATGAGCACTCAATATTTTTCATGCTGGCAGAAAAAACTGACGAGGAGGAGGCACAAAGAAAATTTACTTAAAAGCTGCTGCTGGCCATACTAGTAATTTCGGCACGTATGTACTCCTGAGCGTGCGGCCAAAACTCTGCAGGCGGCCAGGCTGCATCAGCGTGTGCACCAGCTTGCAGCTCCAACTTGTTTAGAGCTTTCTTATTTTTCATCCTTCGACAACGCTCTACCAAGTCTCATAGGAACAGCACCTATGTAAGAAATTGAAATACATGACAGACTGACCGTATTTGGTGCCTGAAAGCCGCCAGCCGCTTAAAAAGGACTGTGACTCTGTTGCAACCAAGAAATAAAGACGAAGCGTCCCCGCCAACAAATCATCTAGTAGTGCCTGCATTGGCAAAAATGTCCTCCCTTCATACCAATGTAGTTGCAGCTGCCTCATGCTTGGCACCTACCACGCTTCCCACTCCAGCGGTGTTCCATTTCTATAATTAGCGAGTTTCATGTTGCGACTTCATTTGTTGACTTAGGCTTAGCCAATAAGTTCTCCCACAATCAGCCGTAGCCCTTCGAGAAAAAAAATTAATACTCATGAAAGAGCTAAAAAAAGTCAACAACGCTTCGCTTCTCCCAACCTCCGAACCAAACACACCTGAACCAAACACACCTGAACCCAAAACGCTTGCACCCATACCAAAAACACCTGCACCAAACACACTGCAAGTGCAACAACAAAACCCCGAACCTATGAACCTGCCTACGAGCCTAAGAACTTTGCCTTTGGACTTCGCTTGGGCGTAAATTACGAACGCAACCCACGAACTTGCAGACATTTGGGCTCAGCTCATGAACTTAGCCTTTGGGCCTACGAGCTTCCCGTTCCCAGCGTATGAGCCCGCGAGCGTATGAGCTGCCTGCCAGCGTATAAACCTGCAGACTCCTGGACTTATAAACTTACGAACTTCGCAGTCGTGGCATGTTATTGGCCTACGATAACACCAACCCCAGCAAACGCGCGCCCAGGCTGTCCGCGGGGTGTAGTCGGCTGCAAGCAGTTCGATTAAAAACCTAGGCGACAGAGTCAAAAAATTAAAACTTCTCTACTTTCGGCAAAAGTAGCAAAATTTTTTAGTTTAATATCAACCAAAACCAAAATCCAAAGCCTTCAACCTTTCAGGTTCAAACTCAAAGGCTAAAACTTTAAAACGCCGCAAGTCCAAGAATTCAAACCAAGCCGAAGACCTCAAGCCCAAAACGTATATATAAGGCCCAAAATTTAAAAAGCCCGAGACGTTGCGTCCAAGGCTTCAAACCGAAAGTTCCAAAGAAGTCCGAAACTTCAAGCCCAAGTCCCCAAACCCGAGATTGCAAATCCAAAACTTCAAGTCCAAGACGCTAAGTCCAAGGCTTGAACTCAACTTCAAGTCCGAAATTTTAAACCGCCCAAAACTTCAAGGCCAAGGCTTCCAAAATCTCAAGCCTACCACTTCATCACGCCAAATCCAAAATTTCAAGTCCAAACTTTTACATCCAAAACTTTACGTCCAAGGCCCTACATCAAAAATCTTCCATCCAAAATTTTACAGCCAAGGTTTTACATCCAAGATTTTAAATCCAAAATCTCAAGCCCAAAGCAGCTTCAAGATGGTTCAAAACTTAAAATCCAAAACTCAAACAAGTCCAAAATTCAAAATCCAAAATCAGAAGTCCAAAATCCCAAATCCAAGATCTCAAGCGCAAAATCTCAAACCCAAAATCTCAAATCCAAAACCTCAAATCCAAAGTCTCAAATCCAAAATCTCAAATCCAAAATCTCAAATCCAAAATCTCAAACCCAAAATCTCAAATCCAAGATCTCAAACCCAAGATCTCAAACCCAAGATCTCAAACACAAGATCTCAAAGCAAAAATCTCAAATCAAAAATCTGAAACCCAAAACTCCAAATCCAAGACTTCAAAGCCGAAGCGCCAAGCCCAAGAACGTGGAAGCTTTGGCCTGCAAGCCCAAAGCTTCAAAACCAAGGCGCCAAGCCCGAAGCCTTGCGCCGAGAGCTTCCCTCAAGCTCAGAGCTTCACCCTGAAAGCAACGGGCTTCAATCTGCAAGCTTAATGCTGCAAACTAAAAGCGCCAAACCCGCACCAACTCCAAGTCTCCACTACAGCGCTGCAAGTGTAAAGCTTTGCAGTCTGGACTCCCTACAAAAATAGAAACTTGCGCGATACGGAAAAGAAGCCAAAATTTGAAACATCTCAAAAACCTCGCGGGTGCGCCTTGCTTCCTCTGTGAAATTCCGCGGCACCTCTGCCCCGACTCCTCTTCCGCGGATCAACTCCGCCCGGAAGGCGTCGCGATCTGGCGGAAGAGAAGCGGGGGAGGCGCGTCCCGACGGAGGAAACGCTTGAAGGAGGTGGAGGATTCTAGTGGACGTGGGGGGAGAGCTATATTAGGGCGCTGAGGTCTAGTACTTTACTTACAAAAAAGTTACCAATTCAGTCCACCCCTCCTTGATAGTCCTAGGTATCAGGAAAGAGCAGAATATGTCCTGCGCAATGAATCGTTATCGAGCCCCCTGCTATAGCACAAACACAAAAAGGAAAATGCAAATGACCTCTAAAAGCGAATTAATATCACAGACTCTGCCGTATATTCTGCCGTAATTCTGGCGCGTTCCCTTCTCGTTCTTACCAAGCTGTTCATGCACGCCCGAACCTGCCACAGTCACTGGCAGCTCTTCTTCTTGCACTGTTGTTTTCACGGAAGATAGTACTTCTCCTGCTCGATCCGGTCCCCGCTTGGCCATGAACTTGCGTTTCTCAGCAGTGGTCGCAGCTTTCACATTAGAGATGGAGTTTTCCATTCTGAAGAGGATCCATCTTCTATCGGCACTGTCGCATGATATCCACCATGAGCATGAGTGTCTTTCTATAACTTCTCGCTCCTCTTTTTAATTTACGTTCTACTAGTCATTTCTTGACACGATTTAAGTCAGTCAAGATATGGCTGTGGAAAGGCTACTACTTGCCAGGAGCGCTTAACTGAGTGAAGAACGGGATAAGCAGGGCGTGAGGACGACGACGAGGTGGACAAGCCGTCAGATTCTACAACTCTGCGAGGGTCAGGAACAGGAGGAGGAATGTGTTTTATTTCATGTTTCGGACCATGACTTGTTCCATGCGAAGAAGTGGAACTACTTGTACTACTTCTAGTTGGTGTTGCGAGGAATAGACTCTTGTATTGATTGTAGAACAAGCCAAAAGACGCAAGCAAACCACAACCAACTAAGAGGAGATACGCGTACACCCAGGCGTAGCGTGCGCCACATGATCCACCTTCATGTTCATCACTACTAGTGTGCATCGCCGTCCTAAAGGGGCCTGTGCTTGCTTCCCTCCAGTCCATTACTTGATGACCGGACCTTACCACATCAGCGCTGTCGAAGTCGCTTCTTGCCTCGTCGGTTTCGTCATCACCGTCGCTAAAGAAATCATTATCGGAATCCGTGTAGTCACTCTTAAAGCGGGTCAAGAAAAAACGTCGTGGGCCTCACTCATGCTCATCTTCGTAGTTGTTGCTTAGTTATTGTTGCACGGGATAAGTCTAGATTTGGTGAGGTGAAAACTAGCCGGTTGTTGCTTAGTTATTGAAATCAAGCTTGCTTTAATTCACCAAAGAAGATACTTACAGACACCTTGTTCGATGTGAGCTAAGATGACAAGCATGACTATGAGATCGAGATCCGAATTCATATAATATTTTCTTCAACATTATCAAAATTAACTGTAGCCATAACATCCGAAACTGTTAACGTGCTCCTCGTTCTGGTTAACCGATTTTTGGTACCTTCCTCGGCGAGTGCGAATACGGTGCTCTCATCTACTTGTGCCCTATCCTGGTCGCTGCCCGCGACATCGCTCGCAGATGTGGGCTCATAAACCGTGACTTTTTCCCCATCCCCACCATCATGCACTATTAATTTCGCCTTCTCGCCACACGTTCCTCGTCTTTCTCGATTATTCCGTTTGCCAGAAGCCAATTCTGCGCCGCCAAGCTAAAAAGTTTTGGTTCATTTCATCTACTAAATACTCAATGAATATGGTCAAAGTAGTCATGACAGTCTTTCTAGTGGTCTGATAGCTCGACGGAGTCGTGGTTTGACCGATGACGATACAAGTTCAGCCAAAGAGTCATACTCCTCCTTCGTTAATCATCATCCTCGATTCTATCTATGCAATCAAACTTTTTCTAGTAAGATGCAGAGACGCGCTTTTCCTATCCTGCTTAAGAATGTACATCAAAGAACGGATCGTTTGTACAACAAAGAAATACAAGACAATACGCCAGTCTTCTTCATCCAAGACGCGTCCATTTTAGCCTAGTAGACCCCTGCTGGCCAGCTCTGCTGCTCTGATCAGCATCAGCTTATCAACTGCAGCCGAACCGCAGCTGCGAGTACTTGAGGGCGACGAGTTACTTGGACCTTCTATGCAGGAATCACATGCCGACCACAGATGACGACCTGGACAGCGAGGACGGAGTAAAGGAATGTAAAAAATAGCTTACGACTGAATGCGAAGGTAAAGTCAATCCCTTTACTTGTAAAGCTTTGCCTTGTTTGTTTGTATTGATCGATGCGCCCCGGGCAACGCATACGGCCTTGCCAGACTTCTTTTGCTGTGTGTTTTCTGCTGCAATGGTCGGCGTTGCGTGCGACTATGAATGTTACGGCTGGCTTGGTCGCGCGTCCTTGCCTTCTTGTCGCCGCCGGCTCTGGTGTGTGTCGGGCTATGCAGCAGGCCGCATATATGGGGAGCGGCTGGCGTGGGTAGCGGTGTCACGCGGTCAAGCTGCCTGGTGGCCGTCCTTGCATTCTTGGTCGCTTCCTTTCAACCCGAGGCTTCCGGGGTAGGTCTGCCTGGCGTTCATACGTTAATGCGCCGTCCTTCATGCTTTCTCCTTTCGCCCTGTCTTCTTTCTCTTTGGCGTCACATGCTTACGTGTCTCCCCCTTCCTCTTCCTCATCTTCGCCGCCAGCACCTAGTCCTAGCTCAGCCCCGCCCCATCATAACACGCAAGCAGCGAAAGCGATAAGCTTCACCACAGCGGCCGCTGCGTACTCCTATCCCTCTGCTTGGTTCATTTGCCTCCTTTCGGTGCTGTCCGTCGGTGGCTGGTCGCCTGTCCCGTTTCAGTCTCGGAGAATGTCGCCAAGCTTGCTACAGCTCGGCGGCTAGCTGGTCCGCGGTCTCGTTGCTTACCGATGGCACACGAGTGCCCACGGCCGCGGGTGCGCCTCGTCTCCAGTCTGCCAGGTGGCCCGAGTCTCTCTTGCTAAGGCGGCACGGAGAGCCAGGCGCAGGGCTGCGTCGTTGTCGTTCCGCAGTGCGGGGCTTGGAAGCGCGCGGGCGCGAGGGTTGGGGTTGGGCTTGCTGTGGCTGTCGGTTGCGACGGCTACCCGCTGGCCAAGGTTGGCCCTGGCGCATACTCCCCACCAAACCGCCTCAGTCGCTGACCTCTCGACGTCGCGAGGGTCTTCGTTTTCATTTTTTGGCTCAAGATTTTGAGTTTTGAGTTATTTACATGCCAAGCCTTGACTTCAGATCTCAAGTCTTGGGCTTTGTTTTTGAGTTTGGGCTTCGAGCTTCGGATGGCTTGAAGTTTTGGGCTTCAGCCTTGAAGATTTGAGGTTTTGAGTTTTGGTTTTGAAAGTAAGCGAGGGAACCAACGCCGCGAAAACACTGCAAAAGCGGAAACGCGCAGAGTTTTGCTATGTATGCCCATGAATTGCGCAGGTTAGGGCATGAAAGAATGTTGAAAGTTAGGGCATGACTTGCTTCGACAAAAAAATCTCCGACCCGAGTTCGCAATCTTCTTAGACGATGGGTTCTTTTGCACTTAAGTTTATAAGCCATGAATTTTGAAAGTCAACGCAGCATGAGCTTTGAAGGCTAACACGCATGAATTTTGAAGGCGAAGCCATGACTTCTCAAAGTTGTGGCACGCCTGGACTTTGACGCTTAGAGGTAGAGCCTGAATTTTGAAAGTCAAGCCATGACTTTTAAGAGTTCTCAAGGCATGGGCTTATAAAGTTAGGGCGTGAATTCTGAAAGATCGCTAGGGAATGAACTTCGACAGTTTGGTAGATATGAATTATTTCCAACGTTAGGGCGTAAACTTTGAGAGTTAGACAAGACTTGAACAGCCTTGAAAGTTAGAGCGCGAATTTTGAGGGTTACGACATGAGCCGCAGAAGGGGCTACACGATCGACCGACAAGCCGCACGCCATTTTACAACGCTGCACCACCTTGCCAGGGCTCCCCTAGGCCTTCCCTCCTAAGCATGCGGGGCGGCGACCACCCTGATGAAGGCCACGACCTCCCTGAGAGTCGAGTCACCTCCAAGATTCGGACCGGACGGAGTCCTTCCGGAGCGAGCTGCAAACACTTGCCCACTTGGCCAGCCCGGCAGGTCACAAATCGCGAACAGGCCAAGCCCTGCGCCGTCGATCCGCGGGCGTTTGGAATCTGTCCCCCCGTAAGGATACGGGGGGCGGGCGGTCTTGTTGCCCTGGTGTCGGCGTGTCCGCAGGCAGAAACATGAGAGCAAGCCGAGCCCCGTCGCCGGCCGTTCCCCTGAGAGAAGGCGCGCGGACTTCATGCGAAACTTTGAAAGTTTCAGAAGGTGCCGGGTATCCGAGTGAGTGCAGATCTAGCAGGCGAGTCGTGCTCTCGTCGAATCTTCACCCTGGGGAACCACACCTGGGGGCTACGGCTAGCTTTATAAATATTATATCATGGCTCATGATATCAAATTTTTTGAAAGAAGTCAGTGCATCCCCTATTATAAATTACTATAAAAATACAACTAGAGGCGCCTCAGCTGACATCGATCTTTGCAGCGTGGATCCACGAGCGTCATAATTTCTTGGATCACAAGCGCCTCCATGGTTTCAAGAAAATACAGAGTGAACGAAGGTATATGAAGCATCTCAATTTGCTAGAGAGGGAAAGTAATCTTAAGTGGTAAGATAGAGAAGGCAATGTGGATCATCGATCCTGGCTGCTGGCGCAAAAAAAAATCGTGTTCTATTTTTTTTTTGAGAGCAAGAGAAGACCTAGAAAAAGCTGGACAAAAGCAAAGTAGCAAATGACAGTGTTAGCACTTAGAAAATGGTAAGTTAATCCATTATCGACATGGCCTTCAAGACTAACCTCCAGTGCAAAGAAAATTGTATCCATAAAAGCACGGTCCAAGATGTCTGATAAATCGCATCCAAGAAAAAGAAGTCTTCCTCTCAGCCTCAATAAAAATCTAAAAGATCATAAAGAAGATGAAAGCCTATGTATAGACCTTCATCATTTCAGGAGAAGTCTACTGGAGAAATCAAAGCAAGAAGACGTCGATTAAAACGAGCCTTTTTGAAAAGGGGAATTTTCGACAGGGGACGCTCAGAAAGGCACTTTGGACCACATGGGGAAAACCGACATCAAACAGATCCTCCTCAACAGAGCCGCTCTGCGTCCGGTGAACAGATCGTCCGGTGCCAGTCATATCGAGTTTACAGAACACGACGCTTCAATTTCTGGTACGTGTTTCCTGTACACGTCACTACTTATCCGATCTTGGAATACCCCATTCATCATAGTCGTTTGCTTAAACATATGCTCTAAGTGCGTAGATAGTCTAGTGGTCAAGTCAACATGCGTTTCCCAATTAATATAATAAAATAAAATATACATAGATATGGTTTTTGTTCCTGTTCCCCTGATGACATTCTTTATTCGTTCTTTCTTGAAGAGTCGTCTTTTATTATTTTTGTGACTCAATGCTGATGCTGCTTATATTTTCATGATTCCTGATTTCTTTTTTTATCTAATTGACATCCCAAATTTTCTCAATGCTACGTACATTTTTGACTTCATATAATTGTTGATTTCCTTGTTGTATGCGCATTCTTATTAAACAAACAAAAACTATAATATTAGATTCTATGAGTCTATTATTCCTATTCCCATAACGTCGCAAGTCATCGATCAACTTGGTACATACATTTGCGATATTTTCCGTGTGTGGCTCTGCTTTGTTGTAAACAAATACGACTGCTGTACAAATAGATTCGCTTTCTTTCTTGTGGTTATTCCATGCATGCCCCATACTTTGTTGAATACGATTGATGGGCGTCGGCTTCCATTCTTCATCGTAATATGCGATCCGATCTTATGTAAAACCATTCGAAACGCTTGCCCATCTACTGCAACGCCGTGTGTTACGCGGCTATCCCCATTGATCTAGATGATCTGTAAGTGATTCTGAGTCATTGGTAGTTCTCATTTCTTTGTATACTAACTATGTATAACTTTCATTATTGAAGAATAGCTATCTACATTTTCTACGAATAGAGAATTTCTGAAGCTTCTCCCTGCTTTAGGCTGTAGAAACTGTGACTTCGATGACTCCACACTGTTACAGTTACTATCTGTCTATTATAACATCCCAGTAACTAAAGTCTAGTCTTTTCCAGTCTTCCTCGTTCGTCCATAGTTGTCGTTGACTTCGAGACGTAACAACATGATAGTTACCTTCCAGGAGAATGACCTGATTTAATATCGAGAAGTCCGTGTAGAACATCATCGTAATGAGCATCAAGAGCTGGTCGAGAGGAAGCTGGAGTACCCATTTGTTGTGGTTGTTGTTGATGAGCTGGCGCACCTGGGTGGTTATTATCGTAATATCCGTGCGGCGATTGACCTTGTGGTGCAGGCGCAGCTGGCGACGGAGGTGCTAGAAGAGGACCACCAGGAAAATGTGCACGCGCCAGCGCCTGACCAACATGCTGGTTGGGATATAGAAATGCAGCTGGCTGTCCAGGCGGGCCACCCATAGGAGGAGTGTTTTGCGACGCAGATGGATAGATGAACTGATCACCTGGCCCAAACGGTACACCGGGAGCGCCAAAAACTGGCTGCGGAACAGGAGCAACTGGAGCAATTGGCTGTACTGGCGGAGCTTGTGGCGCAACAGGAGCAACAGGAAATCCTCCTTGGCCACTTGGCCGCACAGGCGGAGCTTGTGGCGCAACAGGAGCAACAGGTAATCCTTCTTGGCCACTTGGCGTTGGCTGTCCTTGCGGCATCAATCGACCAATCGGGGGACCCTGTTGTAGTTGTTGCGGTGAATAAGCCGGATGAGACAACTGAAAAAAAGGGACTGCATTCAAGTCCATCAAAAGACGGCGTCGCCCAAGTACGACTACACTAAAAAGGAGACCCATCCGAGAGGGTTCCACACTGCGCCAACCTGTTGGAGCTGTTTGCTTCATTAATATCTGTTGAGGCTGAGAGATGAGCCATAGAAAAGCCAAGGCCTTAGAGTGGTTTAGCTTTACTTTAGTTGAGTAATTAAGTGAGTAAGAAAAGCGCACTGGACCAAATAGCAACGCAGTGAAAATACACACAAGACAGAAACAGCCCGCTTCTCATCTTTTTCAACAGGCGGCGCGACGCATTTGAATCAACGCCACGCTCCCAAACAAAAGAGTCAGGTGGTGCGTGGGCTAGCGTGCTCACTCATCGGAGGAAGAGGGGCCCTATAAATAATGCAGAATCTGCCACCTTCCAACTATTTCGCCCATCTTGCAGTGTATTTGTGGAAAGTGTATTTATTCAGTGATAAGATCAATAATAAATATTCATACAGCTGCACATATCTACTTTGTATGCCAAATCACTACAGGAGCGCGCACCCTCGGGAAGGGTCTTCTAATTCGGTATCGGTCGATATCCGCTGCCTGCGGACTGTTTTAATATTTCTCAAAATAATAGTGCTGCGGATGGATGAAGTTAAAAGGTACCGACCCTCCCTTCTGCATCTCAGCATCAGCGTCGTACATTACGAGCGAGAAAGGCGGACTAGGTGCCCGACCAGCTGTAACTCGTAGCCCTGTGGCAATGATCTCGAATCCCTCCCGTGTCATCAACGGCGTCTGCGAATGCGTATGAAAAGACAGCTTTATCATGCTGTCTGTGATTACCCCCAACTTGAAACAGAGCTCCCACTTTTTACAGTACTAGTTCGCCTCCTTCAAGTTCAACCCTTCAGCGCGTTGTACACCGACTAAGGCACCGTTGCTATATCTATTCAACGGCTGAACAAGAGTAAGAAATTCTGATGAGTCCGTCGCAGGCTAGCAAAGCCCATATATGTAACAATGAGGGAGGCCCCCCCTGTGGGTAGAGCTGTGGCGGCGTCGGCGCGCCCTTTTTTCGCGGTGGTGGGGGCGAAGGCCTCAAAAGGCGGAGCCGGAGTCCCCTTACGGCTCTCCGCGTGCACCTCAAGAACGTCCCAGCTGCCTGTTGGTCTTGGGCCGACCCTATCAGGGGGACGGCCTCCGGGGGCAGAAAGCCGCCGAAGCCGGCCACGGTCGCGAAGCCTGGCCCCGGCCCCTTTTGCTGGGTTGCCCTCATCCCCTGAGCCAATTGGTGGCAGCGCCAGCCGCCACCACACGCCCGGGAGGTTGAGGACCAAAGGCGAGGAGGAGTGGAGGCAAAGCGTGCCCACCTGGGTTCTGTCAGACACATGCTTGCAGCACAACGAAGGGGCCAAGCCTTGCCACCTGGTGCCCCCGCAGGCCTCCCGCCCTCCGGGAGGCTCCTCCCGCGAGGGGCCCGCACACGTGGGGGGGTCTGGCAGACCCGTCGGGGACATGCAACACGGCAAGGGGGTCAAGCCTTGCCACCTTTTCCGCCTTCAGAAGCCTCCCGCCCCCGGCCGTCGGTGCTTAAACAGCCTCAAGGGTTTGGCTTCTGTATGGTACACGCAAGAACTAAGCCGCGAGGGCGCGGCGGAGGGCGTTTGGAGGCCTTCCCGCCTGGCCATCTCTCGGCAAAAAGGGTCCGGGGCTGGAGGCCCCCTCGCAGCCTCCCTAGATGGGGAGCGGCCTTCAGCCCTGAGCCCTAGAAAATATATGCCCCAGGGAGGGAGCCCCCACTCCCGCCCCGCCCTCCCTGTGCAGTATATTCAAATATAGGTAAATCTGAAATCAGGCGTCGCTCTTCATAACTCAAGTAGGAGAGGATCCCCTGTAGTTGCGTTGTGGTGTATCCGCGGTAGCAACGAGGCAGCCTCCCTCCTATCATCATGTGGTCGAGACGGTCGACGTCAGACTTAGTCAGTCCGAATTGCTCTGGTTTACAGAGATCTGCAAACATCATATTAAAGATTGCGCTATTGCATTCTTCAAACCAACACTCTTGACGCCTTTCCACTAGAGAAACAGAAAAAGGTCAAGGAAAACACTTGCACTTGTTGGAGACGCAATATGAGATGAACCCTTAATCATTGCCTTTCCAGATTTAGGGTGGCAGTCTGGATCGTTGGCGTCGGGCCTACACCGGTCGAATGGATCGTCACGCAGCAACCGACATGAGAGAGTCAGAGAGATGACAAAGAGAAGAAATAGAAATACCAACCGAGCAACGTATAACTGAAAGCGAAACGGCAACCGTCAGCGTCAGGACAAAATAAATCTGAATATGTAGAAGTTAGTATTTGCAGCCTAGTTCCAAGTGACATCTTTCCCAGCCCTCCTCTACAGGGCCAGCCTAGTTCTAGTTGGCCTTTTTCTCTACAACAACTATGTCCACGAAGAGCATCGCAGATTTTACAGTCCCGATCGATCAATCTTATTCTCATGTATCAATGAAATAAGTCTACTACTCGACTTTGGTCATAACCTCAACACCCCGTTTGTCCCACCAAAATGTCGAAAGATTTGTTCGCGTAGGGTGTCGTCAATCTGGTACCCGCAAATTACTCCGAGAAATGGAAACACGCCCGAAACATCTCGCGCGCTCATACCCTGCGCTGACAGCAAACCAACCCATGTCGTAGACAGCGCATACAAGTCACTCTGCAGACCAAGAATCAATTGCGAGTTCAGGAGTGCCTGGTCCTCGCGAATTAGCGCAGGAGTATCTTATTGAAATTGATGCGCATCACTTCTCTCATCAAGTCAATAATAAGGTTTTGAACCGAAGAAGACCAAGATCTTTCTATCTCTTCAAACGAAAAAGTATATCATTAGAGCCAAGTCACTAGCCTTGCTGCTGTATGCTGTCGCGTAGGCAGCTAGGAGACTGAGGCTTGAGGTCATTTTTGGACTTCCTTTCCCTATGGTGGTTCTCATCAAGTCAATAATAAATTGTAATTTTAACTAAAAAGCAATTACCGAGTTAAAAGGAAGAACAGTAAGACTAGTCTGAGTAGTATTCGTAGTGTTAATGAAGATGCAAAGCGAAGGGAATGTAAAGTCTAAGAAGATGGAGAAGGACGAAAGAGCAAGTAAGGAAGGGGAGAGGAGGTGAAGCAGGCTAACCCAAGCCAAGGAGGACCTCTAAAAATCTACCCTAGTAAGCCAAATATCTAAAAAACAGGAAGAATAACCCAAGCCGGCAGGGGAGGGGAGCCACCCTCCTCCCTCAGTGGGCCTTGAGCGTCGCTGGACCTAAGCTGTCACCTTTTTCAAGGCAACAGCGGCCAGTCTTTATTTGCGGCTTAACTGTGCGAGCGAGGGTTAAGCTTCTGGCTAAAAGGACTAGAGGATTCTCCCGCATTAAGTGAAGGCCCCAAATGAGAAGCTGATCTAGCATGATGAAAAGCGACCAAATAGAAAAAAAACCCTCCGAGTTCATTTTACCGAGTTAAAAATGGGTATAGATTGCGCGCTGAGCTGGTTTTTAAGAACCGAGGACCCCTTGCTTGTGTCTTTCTAGAAAAATCGATCAAGCAATCCATTCTATATGTGGCGTTTCCCAGCAGCGCCTTGTTTTGTCCTACACTCAGTGAAGAATTACTCAACGAACAACGGCCGTATTCGAAACTGCTGCGTCGTGTCGTAGCAACTACGAATCCGCAACCCGTTCGGATGAAGCATCGGCATCGTCCCGAAAATTCCGCCAGGTATGTTCTTGAGATATCCAACTACCGGTAGCATGACTGGTTCTGCCAAGGAGGCTTGTGGATTAGGAACCCACAGAGTCGACAAACCAAAATCCAAAAGCCGAGGTTCCTGCTTTTGACCCGGCTTGTGCAAGCTCAGTCCAAGGTTGTCGGCCACAAATTAGCAAGTAAGTGGCTTCTAGAGATGAGGTAGAGGTACTTAGTCGCGTTCCAGGTGGATTCGTGAAATTCGAACGTACTGCTGCTCACTATTCGCATGTTTGTACTACATCTACCGTTCGCTGTCATCCTCCTTACACTCCAAATTCTAATGAAGAATCCTCATCAAGGTGATGCACTATTGACTAGACGCGGACTAGAGGCATCGAGCATAATTGAAATCAGAATGCGTGGCTCCGATGTTGAACAGAATCCAAAGACAATTGTAAAAGGCTTCGAGTTTGCTGATAACGGTTGCGCCGCCATCTGGCTTATCTACCCGTTCCATCACAAGGTACACGGACCCTCCCTGCCCATCGCTCTCGAAAAAGGCGGAGTCGACCCTCGGAATGCAGTTCGTGCTGATTAGAACGGATCGATAGAAGTGTGTTCCTGAGTTTCTCCCCAGGATTGATTGATATGATGTTTGCTAGATCCCTCCGCAGAGGGATGAAATTGACGTCGTCGCCTTAGTGTTACCATCCGAGCCGCGTGCTTCGCATTAAAGGATTCCGCCTCGAACGCCGCATTTGTGAAAATGGGAGAGACTCGCGATCCTTTTTTAAGCTCAAACCACTGCCACACTATTAGAAGAGGGTGACCATAATCATATTTAGTAGATGGGCTTTCACTAGTGACGCCTGGCATAAATATAATAAGTCATGATAACGAACATAAGACGGGGCGTTTTTCATTTCAGGCATCCTGCAAAAGCAAACAACAAAAAAATACTACGATTAACTGATGCGAGAAAAAGAAAAACTACAACGCAACGAGAAAGGTTTTGCTGCTGGTGGTCGTATATTTATTGATGTCTTCTGATTGCTACTTCGAGTCTTAGTTTCCGTATCTGGTGGCATAGCTTGCTTAAGCAGTACCACGAACAGGTGGAGGACGTCTGCTAGGACTCCGTTCTACACAAGCACCACATACACAACCTTAAAAGGACATGCTGGATGAAAATCTCGGATGCCAACAGTGTCATCTCGCTCTCTCCGTTCTGCACCTTGATCTGCTTAGTAACGCATTCCTGGTTCGGGTCCGAAATGCAAGAAGACACGTACGCAGTGCCAAAGCTTCCTTTTCCAATTTGCTGGGCGAGTACCAGGTGGTTGCTGACATGGCCGCCAGCGCGAGGATCAGAGTAAGTGTTAGGTTAGAAGACGAAGAGTGCCTGCTCTTTCACATTCATTCTCCAGAAATTGTTCTAGGAAGATCAAGAGCTAGTAACTAATAGTAATTTTCTTCCGAGTATTGTTCTCCGCAAAAAGTGGGACCGACCATTCTCTAGCGGGGCGTTACTCAAGGATTTCAAATAAGTGGAGGAAAAAACTAGCCTTATATAGGAATTTTTTGCCTGCCATTCTCCTGAACTGCAGCCCCCGGAAGCTCAACATCACCCACCACCAAATTGTGAAGCGCGGCTCCTGCCTGTTCACGGAGAGGGTGCTGCGCCCTTTTTAGCCCATCCGTCATGGCCTGCCATGCTCCTCGGACCCTTGCTGAGGAAATGGACGACTGCCGCGTGTGCTGCGGAAGTGGAGAACCAGGAGAAGTTGGCTGCACAAGCCGAGCTGCTCCAAGGCCAAGAGGCTGCGGATAAAGCGGCGGAACGGGACCAGGCGGAGCCGCAAGACCAGGAAACTTTGGCTGCACAGGAGGAACTGCTCCAAGGCCGAGAAGCTGTGGATTCAGAGGCGGAGAGGGACCAGGCGGAGGAGCAAGACCAGGATAATTTTGCTGCACAAGCGGAGCTGCTCCAGGACCGTGAGGCTGCGGATGCGGAACCGGAGCGCCAGGACCAGCAAAATTTGGCTGCCCAAGCGGAACTGCTCCAGGAATAGGCCGCGGGTGCAGAGGCGGAACGGGGCCAGGCGGAGTAAACGGTACAACACGCGGCTGCATTAGAGAAGAAGAATGATGAAATCCTATCTATTAAGAGTGAGAGGGATTGATATGACGCCGACCTTCAACATGATAGCGATTGTGATACTACCAGGATTCCCTAAAAGATATGCCGTCTTTCACCCTTCGCCGATGTACATTCCAGAAAAAGTTGTGGGACGGGTTATTTCGTACGACTGACCAGTGAACGACCAGAGGACAACATCACAAGAATCGGTCACCATAAAGCGTTCCAGAACTGACCTAGAGGAGGTTGCGCTCGTTGGGCTTGAAGAAACCCACTAGAAGGCAAAACCGGAGTGCTTGTCGACGGAAACCTCGTTGCCCCGTATTCATCGATATTGCCGAAAATGCTTTTCACCCAGTTGAAATCCGTAGAAGCAAGGTCAATTTCGTCGAGGTGCAGAGTCGCGATCGGGTCCGCCTCGAAAATGAATATTCTGGTCCGCTCACTTTAGAAATTTCAAAGAAAAATGACCAGAATTGATATTGAATATTATATTCCTTGACGCCCGGCCCAAACGATGACGTCTCGTCTTTGTGATGATCGTATCAAGAGCCTAACCCATTCGCCCGCCCCCATAGTTTGATATTAAAGAGCAAAAAAAAAGTCAAAAACTCTCCTTCCAACCACCAAATCGAAAGCGTCTGAACTAAACTCACCGGAACCAGAAACATCGGAACCGAAAACACTCGAACCAAAACCACTTGAAGTGAGTCAAAAACACTCGAGCCCGAAGCACCACCTGAACAAGAAGCACGCGAACCCGAAACACTTGAACCAGAAACACTCGAACCAGAAGCACTCGAACCCGAAGCACCTGAACCAAAAACAAGCGACCCCCCGTAGGATATCTCTTCCCTCCCACTCTTTTCCAACACACCACCAAACTAACAAACTCAACACATGAATTTACACAAACACGCAAACACACGAACGCGCGACCCCATGATCATGAGAACTCATGAGCCATGGCTTGGCAGAAATAACTGAAAACCAAAAATCTAGCCAAAAAGCTTTGCGTTTATATGCCTCGCGAACTTATGCGCCATGGCTTACCAAAAATTTAAGCAGCGACGAGCTTTAGTCGCAATTTCAGCTGAAACTTAAAACCTGAAAACTTTGATTTTATATTCATATGCCCCAAAGCTCAACGCTGAAGACCCCCCGATCGATCTAAATTTTTGAGGCGGAAGCCTCCAGCCCCGGCCCCTTCTTCTCGAGTCGAGGAACTACCCGGCGGGAAGGCCTCCACGACACGCCCACCTTCGCGTCCTCGCGGCTCCTTGCCTGTGCCCTACAGTCAGAACCCAAACCCCTGCGGCCGTGGCCGTGGGTGGAAGGCTTCCGAAGGCGGCAAAAGTGGCACCGCTTGACCCCCTACCCCTTGCCGCGTTGCTTGCTGTACTCTACAAGCCCCCCACGCCGTGCTGCGTGTACCCTACCGGCCTCCCGCGTGCGGGCTCCTCACTGGAAGGAGGAGCGCCTTAAGAGGTGGGAGGCCTCCGAGGGCAGCAGGTAACACAGCCTGACCCCTTTCGCCGTGGCCGTGCTGCGTGTATCCGACAGATGAATGAACCCAGGCGGGCACGCCTTGCCCCCGCTCCTTCTCGCCTTTGGTCCTCGACTACCTCCCAGGCGTCCGGTGGCGGCTGGCGCTGTCACTAATTGAGGGGATGAGCGCCAAAGCGGCCAAGCCTCGCGACCGTGGCCGCCTTCATTCTCCGGCCCCCAGAGGCCGCCCCCCTGATCGATGGGGCCCAACTCCAAGAGCCAAGACACCTGTGCGGCACACGCGGACAGCCGCCAGAGGCCTCCGGCTCAGCCTTTTGAAGCCTTCGCCGCGCGCAGTCCTTACTTACATGTCGCCACCGCGAGAAAAAGGGCACGCGGCCGCCACCGCCGCTCCATCCACAAACGGGGCGGGCCTCCCTCCCTGGGACATATTTATAGATATGCAAAGGGCCGCCACTGATTCCAAAAAGCAAACAGCTCTACGCTTGAGGCTTCGGGCCTGGAGCTAGCTCCATGCAGCTCCAAACCCAGCCAGAGCCTTAATTCGCTCGAAGCTTCGAAGGTTCGTTTCAAGTTTCAAAGTCTGTCTCAAACTCAGAACTTTCGCCCTTATATGAATACGAACGCGGTGGAGCCGGCCTAACTAGTGCAACCGCGGCTGACTGCTCTCTTCACGCAACAACTGCCATCCATGTATTTGGGATTTGCGTCGGCACTTGAGTGCCTTCCCTAAGTTGTAGCAAAGTTCCGCGAAAATTGCTTACCTTATTTTTTACGTTTGTGCTTACTTGCATACACGTGGCAACATGCTCGCAATCTATCTTGCTCGCAGCAAATGCCGAAAGATGGCGATAAGATGCGACGCGCCCAAGATGCTCGCCCTGGCTTGTTCTGTCGTGCTTCCTTGTTGTACTCACGTGCGCGCCGTTCTTACGCTCTGAACTTGCTTACTCTCGCTGACAAACGTCCAAACGATTGCGAAGCCCTGGCATACGTGACCGAGTTCAGAGCTCGCGCTTGGACCTGCGCAACCCAACGCGTCAGCTCTGTTGACAGCTCATGACTGTCAGCTCTGGTTACATTCAGAAAAAAAAAAGGCCAGACTTTTGATTTTATATTTAAATTAATGAAGAGAGGACTTGGAAAATTTTCAAATTTTCCGGGCAATGATTTGCAGCGCCTTCCTTTTTGAGTACCGCCACGCCCCCGCCCTTGCTCCTGTCCCGCCGATCAGCTCCGCCAGACGGTTGTCGGGCTGAGAAGAAGCCGAGGAGGCAGAAGCACGCCGGGGCGGGGGACGTGCGTGTAGAGAGTGAAGAACCCAGTGGGAGGAGTGCTGCCGGGCGCTCAAGTCTAGCACTAGCATAATATATTAGCATAAAATCACTTTGATGCCTAATATTCTAACGACAAAGAGAACCAACAAAGACAGGACGCAAGCACGAAGAAAGACGAACGAAGCAAGCAAGTACGGACGCCGAGCAGCCCCACCCCGAAAGCCTCGAGCCGAACGAGGAGAACCGAGAAAGCAAGAGTGGCAACCAAGCTGCCCGACCGCGCTACCCCGTCACCTGCGTCAGCCGCTACCCACATACGCCGCCCCCTGAATAGCCCGACACACTCTAGCGGGCGGGAACGACCGAGAAGGCAACGCGCGGCCAAGAAGGCTAGACAGACCATAATCGCAACGGCGACGATAGCACAAAACACACGAAGCACAAAGAAATCCGGCGGGATGCGTTGCCTTGCCCGGTGCGCATCAATACATACATACAAACAAACAAACAAACAAACAAACGATCAAACTCTATGCTGTACAACATTCGCTAGCAAAAACATTAATTGACTCACGGAGTCACAAGCTCTGCGAAGGCCAGCATTATCATCGCATTTATTACCACTCCCGTCGTGTAGGTACGTCACGTGCTAGACTACACCAGCTTGCAGATAGCAAGGAGCATTCACACAGCTGGCGTCTCCGGTAGCCTGCGTTCCTTACCCTCAATTCATCTTGACAATTTTTTTTAGGTTCAGCAATTTATGACTCCCGACTCAAATGAAAAAGATTTTCCGTCATAAAGTTCCTCAGGCGGCATCTGCCAAATCATTGGCACTAATTCCCCAGCAATTTGCTCGGCATGTTTCTTGTCTTCCCCTTTCTCCGTCTTTTTCCAGGCCCCATTTTTGTCGCCAGCAATATTTCCATCAGGTTGCACTGCGGCCACTCGAGCTTCGGTCTGAAGCAAGAACGGTGTCCGTGTTAGACACTACAGGCAATGACCCTTCGCGCCTTCTAGTTAGTTAGTTAGTTACTGTAGGAAGCCTGGAGGTGCTCCAACATCAATCACGCAGCCCGAGAGTCACACGCGGAGCCCAATTGGTCCTCGAGTGTTAGTTTGGTCGCAGTAGGTCGCGCCGTAACACAAGAAAGCGCGAAGCAGAGGCGAACCCGGTCGCCCAAAGCAGTCGCGGCCAAGGGGGACCAAAAGGGCGCGGCATCCGGGCCAAGCCGGCGAACTACGTCGCACCCAAGGGGCCGGCTTAGATTTTTAGCGCCACTGCTTCTGCGGTAGAGTCGGCGGGACTCACAAGGGCAGTCCGTCGCGTGACTTCATGGCGAAGCGCTCGCAAAAGTGAGAATGTCTCGCAAAAGAAGGCGGCCTAGTGTCCTCGCCACAGAGATCCAACTTGGGCAGGGTTTCCCATCTTTCCCCAAGCTTGTCGCTCTATCAGAACAATAGTGGCGCCCCATACAACAGAAGGAAGCGGAAGGCATGGGCTCACCTCTCTCGCGCCACGCAGTGGCGCCATGTTGTTACTTGGCAGCGCTCTGCCTCCCGTTACCCATTTAAGGAAGGCGGGCTCTGCGTGTCTACGTTAGTTCGCCTACTCTTAATCTTTCTTATTCAAATTATTCATTCTTTTACTCATGTAATGAATAAATCACCTCGACTTCGACAAATATGTCTTACAATAGAAGCAGACGCGCCTGTTCTTTAGTCCTCTAGTGTACTTCCATCTCCTTTTTTGATTAGTGGCCTTTTTCTTTTCTTAGACTAGTCCAGTTGCAATCGCTAGCACTTGGTTGTGGTTCATCTACTCGATGAAAATAGTGCTCCGCATCATAACACTGCACTGGTGCTGGTATGAATTGCCGTCTTCAAGTCAGGTGAAGTCAGAGATTGGTCCGCAGCACCTTGGCTGCGAGGGAAAAACTTCTTCGACTTGCCTTCCGCAATTCTGTCTTCACTGCTCACAACATGTGTTTGTGTTAGACGAGACGACCAAAATCTTTTTGATTCAATTGAGTACTACAGATAAAAACTCCTTGTCAAGTGATTCATGATTTCTGCCAAAAAGCACTATAATCTATCAGTGTAGTGTACTATCAATCTGTTGTAGCAGTAGAGAGGAAGCCACAAGTAAACATACTTAACTGTAATGCTGTTTTTCTAGACGAATAGTGGATGTGGATTAGTCAATGAAAGAATCTTTATTAAACTCCTAACTTAGCACTACACAAATACACTCGGACGCTTCCGAAAGTTTTGATTGTGGGAGTTTCGGTAGAGGGAAGAGAGCAGAAATTGGGAAGGGAATGAACAGAGGTAATAAATGAAGAAGCCGATGAGCTTACCCTCGACGGGCAGAGAGGGTCAGGGGCCTGATCTTGAGCACCCCCTGCGATCAGGCCTCCCGGCATCTCACGCTCAGAGGCGCCACCCTCTGAGCGATCACGGACAACCCCAAGACTGGCATGTCTCAGCTCACCGATTCCCTGAGCTGTAACTATATTACATGCGCTGTTGTAATGGTTGTTCTGGAATTATACCTGATCGAAGCGTGGACAACGCACAAAACCAGCTGCATCTTCATTTACACTTACTTCGAGCGATGCTCTTACTGCTTATCACGTAAAGAAACATCAACCCATTTTTTAGATTAAAAACTAAGTTCTTGTTCATAAGTTGTTTGGCATGAAAGCGCTGGAGATGCAGAGATACCAAAGAGCCGACACCAAAACGACGAGCACAACCAGGGCCACTATGAGGGGGATCTTCGTCGTTTTTGTCTCTTGTCCGTACGACGTTTTAGCGATTGATGATATATCTCCAGAAGGCGAAGGGGGTCTTCTTCATTGAGTAATATTCTTCCAATACCTTTATTTTTGAGGACTTCGAGTCAAAATGACACAAAGGTAACCTGTTCCTAACTTCACAGTCATACCCGACTCAATGATTAGAGATGATGCCGTCCCTCTTGGTGTTATTCTTATCTATGGTGCGCTGTTGACATAACTACTACTTCTAAGCAACATACGCGAGAAAAATGTCCAAAAGAAATGAGTCTTCATAAGCAGCGTGTCCAAACCCTCTTGCTCTGCAGTCGGCGTCGGCGAGGCTGTCACGATCTCGTCGCGAGATACATTTTCGTCGCTGGATGCTCCCATCTCTAGCTTCTTTTCGCCCATGAAATCGGCCTGATGATCCACAAAATCAGCCTGACCCGCACTGCCGCAGCTTTCCTGAAGATGGAGACCGACTTAGTCCGTCAGTACAAGGTTTTTGACGAAGGAAAAACTCACATTGCCAATCCTTAATGGAAGAACTCATTCTCGAGGTGAAGTAGCATCAAAACAGAAGATATATTTACCTCTTCTCGCTTTACGCGCTTCGCCGCCGTGCGCTTGTCTCGCTTCTTTCCGACAGATTTCATCTTGCCGTTGTGGTTGCTATTGCTTAGCAGTAGAAGTGGAAGATTGATACGCAGACGAGACTGTTCTTATCTAATCGAAGAGCTCACCTTCAATCACAAGTGTTTTCAGTAGATCCCAGATGAAAATTCTTGAAACAAGTTGTTGTCTTGATAGACGAGGTAATTCATCATTAGATCACGGGAACGAAACGAGAAAGGAATATCAGTGGAATGAGGAAGTCAGAGTCAGGACAGACAAACATAGACACCGATTCGAGAGTTTGTTCCGAAACGATGGCGGTACCGATACTTGTACTAGTCCTACTTTCTTTTCTTTGAGTTTGTGTCGAGATGAAGATCCGAATCCGATAACTACCATCTGGAAATCGCACATCCAGATGAGAGCAGCATTACAGATGGATTCTCGAGAAAAGTATTTCAGCAATTTCGTGTGCAGATCCGGGCGACTCTCGTCGACGCTTAATATACCTATGTTATTATAGGCGGAGACGTGCATATGAGAATATGCGAAGATACCTCTGTCGATCCTGACGAACTACAACATGTGTTCTCATCTGTGTCGACATTTCAACTCAGATCGGTGGAAAAAAACACAGGTTATGATTGTGCGGCGTCCCCGCATCTGTACATAGTTGACCTCTTGATTCTGTTGATGACGTAGCATCCATGCGACATCAAGACTCTTGTCAGGCTACTCAAACCACCTCTTCGAATCTGGATATTAGAGTACTAGTTCTGGTGCTTGCATTTGGGTACCACAACCACGCGGAGGAGGGCGGGGACGGGATATTACAACGTGTCCTCTAAGACGAAAGTTGAAAAAACCTTTTAAGAAATCTAAATCTTTCTATTGTATATTTCTGTTTTCGCTTTTGCTAAATCTTCATCAAGAGCGATCTTATATAATGATTCCCAACTCGATGACTAATTCCGCGACAGCTCAGACGCTTATGGTCGAATACGAGTTCTGTCGTTACCCCGCGCAAATACCAGACTCCTACTGTCTCTGGCGAAAACAAAAGTTATGTGTGATCTTCGTGAACGGCCTCTTAGTCCTCCTTGAACACCACAGAATGGACCTAGAAGAACATGAACATATATATAATTATAATTAGCTTTACTTAGCACCATTAGGAAAAATAACGAAACTGCCAACAGAATGATATTTGTGTAAGTATTTTGCGCGCGTAATGTAAAAGAAAGCTAACATGTTCTTGCCTACTGAATTCCATTTCAGAATAAAACCTGAAATGAAAACTTGGTTTTTTCCACCTAGTAAATCACGTCTGCTTGAAGAACTCTTCGTTAATCCATGTCAAGAACTACATGTTGTCCATCTGGATTATATAGAGGTGCGTACCAGAAGCAACCATTGCATTACATGCAGCGAAAAAATTTCTTTCACTTCTAACAATCTCCTCAGCACGGCCATTATCTGAAGAAGCTATGCACTCGTAAGCGTTGCATCTTGAGTCTGCTGTGACGAACGCAAGCTCGCTCTAGCTTGTTCCAGAATACACTCTTGTCCGAACGCGGGGTTCTGGTCCCGGACCCGCTGCAGGGCAGCGGCCGCAGCTGGTGAATCACCGGTGGATCTACCCAGGACAAACAGCTCCTCCACCGCGCCCACCCATGGTGCTAGTCGCATCTCGATAGTAGTTGTCGTGGTTGAAGTGTTTCTATTTTCAACACCGTTTGAATGGTCTGCACTTGCTGGGACCGCCTCCTTGATCCAGACACCCGGACGGCCACTCCGATCCTTTACATACGCGATCTCCTCTTGCTGTCCTAGAGCCGTCTCGCGGTCGGGCCCCTGGTCGTCCGACAAACGCAGATTTTCGAGGGCAGCGGAGAGCTTTCTCGCGCTGTCTTCGCAGCTCGAGTCGAAATTAAGGAGTCCAGTAACACGCATTTCCCCGGTTTCTTTGTCAAGAACTTCCACTTTACAAGGGTCCATCTTCAAAGGCTTGAACTCGCGCGTCTTGGACGTTATGATCACGCTGCCAGGCTTATCTTCGAAACTGAGGACACGATACTGTCCATTCTCGATCACGAGCACTGCCCAATGGTCGATGCAGATCGCGCGCTGCGTAGATCCATACTCCGCGAGCAAGGTCAGCATGCCGTTTACATGGTCGGCACGCAGGCTTCCGTTGCTTTGAACCTTATCGTGATGCGGAACACAGAGGCCCGGAAGAAAACCCAGACCGGGAATGCGGATGTAGTCCCATGACGGCCCTAGGTAGATGGAATGATGTAGCATGGTATAATGATATGGTATAATAGAGAGTTGCGTATTTTTCTGATTTCTGACATGCATGGTCGTATGGATTGCATGCATTGCTATGGATTGCACTGATGAAAACAGAAATTTTTTTCGAGGCGCCCTTCGGGCTCCATCGGCAGCACGGACTGTCGTCCTGCTTCACCTGTCAACAGCTTGCGCCGAAGCAATCACGAAAAACCCGCGACCGGGCGGCAGCAGCAAACAAAAGCGAGAACAGAACACCACCCCAACACCGCTGTTTACACTGGCTGCAGGCTGGGAGAGAGCATCCCAGGTGGGGGAATGGACAAGAGGGTCCTCAAGGCCGCCAGCTCGAACCCGAAGAGGGTCCAGAGGCGGGCTCACCCCTACAAATTCAGCGACAATGGATGTCAGCGCTTGGGGGCGCTGCAATCAGCCGGAGAAGTGCGCGCCTCCCTCTTCAAGGAGTCGCGTCCTCGTTCCTCCTGGCCAGGCAATCCATGCAATGTATTGCAATCCAGGCAATCCATCTTACGAAATGCTCTAGCCCCTATAATGATATTGACTACACGTTGAAAATTTATGGAGAAGATCGTTCTTAAAGATCGCGTGATGCTGACGCACAGGGACAGGATCAATACTAAAAATATTCGTTTCTGTAGACTGTATGTGCTGTAAAGTCCTCTTTCGCTCATTTTCATTTTTTTACATACTTGTTCTAGTGCTTCATTTTTTAAGTCCTAGTATACCGATAATAATCGGAACCACAAAGCTGAGAGTTACCTTGTGGCTTGGCCGCCGCGTCTTCGAAAAGAGTGGACAAACCCGGCTTTTGGCTTGCTAGTTCCTTCTGTCCACCCTCGATGAGTGTCATGTTATCGAGCTGCTCGCGTTCTCGCAGCGCCTGATACCGCTGTCTCACGGTGGACTCGTCACAAGCTTCACCCGTCTTCTCAAGCACCTCTAGTTTCATTGCCTCGATTTCGGCGAATTTGGCGTAAAAGCTGTCGGGGTCTGCGCTATCTGAATGCCCGTTCTCGAACCAGCATACGGCACCAGCGGATCCACCACACAGCACTGCACCACGTTCACCGGCGCGTTGGATCCATCGGTGAATCCCTAAGCCGCTAAGCCGATCCACCGCGTACAGGGTATTGCCACCAGAGATCAACACCGCGTCTGCCTCCTCCTCCACGAAACGCTTTATGCGATCCACGGAAGAGCTGCTCGCTCCTAAAATGAAAAAATTCAGTGTTTGTTACAGGAATTTTTTGAATATCAAGTAGAAACTAGCATTCTGATACACGTTTGTGATCTCTCAGTTTTAAAAAATCTGCAAGGAAATGAAAACTTTGAAGTAGAGCAGGACGAGCATTGAAGAGGGCCATCAACATCGCGAACGTGCCCAATGCTGAATAGGACGTATTTTCAATAACCACTCAGGAGTACCTCCTTCTCCATCTGCTCCGACTACAGTCGGTTGCTCGCCCTCTGTTTCAGCAGGAGTAATCCACCGAATGGAGTCCAGATCTGCACCGACTGAACAGCGAATCTCCGAAACCACGGCGCCCGCGTCTCGGAAATACTCGGTCTGACGGATCATACTCTGGGGTGCGTCATAAGCAGCTGTTCCCAAGTAGAGAATCTGGATTTTCTGCCCTTTCTCCTTCGGAGGAATCATGCGTATCACCTCTGCACAACATCTTGGCTCAGAAAACAGATCTGATCCGGACCCGCCCAACACATACCGCCCACTGAGAAGCGGCGCAGGAAGCTGCGTAGAAGAAGTTGTTGTTTCAGCCACCATTTTTGTCTTTGAGTTTGATCTTCCTTACACAACTTAACTAAGAAATACAGAAGTACCTACAAGAAAAACAGAAAAGAAGGTCTGAATAGCCAACCCAAGTAAATAGTCAAGAAGAACTCCTTGTGGTTACTTGAAATAAAGAGCTTGAAATAGAAGCCTACTGCAAACAAAGACTTACCACAAACATTAATACAGATTTTGATTCAACAATAGGCTGGAGATTGATACAACAAATGATCTAATGCCACTCGACCCAGAAACCACATGCAGCACAGCCCGATGGTTGGAAATTATATTTATCAACTATAACAAATTTATAAGTACGAGATCTTCATTAGACTACTATTACCTCTATTTCTCGAAGTAAGTGTAAATCAGCTAAAAAAACGTTAAAAGATGAAATCGGGAAATATGTAGCGGTTCAAAAGCTTCAAAAATCCCAAAAATAAAATAGCGCGTGACTGGAACCGGAAGTAAAGTGAGTAGTCTTATTAATCATATAAGGGATGCATCTACGTGACAGAGGTAAAAACTAACGCAAACATAAATTTATTAGTTTGTAGAACGTTACGATCCCGTCGGGCATGTGTACTACAATGAGCAGCTTCTGATATACCAAGACAAGTAATCAATGCGTGAAATTGCTTCAGTTGTGGTGGGATGGGCTACTAGAAAGTGGAGGACTTGCGTTAATGGCTTACATCCAGATTGCTCGATGAACTGCGAACTTCCACGAACTATTCGCTGAGGCAGATTGATGGAAACACGCAGAGGATCTCGTTCATTGACTGTACACGCTCGTGGATCTGCATTAGGAAACACATTTTTTTGTGTCGCAGATGATTTCATTTTCATCGTGGATCTTCTTCTCACAAGATCATGATCTTCCCCGTATTCTTCCTCCTCGGGGGCGCCTTGATGCGTAGATGATTGATATTGATTGGAACTGGTGTCGTAATGATCGAATGGTGTTCACATCATCATCAATCATTTTAGTCTATGACTCGTCACCCCAGAAGGAAAAGCGAAAGAATACGGATCCTTTTGCTGCCATTAGATTGGAACAATAGGTAGGATGAATGCGTCTCCGTACTTCATGATTCGTCATGTAAGTGTTAGTAACGAGTCAATAATTTATGGTTCTCTGTCCTTTTTCACCAAAGCGACCGTCGTGTGATTAAAAAATGGGAGGGAAGCGGTCTTATCCTGGGATAGGGAAATGGTCTTCTCCTGTCATGATCGATTGGAAAATCCAATTCCTTTTGTCGTTATGGAAACGACCAACATCAAAAATTAGAACTTCTTTTACACATTTTTGCTTCAAAAAAATATGTTCGTGTAGGTGTAGGTGTCTTTAGAGGTGGGAGGAATCATGTTTAGTTGGGTCACAACCTTCATCTTGGTTCAGGAATCTCGTGCGGCAATGGAAACCGAAACCGAACAGAGTGCTTGTTATTCCGTACGAGGCCGCTTCTAGATTTCCATGACTCACGCAGCTCCCCCTTACTCGGTACCCGTAAGACCCTTTTGCGCCGCGTACATGTAGTGTAAGCTGTTTACGTCTTCTCCTGCTATCACCTTCGTCCAACCGCATTCTTAGATGGGATTTTACACGATTCGACTAGACCCTACACGCAAATGATGGACAAAGTTTCATCTAGTAATGCCATAGCAAATCAATATTTATAATGCACACCGAAGTACTTGTGCGTCGAGTAGAACAAGAAAAAACCAATCAAAAACCCTAACCCACTTATTTTTTTCCCACACTGACTTTACTTTAGCACAACGACCCGCATATTACTACTTGCTCGCAAATGACACGAAAATACTCATTGTAGTCATAATCTCTGTGGACGTGGTAGACGCGCACAACACCACCACTAGCTCCGTCTTTGTGCGTGGCATGGTATATCGCTCTGCGGCCAAGCTCCACAGCGTCAGCTACTGAAAGATCGTATCTGTAGCCATCATCAAGCACGCCATACGCAAACATACAACCTGAGCCTACCGAAAACTTCTCTCCCTCGACGCGGTCGCCTGATCATTTTTCCGGATATGGGACTATTTCGAGGTACTAAGAAAGAGAAAAAGAGAGAAACTACAAGAATGGAGAAGGAATCATACCGAGAGGCCCGGAGAGTAAGAGATTGAGAGTACAAGGAACGATAACACCCGCGAGTCCCACGTCCTGAAGTAAATCAAAAAAGCTAAATGTAAATTTCATACCTTGGTCGTCGACCATGTAGAGATGTGGCCCAGTCTTGTCCCAGCCCGCGACCATGGTGCCACAGCTTAGTCCGTAACCTCGGTATTGTATAAAAATATTCGCCAAAATCTTACTTGCAGCCGCAACTGATATTTTCTCTCGTTCCCTTAGTTCGTACCTGCAGAATCATATGAATCAGCATGCTACATGCGCTTGCGCAGGGGATGTGGACTATATAAAATAAAAGGTGAGAATAATCATGAGCATGCTAATGACTATAGCAACGAGGATTGAAACCAGTAGTTTTGGTAAGTAGATCTAAAAACGGCATCTTCAGGTATCCCATGTGAACACCCCTGGGCCTGACTCAATTCCAGAGAAGTTTTTGGTACATTCGTGCGAGAAGCGTCAGCTTCCTCTCCCAGTAACTACAATCCGCTGCACCGCCTGCCATTGTGCCGAGCAATCGATCATTGATTTCGATCACTTTTTTCACCTGTGATGCAGATGGAGCAAAACGAAAGATGAAAATGAGAAGAGAGCAGGAAATCAACGTTTGAGATCAAAAAATATTAAGTGCTCAATTGAGAACAACGAGCGTGGACGAGCCCGCTTTCATAGAGGTTTAGAGTTCACGACAAGTCAGTGACGACATTGAAGACAGCGAGTCCATTGTTCATAATGTTAAACTTAAAGGCACCGTCTGGCTGCCTATGTAACTGCCCATACTCGCGCGGGAATCGACAGCGATAATGATTCCTCCTTGGAATTTGAAGCCAAGCGTTGTTGTTCCGTGCTTAAAGTCCATCAATTGCGGAGCCGTTCCTAATTTTGGTAGTGCAGAAGATCTATCCATCGGTCTCTAACAAAAACTCTATCTTTGCCAATGAACATCAGCATTGACTCGTTGTAGTAAAATCAATTAAATATTATTTTTCTATATATAATCACACTAGACAAAATGTTCATCATTTGTCAGGAGCGACAGTGTTCTTAGTACTTACTAGAAGGTGCTCAGAAACATCTTACCGCTCTTTTGGATATCGCTGCAAAACGTCATCGGGCTTGGCACTGGGGCGAGGGGGAAGCCCTCTTCCATGTGCTCGTCGCAGGTCCGCCTCCGGTCCTCCTCGAGGTCGAAGCTGATACACTTCACCACCATTTTCTTCTGATTATCGTAAGGTCACTTGAATAATGAAGTTGTAGTTACAAAACCCTTTCTCTCTGCCAAGTAGATTCTTTCTAACAGGTCAGAGGGGATGCTGTGTAGATGACTTACAAAACTAGGACGAGTCGATCTCATCTAGCAGTCGCCGCAATGACTGAATGATCTAGGAGCCAATTGACAATGGTATAGGTACTAGCTTCAGTCTGTGTATTGAGGATTTCCAATCGCCTGCGTCTGTCTTCGCATTTTCACTGTTGTTCTTCTAGTTTTCCACTGTAAGTATGATAGGAGAGGGTCATTTACTCCTGTGAGAGTTTCATCTGCATATAAATCAATAGAGCTATTGCGGGTAAACGCACGCCTCCTGTTGTTGTAGTTCATCCAAAAAGTACTGAGATCTTACCACAATCTTGCTCTTTTTCATGTTGTGTATGGCAAAGGGGAAGTCGAAGTGTATATCAAGATGCTCATGGTGCACGGCAACGAATATCAACAAACTCCTCACTGGTTTCTTGGTGGTCAACGCAATTGATTCATTGATTCCTGACGTTGATTTGGATTTCTCTTCCCACACACATTGGGCTACGGTCTGGATCGGCTTTTTGTCCTCTCATATGCCTCCTATGCTCATGTTCTACTACTTGGCCTTGTATCTAATTCAGAATTTCTGCGTCCAAGATAGAAACAATTGTGTATTGTAGTTTCCACTTTTAGTAATCTTGCACACCAAGACAAAGATGAAGTTCCGATTTTCATCTGGGAGGCAGCCACTTGAATTGCCGAGATGCGCAATAATATGGGCCGAGAAGCGCGGATGATCAACACGCGGATGAATATTTGTGGTTATCCCATATCGCGGAATGCTGACGCATGAGAGAGCATCCAGTTATCATTCCATTCACGCAAGGACAAGGACAGAATATTTTCTTGCAAAGAACACGATGTGAAATTCAATTGCGGAATTGTGGGACGGCCAGATCAGTAGGAAACAAAGCCAGAGGGCAGCTAGAACAATCAAACAAAGTATCTTCGTATTCTTTAGAAAAGTACTAATTGACCAAATCAACGAACATGTTTGATGTCTAGGAAAAAACTTGAATTCCTAGTAGAGCGCCAGGGATAAGAAACTTCGCAGGCACGCGCAGGTCATTTCGACTAAAGTTTCGGGGACGATGATGCTGGATCCGGGGACGCAAACGCGGATACCTCTAGGAAGCAACGGCAGCGCCATAATCAATCCGGAAAGAAACTGTGACGAGACGTTCGCGTCCACAACAACTAGACGACCCGGAAGATGTGTCCGCGGATCTGCCTGTCTTCCGTGCGCCGACTTGGATACAGACACGGAACGTGTTCAAATCATCGCCCAACCGCTTCACAGCAACGAAAGGAGCCAGAGCGTCAATCAGCCGGCTGAATCGGTCGTTTTTTCATGCGAGCGACGCCCTCCACGATTACATCGATATCCGCAACTAGCCCTAGCACTGCTGAGAGAAAACGCACACAGGTGCCGCTGTTGCCTAGATAGACGAGTGTAGCACTTGTTCCGCGTTTTCCGAAGTCGCGACCTGCGGGCTCAACTGTCCCCGTCTTCTGCAATCTGTCTGCGTGTACCTCCAGGCCTAGCTGCTCTAGTGCTCGAACCAGAAGCGACGTGTCTTCCGCAAACAAAACATTTTGTAGAGTGATGAACTGTTTGCCGATGTTGCCTGGAGCTGGTTCACACATCGCAGCGAGTAGAATCGCGCGATTCGTGATCGATTTGGATCCTGGAACGTCGATTTCCACTACTTCTGGATCTGCGGTCTTCACACAGGCGTCGACAACGTCCGGCGGAAGGGTGACGCGCTCGTTCGTTACCATGAGTCGGAGCTGTTGGGGCGAAGGCAGAAAAATGAGCGGCTTTCCCGCGGCAGATATTGTCACCAAGCGTCCCATCTACTTGTCGTTCAGCAGGTACTTCATCAAATTGTCCACGTTGAGAAACTTCGGAAGCTTTGTGGGCATACCGTACTGATGCATGGTGTTTTCGATCTCTAGCCGTGTTTCCAATCAATCATCTCCGCGACCATGCCTGTGGACACGCACAGCCCGTGCGGAATACCGCTTTCTGCTTCAATTGCGTGACCAATCGCGTGTCCAAAGTTGAGGATTTCTCGTGGGTAGTCTGCTGATTTGAAATTTAGCCTCCTCTCGCGAGCGCTCTCCTCCACGCCAGCGCACACGTCCAGACTCGCGCTTCCTGGTGTTCCCATGGTCGCCAAGACGTCGCCCTTTGGATCCTTCGACGCGATGACCATTTTCGTGCGCGCAGTGATCTCTACGATCTGCGCCAATGAGCTTTTCTCTAATAACAAATCCTCGAGCGTGTGCATTTTCAGGAGCTCCCACAGCTTCAGCGCAGGGTCAGGAGTAATCAACGCCGTCTTGAGCACCTCGCACATACCAGTGACCAACTCAGCTTTCGGCAAAGTCGACAAAAGGCTCCAGTCAATGAGCGTGCTTATTATAGGTAGGTGGAACGCGCCGACGAGATTTTTTTCCATGCCCGCACACATCGATCCCGACCTTTCCTCCCAACGCTGAATCTAACATAGAGAGAAGCGTGGACGGCACCTGCACGCACAGAATGCCTCGCATGTAGGTGCTAGCGGTGTAGCCCGCAAGGTCGCCAGTCACTCCGCTGCCCAATGCCACAATTACCGTCCCCTCCAGGCCGAACCTGTGATCAAGCATAGCGCTTTCGATCCGGTTCTTGTGCTCAGCATGCTTCACGGGCTCCGCATGTGGAAGAACCATCGCGCAAAGCTGTCGGACAGCACGCCCTTTTACGTCGGGAAGCGTTTGAAACATGGCCCACAGTTTCTCGATTTGTGTCTGGTACAGCTCGCGAACTATCTTGTCCGTGATCAGCATGATATTCGAAAGCTTTGCCTTCGTACGGTCAGCAACGGTTTTCTTCCAGTCGGTCGCGAAGTAAACTGGATGCCCTGATGCTCAAGAAAATCTTGAGAGGCGACAGATGCTGGCGTCTGCGACGCTTCTGGTTGTACACGACCAGTAGCAGAAGTTTTATCTTTTGCGCTAGAACCAGCTGCATCTACTGCTCCTGGCGCACCCGATAACGAAGCCGAGCTCGAACCACTACCACCACCAGTTGCATTTTTATTTTTTGCGTCGATGCGTGCCTTATTCGATCCATTTTCGACATCCTCTAGTTTCAACGTAAGTATTTCGGTCCTGCTCTAACAGTATCATTGAGTTCAGCAGAGTATCTTGTGTGGCTTTGCGCGCATTCTGGATCATCAACAAATCCATCAGGGCTAGCGCTGGCATCATCTCCACGATCGAGATTGCGCGGCTCACAATGCACCGATCACGTCGCCCCTGGGACTCCAGAATAGCAGCGCTCCCGTCTAGAGGCACAGAGTCTTGCGTCAGCGAAATCGTGGCTGGAGGCTTGAACGCCTCTTGGAAGTAAATGCCTTCGCCTTTCGTAACGCCACCTTGGATGCCACCGTAATAGTCGGTGCTAGTGCGGACGCGGTTCGTACCCTCTTCTAGGCAGAACGGGTCGTTGTGTACGGATCCTAAATGACAAGAAAACGAAACGAGAGACCACTCCTTAAAGAACTATCAGGGCATTTTCAGTAGTTACAATGATGTGTAAGTAAGAAATATAAAGCCACTGGCCCTTTCCCTTCGCGAAAAACCTGCTTCCAACATATTAAACATTATCATCTTTGGTCTGCTCTCTCATCAGCTTCAGGCGAAAAAGTTAAATACCCTGCATTCCTGCACACTTGAATCCCGACCCGATTTGAAAACCCTTTGTTGCGGGTATGGAAAGCATTGCGTGTCCTAAAAGTGCCATCATCCTGACAAAAGCCGGCTCTCCGAGACCGATCTAACAATTTCTGATGATACAAGTGAACACACCTCCGACACTGCCGCCTATAGTATTCAAATCTGCCACCCACTCATCCATGCGTTTTGCCAGCGATAAATCCGGACAGCGAATGATGGATGCATCTATACCTCAGTGCGCTTGAATTCCTTACCAGGAGAAGACGACGAGATTCCAGATGTACAAGCCTTTATGCCGCTACTCGAGACACGCCCAGAGGCAGCCTCAATACCAAGGTACTTCCGCTACAACCCTCCCTCTGGTATCTCGAAAAGCCCGACCTTAGAAACGAATGCAACTATCTCAGTACCACACGCGAGATTCAAGTATTTTTCTGCGATCGCGCCACCAATCACACGTCCGATAGTCTCGCGCGCTGAGCTGCGACCCCCACCGCTCGACGCGTGAGCTCGGTACATTTCGTAGTAGGTAAAAGCGGCATGGGACGGACGGAAAATTCGATTCATCGCAAGCGCTTCATTTCAGACGCCCTTCTACTTCTCGACCTTCTTCTCGCCACCTCCCTAATCATGTGGCCGCTGGTCCAAGTTATGGGCCAGGCCACCTATGGGTGTCCCCAGCGTTCGTCCGATCTCTGTTCCGCTAAGAATTAGCCGACTAAATATCCTCAATTGCAATCAGCTGAGTGAGTCACGAGCCCTGGTGTAGATGTGTGCGGGGCCTACGAGGGACCCGCTGGGGTACACCTACGTGTCACAAAATACAAATAAGACGGCGCACAAGGCCAATAATATTAGCTGATCTTAACAGAATGGACACGCGATCATTCTCCGCCCGAGCTGTGTTGATGCTGGGTGTCGCACCAGGGCGACGTCAAGACAACTACACCTGGATGCCATATTCGGTTAAAGGTAAGAGCGGAGGCACTCCGTCGACTACCACACCGACGCCTTTCCCGTCGGACCTGCCGAATGTGAAGATCGTATACAGTTTTCCGAGCGTCGACAAAACGTCAAGTGATACACAGGGGAGAAGGAACAGCATTCTGATATATCTATCAGCTACCAGTTTGTTCCATTACAACACCAGACACATTTTCATTTAGTGCACCCATATCGACATCTTCTCCTAGACGACGCTACCTAATCCGCGCATTAACCTCTAATCGGCAAAAAGCTGTCGTTTCACCTGTTGGGTGTCGCGCAATGTCATGGGCAAGATACCCTATGAATGACCGCAAATTTTATGAAAAGCAGTTGCTGAACGAAACACGGAGTGCCGCACGACCGACGTATCTACCCTCTTCCGTCAACGACTGATTCCTGCGTTGTACATGAGTCAAGAAAGGTGTGACACTCTCAGCTCTCGATGAAAGCATTAACTTCAATCATCTTCGTTATTACCTCAACCGACCGAGCAGAACAGGGCGCAGAGATGCACCGACGTATCAGTGAATATCTAACAACCAGACACAAACCTAAACCTCTGCTAGATCAAAGTAATCAGAGTCCCAGCTTCTAGATCAAAGCCCCGTTTTTGGTCAGGCTACGCAACAGATACGTGGAAAGCGTCACGTGGTGGCCCATTCATTTCGAATGAACACGAAGGCGATTTTTGCGACTGTTGTAGCTGCATCCCTGCGGACCTCCCAACGGAAAGGGCGCTTTTCTTTGAGTTAGTGGCTTCTTTCTCCTGTTGTCACATACTATCTCTGAAGAATTTAGGACGAATGCAGCCTTAGGCCTGAGCACGACACTGTAGTAACATTTCGATTGAGATCGACATATTCAGCAGCGTCGACTACGTACCCTCCAGCTGCACTTCAGGCTCCTTGCGTAGATCGTCTTCCAGCTCTCGGGAGAGATATTTTTCAATCGCAGCTCCTGCGCGCCATCTCATTTACACATAGCTTCTACTAGTGCATATTTAGGCTTTGTCCATGACGACACCATCGAACTTAGTGGTGAACCACTTCATACCCTGCTCCGCGGTCAAGCGGTGAGCGGTTCCGACCTTGGCGCGCTTGTTGCGGCGCTTGGCAACACGACCTCCCGGACGGGCCAAGTGGACGTAGAAGTCCATACCGTAGATACCTGTTCACAATCAGTGATGAGAGGGTAGAGACTAGGAACTCGTAGAGCGTTCAGTAAGCCTCAAAGCCTCTGTGAACTGACCGGACGAGAGTAGAATCGAATCACGAGGATCATTTGACGTCTTCATTACAGAGTACGATTGAGTAGAATCCGTGCTACGGCTGTTACTACGAACTCTAAATCTCAACGTAAGCTTGTAGAAAAGGAGTACCGCTGGACGGGTCGTACTTGAGACCGAGATCGATGTGTTCGCTGATACCGAAGCCGAAGGATCCGTTCTTAGCGAAGTTACGTTTTTTCAACTCGTACTCCTTGACCTTGAGACCCTTCTCGAGGATCTCTTCGGCCTTCTCACCACGGACGGTGACCGAAGCTCCGATCTTCTCGTTACGACGGATACCTGCAGTTGCAATTTTGGGGGGGAGCTAGAAAGAGATTTTTACGGCTTTGGTGAATCGAGAGAAGTCGCAGTTTTCCTCTAAAAAAATCATCAGTACGCCGCTACAATTTAAGCTTGCAAATGGATAATTTTGGCAACCGTGAAGTATTCTAAACTAATCTAAATCCAAATCGAGAACTAGTAGAGGGTCGTGTGTACCGAAGTTTCGGTTGGTGAAGCGAGCCTTTCCGAAGACCGGCTGCTGTTCGGTGAGCTGTTCCAAGACCTTAGCGGCACGGGTAAGTCTATCACCGGATTCACCAACACAGATGGAAAGCGTCAGCTTGCGGACGCTGATAGCGCGCATCGGGTTGTCCTCGGCCATTTTCGCTGCTTTGGTGGTCTAAGACTAGGAGAGAATGAAGCCTACTTCTCTTGTGTCCTGTGGCTTTTCCACGAAACACAAACTCGTTTCCCTGGCAGAAAAATTTAGATTTCAAAGTCGAGTCGATGAACGCAAGAGAGAAAATCAAATATGTCACTTTATCCGCTACTAATTCCCGAGTTACTAAGGAAAGGATCGACTCAGGAGGAATAATTTTTGACGTGGTTGATCTACCCGTTGTCCCACCAAAATTTTAGATCGGGTCTACCAAGGGATCTCCTGACAAACAATAGATCTTTAGAAGTAAGGGACATTTGAGGAGCTTCAGGCACTAGTACTCTGCCAGCACGGATTCATCTTTAGATGCTAACTTATCTGAAATACTTGCGGTTCTGTTGATGTATCTGACCTATTGTTTGATGTTTTTCACGGGATAACTCTGAAACTTCACCTCAATCTATTGTTACGACCAAACTGCCCTGATCTGACGAGTGGATCCAGGGTGCTGCGTCTCTTCATGTTTCGCGATTGCGCAGAAGATCAGATCCAGCACACTACACTATGAGCGAGGAAAATCTGCTGGATCACCACGGACCATCAAATACAATTCGACCCAGATCTAAATTTTTGGCGACTGCGGATCCTTTTGAAGAACACGAGTGGAAACTTGTAAAGGTAGAAGCCTTCTGTATACAGGTTACATTGCACGGGAAGAGACCACGAGTCTCTCGAAAATTCAAAAAGAGTCTCGATCTGTGTCATGATTCGTGATCTCCAGGCCTGCCAAAGAAATTCCAAATTACGGTACAGTCTGTCAATGTGTTACGTATTCCCCAAACAAATTTCGCGAGAAGTCATCCAATGTCTATTATACATTTTCATGCGAGCGATGTTGCATTTTTCGCGATCCGATTTTTCCAATTTTTAGATTTGATAGGCGTTTGTTTTTACTGATGTGCGTTTGACTGATCATTGCTTTGCATCTTCATCTGTCGTCCTGCAGTCAAGTGGAGAGCACACTACTTGTACTAAGGAGGTGTTGTTTCACTTCCACATACAACATTCCGATGACTTGGTTGTGCACGGCTGCAGTTTAATTCCCCGACGATCTAAATCTCGACATCTTCCCAAGTTTTTCTATGTACAGAGTATCCCAAGAGGAAGAACTATAGATGCAAGAATGTGGCATGCTAACTTAGATAAAGGAGACTAGGTGTGCATTTTTTTGCGTCCCATGAAGATGCTACAATTTTTACGGCCCTTAACAGCTTCTGCGAGGTTCCAGTTCGAGATCGAATCCGCGAAGGCCCACTCGGGGCCAACTACTACCACGACATATTTCTGCCCCTAGCGCTCTTTGTGTCATTGTCGTCCGTGACAATATTAAGTCGATTTAGGAGGAACTTGAGCCACTGCTCGTCTTGGATGTACTTCCCCCGCCGCCAAATCCAGGACCAGAGCCACTGCTTTTAGACACTGAGCTCGACGTGAACCCTGACGTTTCTGATTTGTCCTTCTTGCCCCATCCGAAGCCGCCACCACCGCCTCCTTTACTGCTCTGCGAGGTGGACGAGGCCGAAGCAGAGGAAGACTTGCTACTGCTGCGCGAGGAATTTGACGATTTGTTCGTGTTGGTGTTCGTATTTGTATTTGTGTTGGACGTTGACGTCTTGCTGGTTGCTGCACCGCTACTGGGTGCAGCGCTCTTCTTGCTCTCTCCGCGTCCGTCTGGTTTCATACTGCCGGGCTCGCCTCCATTTCTCGTACTCGCGCGCTCCCCTTTCAAACTGCCCCCACCAGTCTTACCGACACTCTCGTCGTCCGCCGGTTTCTCCATTCCTCGCGTAAATACGGTGCCGGATCGCTCCCACGGTTTCTGCTTGTTGCTGGTTGAAAGGCCCTCACCAGGGATACTCGGACACATATCTTCCACTTGGTCGTCCACTGAGTAACGCAAGGACACCTTTTGGTTTACACTCGAGGCCGTCTTTACATAATCTAAGAGCATGCTTTTCGAACTAATCTTCTCCTCCGCTAGCCACTTTCCATCTTTCACCTCCTTCAAGTCACGGCCAGACGGACCATAGATCGTTGGAACCTTAGCAAATTGATTGATTTGGAAACATCAGATGAACGGATGCATTTTGTCCACTGTGAAGATTTGCATACTTTTGGCAAATTAATGGATTGACTGATGTTCCCAGTACCACGGGGTATAAACATCCGCCATTCTTACATACAAAAACCGACAAAGGCGGAAAGGCCTAGTGAATCTAAACCAAGGGCGTTTCGTTCTTTCGACCCTAGTCAACCCACAACAAGAGAGTCACTTCGCAGAAATTACTTTGAACGCCTGCATTTTTGTGCCTATCCGGCTCCGGCATGTATGAAAGACAAGTAGGCATATGACCCGCATCTGAACTACAAAGCAACAACAGCAGAATTACCTACTTCGGCATCTAAAAATTACAAAGCAACATTCGCAACAGCGCAACCTTTAGATTCAAAATTACAAAGCAGGTTTCCCGCGCCGAAGACGTGCCGGTCAGTGCCGGTCACGTCTTCTGAGGCAAGAGAGATATTATTTAAATCAATTCTACGCAGTGGGTATAAAGGACGAATACCTTTCCTGTAGTCGCAATGGCATAATCGAGCCTGGCTTTCCGAATACCCTTCATGATTCGCGCATGGACAGTCGGGTGGCTCATGAACTTGTCCAACTCGCCTTCTTTGAATGAGACTCGCAGGTCTCCGAACAGTTCTGTCACTGCCAGTAGTTTCAGAGGAGGGATCTCAGCCTTTGTCTGCGCGTTTTTCTTCCGTTTCAGTGATTTCGTTGCGGCTGAAGCACTTTGATTAGCAGGACTTTGGTTCGACTCTTCCTTTTCCTCTTCCTCGACCGGCAACAAGTCATCTAGAAAAATGTCGGCACCGCCTTCGGTGAAATTGAAGTAACCTTTAAAAATGAGCCGCCGCATGTACTTGCCCACTCCCATGTACACCAGGAGGGCGACTCGTCCTCGTGTCCGCAGCTTCAAATGGTACATGCAGAACACATCTGCAAACCCCTTCGGCATAACGCACACCCCCTCGTAGGCGCCAAGCGGAAGGGGCGTCATGAGTACCTCTGGTGCTGGCAGCGTGTTCGGGTTACCACCAGAAAGCAGCAAAGAGAACTGGTGATCAAAAAAGGGTGGAAGGATGGTGCTTGAGACACAACCAACAAACATTTGTTAATATATTATGAATTCTAAAGTTTCTTTTCGCTAGTAGACCATCAGCGTAGAAGAAAAGGCTCACCATCCAAAAAAGTACACGTTCGTCACCTCGTCTGAATTGCACTGGGACGTTGGAAAAGGATCACAAAAAACAAGACGTTTAGTTAGTGTGATTAACCTCACCTGTAAGGCAGAGACGTCTCCTGTGTAAAAAGGAGTACCTTCGGAGGTAGCGTGTTGTTTACGTAGACCGTGCCCGGTTGCTGAAAGCGGAAAGTCTGGAAAACCTCTTTTGACGGCTTCCTCTGCGCCTTTCGTAATTTCAAAGTAAGCGGTTCGGGCATCAGATTCGCGCTGCTGACGACCATGGATCGCTCTCGAGGAGTGAACTTCTCTTCCATCTCCTGGGGCTTAAAAGAGCCCGCTATTTGAACCACCCGCTCCTTCGGGTCATACATCATGAATCTTGGCCCGTAAGGTCCCAATTTAGCAGGGTCTCGAATCACATCATGATGAACCGGCAAATGCGTTCCATCCGTTCCGACCTTTGCCAATGCGGCTCGCACCTAAGTTGGTAGTAAACACGATGAGAATGAACACGTGCTGTATTTGCAATTGGACCAGTGCACCATTGAAGTTGGATTATTCTACTTGAGATCGTCTTACTTGAAGTTGGATTATTCTACTTCAAGCGAAAATAGTCGCAGAAAGATAAGCGTTTGCTAGGTAGCAAGTCCCTGAGAATAATAACAAAAATACATTCATAAGTAGGTTCCTATAGCTTCCTATTCACCCAGTCTATTTTTCATTGCCTGAATAAATCCACACAGTAGAACTCACAGTACCAAGACCCGCTCTTCTTCGCCTTCCGCCCACAGCGCTTTTCGGATGAAGTGGAGAACATCTTGCATTTCGTCGTAATACTTTTTCTGCTTTTCGGAAATGTCCTTGCCTTCCTTCAGCCACTGCAGCAAATGCAAGTAGTAGTACTTGTGATCCGGTGGCAATCGGTCCACCGCCTTTTTCTCGAGCTCCAACGCCTCCACCGTGTATTCGCCGTCCACCCCGACCTCGTACCTCGGATGATTCCCCATCTGCACCTGAATCAAACCGGTGCTCGTGTTCACCTCCGCCAAGTAGAAGTGCTCGTTGTCGTCCTTCTTCGAGTTCTTCGTGTCAGTGCGCAGCTTCTCCATCTCGTAGACGATGCGCGGACCGATGCCGCGCTTCTGATCGTCCGCAAACTGGTCCTTGGGAAAACGCCGCGTCTCATCCGCCAACGCATCCTGCACGATCGGGCTGTCCCGTGGCGTGGACACCCAGTCCTCGTCCGCCCACGCGGACCAGGGGATCCATCCGTTCGTTCCATCTAACTCCGGTAAGTGCTTACTCGCAATGGTGATTGGGATGAACAAGAGGTTCTTCGCAATCTTGCTCTCGAAACCGGCAGCCTTGGTGCGCCTTAGCACCGCTTTCGTTCCCGCTGCGATCTTTACCACATAGTCCCCGTCAAAATCGTCGCCATAAACCATACCGCAAGTGCGAACGCAAATGTACTTATCCGTCTTCGGCAGCGTGGTGCCGTCCGTGGACACCTTCACATCTTTGAACACCGGTGCCCCGTCTTCGTCGTGTGCTATGGCCGAGCCGCGTTTCGCCGATCCGGCTGCCTCCTCGGCAATACCGGTGTCCTCCTTCGGCTTCGGGGCAGAAGGCTTCGGTGGCGAGGGCCCCTTTTTCCCTTTGTCCTCCGGTAATTTTGCGCCTACGGAATCCGCCGCCGCCTGACGCTCTTTCAGCTCCTTCGCTTCAAGCTTCTGCTTTTCTTCCGGTGTTAACTCGTGGAGGCCACTGTGCCTCTTCTGAAAGGAGGCTTCAAAATCGATGTGTTTGATATCGTCTTTGAACGCCACAAGATCGGCGCGACTCACGCCAGCCTCCAGCGCGCGCGACTTGATGTCTCCCGTGGCGACCGCGACTGCCTGTTCCGCGACCGTCATGCGATGAAAATGAGCTTTATGCTCAGAACCAACGGAGGGCCCTCCGACCATACCCGTGGCCAAAGCTGCAGTGTTGTAAGTATGTGATGAAACCAGATAGAACCACGACAGAAAATTAGGTAAGCGCATATTTTTGTCTGTATGAAAAATTGTGTAAGTGTGATTCTGCAACTTGCGATTCAGTACTTGCTCTCGTAGAAGACGGCCCTTTGCTTATGCTCAAGTTCATCAGATGGCTTCTAGCTTGATATGGATTTGGGAATCTAGCTGGGAGATGACGATGTTGAGATGCTCCTAAAGTTTCTCAGTGATCATCTATCTTCGCCATGACAGCTTCTCTAGGGCTAGAAGATGATCTTACTCTAGCATAAGAACGAAGAAAATCAAAATCAAATACTACAACTTACTTTTTAGTCGAAAACAGACATATCAAATTCTAATGCAATTAGAATAATCAGTTGGGAGGCTTTATTTAGTACATGTAGCCCCTCCCTGTTTTTGCAATTTGGCTTTGAGCGCCGTCTTCCAAGCGGGTTCCGTTCCGGAGCTTTCGGAGGGAACAAAATGTTTTGGTGCTTCCCCTGGGTTGTAGCGGCCGCTCGTTGCAAAACTGTGGCTTGCGTTAGGGTCTTTCTTCATATCGTTCACGTTGAATTGCGATTTCATGTTACCGCCCATTTGGGATTTCATGCCGCCGCCCATTTGCGATTTTATACCTGGAGAACCACCGGCATTAGATCCCGCTTGCATATTTCCGTACATATCATCGCTTTGCGGTTCTCGCGTCGATTTTGGCGCCTGAGACTTCATCGCCGCAGACTTCCTAGAAGAACTCTTGGAACTCTTCGATGCAGACGAACTGCTGCTCGCCGAACTTTTACTCGGTAAATTAGAAACAAGAGCAGAGCAGGAAAGGAAAACTACAAACTGATAAATTGAATCCGTTTCTTCGAAAGTAGGTTTACAGGTACTACTTCATCCTTGAGTAAATTCTACGCTAGCTACAGAGATCCAAGCGCAAAATTCAGAGAGACCACGACCAGGAGATTAAAGATTTTCCAATATGACGATCATAGACATGGTCCTCTTCCTTGTTTTTGCGCTCTAACTATTTCTGAAATCAAATGTTGAAAATCAAATTCAAGTTCTCGAAACAACATGATCAAAGGAGCCTTAATGTTGCTGGTGGAGCTCTTGCTGGTGGAGCTCTTCCCGCCACCCCCAAAGGCCGGACCTGAGGACGACGACGCGCTCGAGCTCATCGAGCTATTCGAGGACGATGACGAGGACGACATTTTGTATTTGTTGATGCTCCTCTGTCCTTTTGTATTTGGGAGCTGCGGAAGCGGATGATGATAAGGAAATAAATGTGCTTATGATATTTCCACGACCAAAACCAGGAACTAGCTACTCCAAAAAAATCAACAGAGCAAACACTTCTACGCACGCTTCAAGTCAGCGTCGTCCATCGAAAGCAGACTAAAAGTTACTTACAAATGACGCCAGAGGTAAAAGTGCTGGTACGGTCGAAGCAACATGAATAGAAAATTTCAAAGGAAACAATGGACTCTAAGGGAAACAAACGCTTTCGCCCCAGGGTGGGTGGGACTGAGAAAAGGTTGTGGAATGGAATAACAATTTAAATTTATATCTCTAATAAATAATTAGAGCTTGCGTATATTCATCTTGAAGTGCATCTTTGACCATTTTCCCGTTGAAAACCCGCCAAAGATGCTTGTCGCGATGAATTACGGTAAGCTTTAAAATAAGGAGAAATATCAAAATCATAAGCCAAGACAAGATAGAAATAACTGAATTGTTACACTCGCACTCAGGGCTTTATCTCGATCGCTCAAAGAGGAATGATTCGTTGCCAACAGAGAGATGCTCATCTTCTTCATCAGATTGAATTGACGTGGTCATATCATTTTCTAGTGTGACTATGTCGCTGCATGAGCATCCAATTCCTCGAGGAAACACTCTTGCAACAGAACAATCTCAATCTCACAGACTATCAGAACGTGATCCTCTGTTGATCTCACACTCGATACAGAAGCAGATTGTTGAACAATTCATTGCTCTTCATTCCGGCCAGACTACACCTCAACGAAACCTCTTACGTACGCCGCAGAAGAACGACAGACATAAAAAGTATAGTTCTCCTCCTCTAGCGAACATTGAACAACAGATTTTCGAGGAATCACTATGTTGCGCTACATTTGTACTTCGCTGCGACTCAATAGGATGCGAAATCTTTCAAGTTGTAGCAGGACATGAGGCGACTCCACGGTACATGAACACACACGATGCTTTATGTGAGAAAAGCCGAAAACCTATATCTTCCGAGAAGATGCCGACTTGGAGGATCCTCCAGCTTCAAAGAATGTTCTAATACCTTGTCACAAAGCACAACTCAGCGTGATTGGAAATACAATGATCTCTTTGTTCTTGCTTGCGATTTTTGGAAGCTCCAATACATAGTCTCAAATCATAGCGATAACGGTCGTCAACATGGAAAAGTTATTGCATTAAGAAGTGTTGAAGCTGTAGGAAAATACCGCCAACATGCACGGTACCTCTGATAGTTGGATCATGTTCCTCTTTAGTATGCCTATCCACACAAGTGATTTTTAGGTTTACATTATGCATTGATATTTCTTATTTCATTCATTCCTTCACTCACTCAGTGTCCTTTTTTTTGGTACCTGGGTGGCCTCCCCGAGATCTTTTTTGTTACCTAGGTACATTTCTCGCAGCTAAACCATTTAATTACCCGAGCACGACGGCCAGGCACCTAAAATTGCGCAAACGATTAAGCACGACGGCAATCGTTTTGGACGACCCTACTGCGTTTATATAGCAATCATGGCGGACTCTATCTGATCTACCCCGAGCGATCAAGGCCAAACCCGGTGGATCGAACACGTGACGCGCTAGATCGGTGGTCAGGCCTCAGCTGAAGTTAGTGATCATTCATATGCGTGGGGCATGGGTGAAGTCACGGCGCAAAAAGCGGAGCCACTAAATTAATTAGATCCAAAGAAACGCTTTAGGGTAAGTCGGCGCACGAAGAGTCGCTAACCTTTCACCGGATACGGAATCATACTGGTCTTCTTGCTTCCTCTGGTATTTTTGCCCTTGGGGCTTCGTTTCGCTTCTGGTATTTTGCCCGTTTGGCTTCGTTTTCGCGAGATATCTTTTATTTCACTGCAAAGTATTCTAACAGAAGATTTGAATTTGTTCAACAGGTGCCTCATGTTAATTTTCTTGCTTTCTTTTTGGGTTAGGTTCTGGCCTGCCTAGTAAAGAGACAGACATAGTTGCCAGAGCGCACGATTAGAAGGAATGAGTTCGTTGTCTGGAGATGCGTGGCTTGATGTGTCGCAATCACCGTCAGACGAAAACTTTTATTTATAAATTGCCTTTATAACACACACGAACGCGCCACAGCACCTGCGCGCACACTTTACACGACAACAATCATCATGGAGGACTATGCTAATTTCAAATACTTAGGAGGCTCTTTGCAATTCAAGAAGCTATGACCTAATCTTCTGTTTTGCGAACTGATTCATTTCTGTGATCGAAGTTGTTTTTATCGAGAATGGAAAAGTAGATATGCAATATGAAATATGGCTTCCGTGTGATTCATTCTGTACATTTTGTCACGGCAGCTCAAGAGTGACGGTGGCAAAACATGACTCAATCGATCATAATTCTTAGCTGACTTTCACGCGGTCTTTACGCAGCGATAGATACAGGAGTGAGGATCTATTAGTTGCGTTAACAAGACCAAACATCTACGAAAAGGCTGAACTTTATTACTCAATAGGCGCGGAGGTTGTGCCTGGGTTGTGGAAGTTGCGCCGAAGTTGTGGGAGTTGTGCCGGGTCCTGTGACGAGAGTTTTTTTTACTGTGACGAGTCTCGTTGTTACGGTGGCCAGCTTTTTTTTTACAGTGGCGATAATTCTTTCTACTGTGACAAAAGTTCTGTACTGGGAGGCAAATTTTTTTACTGTGGCGAGAGTATTTTGTTACTGTGACGAGCCTCGTTTTTGCTGCGTCGAGTCTCGTTTTTACTGGGACGCGCCTCGTTTTTACTGTGACGAGCTTCGTTCGGCCTCACTGTGACGGGCCTCGGCCTTACTGTGTTGGGCCTCAGCCTTACTGTGACGGGCCTCAGCCTCACTGTGACGAGCCTCAAACTTTGGAGGGCAGGCAGGTCTCCCCAAAAGTGGAACTCTAGGGCTAGTGGTGTTAAGATTCGAACAGACCGAAGCGCTGAGCACTCGCTGGCGAGTCCTCAGGGCTCGCCTTTTCAGGCTGTTCAAATCTTGGCACTACCAGAGTGCCCTCCAGCAGAAGGAGAAGCACCCTCAAGGCGCACGCGCCTCCTCGAGCCGCCAACGGAAAAGGCGCTCGCGCTTTAAGGCCATTTCTGGGGGCACCTTCCTGCCCTCTAAAGTTTGAGGCAGGGAGGGCTCTAGTGGCGTCAAGACTCGAACAGCTCGAGAGGCTGAGGATTCGCCAGCGCGTGCCCAGTTCGTCAGGCTGTTCATATCCTAACACCACTAGGCCTAGGGCGCCACTCTTGGGGACACCTCCCCGCCCTCCAAAGTTTGAGGCCCGTCACAGTAAGGCCGAGGCTCGTCACAGTAAGGCCGAGGACCGTCAACACAGTAAGGCCGAGGCTCGTCAACGTAAGACCGAGACACGTCACAGTCAGAACGAGGCTCGTCACAATAAAGGCGAGACTCGTCACAATAAGACTAAATCTCACCACAGTAAAAAAAATTTTCGTCACGGTATCAACGAGGCTCGTCACAGTAAAAACGATTTCCGTCACAGTCGAAACGACTCTCGTCACAGGACCCGGCACAGCCTCCACAACTAGCCAACTTTGGGAGCGATCGGCGGAGAAGTTTTCTGGCGATTTCATAGATGGTTGGCCTTCATAATTATGTATCTGCTTAGTATACGATTTTCTTAGACTCAAGTAAGTGGAGCAGTCTCTGCGACGCTTCACCAAATCGGGCGATAATGATCTTAGCCAAAAATAATATATAATCTTCGTATTCGTCTTTGCCTTTTAAACACTTAGTCGCCCAGCCCTAGTCCTGGTTAGAAAATGCAAAGGTTCAAAGTCAAAACTTGTATTCTTGTAACTACAATTCGAACTCACCGGCACCGTGTAAAAATTATTTAATTTACTTACTTAATTATCATAATTAGCAAGCCCTTCTTGTGGCTCTGCTTCGCTTGGTTACTTATATTTCCCGAGACAAGTTTCCGTCTAACAAGCACCGGCAGCAGTCTCGAGCTCCATTTTTATGAGCTCCCAGACTGCTTGTTTTTCTGGAAGCTGCTCTTGCGGCTTGGCGCTCTCGCGCAGAAGATCTGTGAAAACGCTTCCACCCATGCGATCACGATACGTCAGCATTTCGTGCATCGTACTCGCGTGCCTGGCTTGCGTGAGTAGATAGCGCACGTTGCCCAAACACGCACCACACACCGCGAGGTGCAGACAGGTGCGGCAGTCGTAGTCCGCTCCGAGAGTGAGCTTCTCGCCGCCGTGCCGCGTACAGAACTGGCGCAGGTCGTCAAGGGCCTCGATGGAATCCCGATTCGCCGACCACAAAATCGGAATTTCCTCGTCTGTGAGGGACGGATGCCCGACCATCTGCGATGCGGTATCCTCAGCGCCCCTGTTCAGGGCCGGCAAATCGCCGTATTCTTGGGCTTCTGCTAAGAGCGCGGCTTCCTGTAGCGCCGAAAAACTCATCTGAGACTGAGTGGACACTGCAGACTCCTTGCCTTTCTGGGGATGCAGAAACACACCTCCTACCTCGCCTTCGCCGCGTTGTTCTCCGCTGCTCTTGACGTGCAGACCCTTGTTTGCTAGCACTCGCCGTAACTTGCGCGCCGCAGCGACGGGGGCGTGGTGGAGCCCATCCGCGGCTGTCTGACCCCAGCGATCCAGCTTCTCCGCCTCTTCGACCGTAACTGTGAACAGCAGAAACTGGACTACACTTACGTGCCCTTCTGCTACGGCTACGTGCAGCGGCGTACGGTCGTCGTAGTCACCGACTGAGAAGTCCACGCCACTCTTGTAGAATTTGGTCAGCAGCTGCAGATCGCCAAGCATAGCCGCGTGTAGGATGAGCGCCATCTGTTCGTAGAAGGGATCGCGACCGTGCCGAATATTCATTTCCCGCAACGAAAATGATTAGAAGATGAAAGACGAGAGGATAGCACCCGTCTTGTTGATTATGGGCTATAAATATGTATATATATTAGAACTGTTTGTTACAGTACTTTCACCATGATCCGAATAAATTGAGATCCCTCCAGCTACCTACGACAGCGATTAAGTAGTCATGATGAAGTAGAAATACTGGATCTGGAACCAACTAGATCAACATCAAGTAATCGAGATGAGAGGTCTTAAAAGGGGTCCTGGTCCTCGCCCTCGCTCCTAGCCGAGGTTGGACTGTCGAACATCGCTCCCACCTCGTCGTGTCCTTCCTCTTCTTGAAGGGACGCTTTGAAATTGCCAAATATGGCTTCAGTCGTCTGAGGAAGACTCAACGTGTTCAACGACAACAACTTGGCGAGGCGCGTGCAGGCGTCTACGCCGCGTACCGAGTTCCCGTTTTCGTCTAAACGCGGAGAAAACACGGAAATACCGCACACGCCTGGAATCACCATGAACACGCAGCCGCCAACACCGGACTTTGCTGGCACGCCCACGTCGAATGCCCACTGACCGCTGTAGTCGTACATTCCCGCCGTCAGAATTATCGGCAGTAACTGCGTGATCTCTCGACGCCCAAAGCAGGCCGTCCCCGTGATAGGGTTGCGACCGCAGTTGGACAAAGTGGCAGCCATGGTAGACATCAGCCGGTTGTTGGACATGATGGAGCACGCCTGAAAGTAAGTTTCTAGCGTTTCTTTCAGAGCAAGTTCGGTACTGCTCACTGGTGCGAGCAGGAGCATGTTTTCCTTCCTCGCGGTGGCACTCTCCGAACCACCATCTTCGCTGGACAAAGATACTCCGGATGTCTGTCGGTCAGCTAGAACAGGTTCTAATTCCGTTTCCGGCGCAGTCTTGTGGCTATTTTTACGGCCTCCGCCATTCGTCATATACTTGCTCATGCTCGAGACGCCTTTGAAGCCGATCGATCTACTATTTGATGGAGGCTTGCTCGCTTTGTTAGTATTTTGCCGTTGTAGTTCCCCTAAGCCGTCGGACGGCCCGTTCAGAATGCCCTTGAGCTCGTTCTTGCACTTACCACTGGTAAGGCCACGCAAAGCATCCATGAAGACTCCCTCGCGGTGTTGGAGGTTCTCTTCCTGCAGAACCAACCCCTTCTCGTGAAAACAGGGCGGGAAGCTGTTCTTGGACACCATCAGATGGGCCAAGCACCAGTTCCCGTTGGCAGTCAGAGACTCGGACTCGTACATCGCCCTGTTAACGAAAATGTCCGCCGCGACCTTGACGCCGTACTCGCCGGTCCTCGGATTGATGCCTAGAGGACTGGGACTGTAAAGGTTTCCTACACTAGCAGCATCAGATGACGTGGAAACGATGGAGTGGCGCTTAGGCTTCACCTCCGCTGTACCAGCGGCTGAGAAACTTTTTTCATCTTCTGCGGCTGTCTTGCTCCCATTTTTCAGAACTTTACAAGAATCTATATTTTTTGGATAACTTCCTGCTCCACCTCTCTCGCCGACTGCAGCCGCAACGTCGATCCTCCGTATTGCTGCGCTGTTCTGGCAACGTTTCACGTGTAACTCCATCGCCGCGCGTTCTTCTTCGTCCCTGCGCAACGTCTCTTCGGAATTCTCTTCGACGTCGTCTTCTATGTCATCCTTATGATCGGTTACCGTCACGTGTAGCGGCGGCCCCATCTCCTTGGCCTCCTCCTCGACCACAGCTTGCAGAGCGGCTTTACCCGCAGACAGCCACCGAGCGCGCTCGTTGGACATCCCCTTCCGTGCTTCGGGCGAAACTGCAGAAATAGTCATGCTTGTGAGTTCATTTGGAGTTGTAGAAGAAGTGACGCCACCGGCGCTTGTCTTGTTCTTGGGCGCCGGGCTCGCAAAGCTCGAGTTATTCTCATCGTCACCACTCGCGGAGGACGCGATAGATTTATTAACTTTCGCTGCTGCACTACTCGATCGAGCAGGGCTTACGTCTTGTTCTAGAATCTCCATCCAGTCCGCCTCCTGCCTAGTCCAACTCCGTTGAAAATCTTTTGGGGTCGCGGGCGCTGTGACTTCCCCAGACGAAGTGTTTGCTGTTGTTCCTGCATTCTGACCTTTTTGTCCTCCGCGGTTTTCCAACATAGCACGGCCGGGCTGGTTCACGACCCGGTTCTGTTGTTGTAAGCGATTCTGCTCCGCGCGTGCCTGCGCAGCGAGTAGCGACGCTCCGCGAGCGATCAAGTACTCTTTGCCTGGCTGCAGGCCGCGTGAGAGCGAGCGCCAGACCTTGACCAGCTTCGCGACTCGATCCTGCTCTTGTTGTTCCGGAAAGACCATTGACATCGTGCAAATCGCGCCAGCGTTGATGCAGGGATTGTGTGGGATCTCGCATTGCTCCCCGGTCCGCACCCGCTTCTTTTTTTTCAAACAGACTTCGTTGAAGGGCCGTCCACTGGCCTCGACGCCTACATGGTCGGAGCAGTAGCGCGTACCGAACTGCCGCAAGGCGCACAGGAAGCTGATCGGCTTCGAACAACTTTGGATTGCAAAAGAGTTTCCGTGGTCCCCTACGCTAAAATGCTGCCCGTCGGTGGAAGTAATCGAAATCGCAAATTGGTCCCAAGGCACCGCGTCTTCCGCCAACTGCGGAATGTAACTCGCGTTTTGACCGCCGTGATTCGTACGCACGACCTGGTAAACGTCACGCACGATGCGCCGCACTTCCGCAAACCTTTTGATCGTGTGCTGTCCACGCAACGCAAAGCGCACAAACGCGACACAAGGCGAGACCATCTCAGTGAAATCAGCTTGCGTCAGATACAATTGCCTCTCGGCAACGTATCTCTCTTCCAGTACTAAAAGATGCCCTCCGGGCGACTCCTCAGAGGAAGAAGAAGATGAACCACCACCGCCACGCTGTGAAGCGGCTGTGCTGCAACTACTCGAAGCGCTAGATTTAGTAGTATCTGCGCCACTGCTAGAAGATGAAAATGAAGTAGTACCTGTTCCTGTCGCGCCTCGAATCATGTTCGCACCGCTTTTCACAACGCTGCTGAGTGCTCCGCTCACGTAGCCTTTCTGCCGGTTCACTCCGAACAAGTACCCTCCGCCCTGTTTGCCAGATGACCTGTCTGCAGCAGTAGTTCCAGACGAGGGCTCGACCAAACCTCCGTAAACAACCGCGTCTGCGGCGGAGGCCAACAGCACATCCGCTGAAGGGTAGTCGGGATCGTCTGCGCACTTGTCGCAAAATTTCCAGAGCCATTCAACAGACAGCTTCCTCTCCTCCACAAGGTAGGTGAAAATGGGGTGTAACCGCATGTCCAAGTGCACCAGGAGACCTTGCCGGGAGAGGTAGGCAATCAGATCTCGCACGTCCAATAACGGCTCCATTGTTTCAGGATCCGATAGGCCAAATCGGTCGAAACTGAGGAATAGCATCGCACCCTCCTGCGCCAGGTCATGTTCGCCAGCAGGCGCGTGACTCCTGGTGTCAGCTTCGTGGTCGCTTACTTCCTGGCCTCGTGTGCCTGGTGCTGCAGTACGTTGCGAGGATCCACGGTCTTTACCGGCGGCACAAGACCTATTGGCAGTGGTGGAGCTGGACACGGGACTGGACTTGACTGCGTCAGGCGGCGGGCCACGCGCTAATATGCCGGCCGGACCTAGACTGGTTTTCCTCTGCGCTCCGCCCGTCGAGGACGATGATCCTTTTTTGACGCTCGCGCTATTCCCCATTTTCGTTTTCTTTTCTTTTTTATTCGAATCATATATCGCTAGTATTTCGATCGAACTTCAGATTGATAGATATCACGCAGGCAGACTTACATACTACCTGAGCAAGCTAAAAGCTACAATTAATGACGATTGATCAAATTAATTCCGACGTCTTTCTGTTATTCATAACATATCTCTTCGGAACTTGAAACAACGTCTACTTTCGAAGACCAACTATATGTATGGTTTGGGAGAGAACTCCTCTATTAGTCCACTGCAGCTGCCGGATACATCCGGAAGTCATTTTTTGGGCATCAAATATGGTAAAAATCAAGTCCGGCCCAAAGTCAGAAAAGTATTACCAAATGTTCATTACCAGATATCAGATTTTAGGGGGTTTCGCATCAGCCTGGACTCTTTTTTTTGTATTCCAAGACCGCCGGAAGGGTGACCCTAGTTTTAACCAGTTCGCAAACCGGCGGCAGGTGGAGTCCGATTACCTCCTTATATTACTGCGCACTAATTGCCGACGAACCTGCCGACTTTAAAATAATGAACCCTAGGGGAAAAGGAGGCGGGTTACGAGTCTTATCTAAACCCCCACCGGCTGCCAACCGTCCCGCTCATATACGCCTACCTACAAGGCACGAGGGCAGGGCCGCCAACCCTGCTTACTCTTGACTAGTCACTAGTGTGCGCAATCAACTGACAAGTGAACCCATAAAAGTGAACGCCTACTGGCGTAAGGCCCTAAGTACAACACGTTTTTCGTTGTTGGGGGTGCACTATCCTAGTTTTTTTATCTTCACTGCTTCGCGCTCCCTCCTTCGCGCCGTGCACCATCCTCAACCGCGTCCCGCTTCCGCAATCGCCATGAAATAACCAAAAAGAAAAACAGAAACCGGAGGGCTTACTCCAACCAAAGGGGCTACCCTATGCCTGAGAGCCACTGCTCTGTTAAGAGCGGGCGGGAGATAAAAGGATCCGCGAGGGAGAGCGATTGGACGCTCTGTCTCCCCCTTTTAAATTGAGCTGCAGGTAAGGCCTGAAGTCTTCCTATTCTTCCATCCTTCTTCTTTTTGCCCGTAAACAAGTCCTCGGCTCTCGACTCACACATAACAGAAGTAAAGAACACGCTAGACCCCAATCAGTTTCCAAAAGGCGACTGGCCGGCCACCAAAATGCTCAAAAGTCATCCAGGAAGTAGGTGGCATTTATGCATTTCGGTTTCACTCGACTCTCAACAGATTTTTTCTACCTTCGTTCTTTGTAGAACGCTAGGTGCGACGGCGTAGCAAACGAAGAGGCACAGAACTACTCGGAAACGTAGTCTGGAGCGAATGCGCAGCTGAGATAAGGTCCTCTGATTATCAACCAATTCCTACGTACTCTGCATAATTTCTGATTGTGTGGACAAGGAGGGAGGAAGCGCGGGAGGAACCGATCCGACATCTACATCATCTGTCCACAAGAAAACGATTAAGCGGAGCAACATCGTCACTCATTCTCAACAAGCGCTGGCGCACTTCTGCCATGTCCCTGTGCATTATTCATATTCATGTTCTACCAAACTGCCACGATAAGATTAGCGAAACTATATTTCTCAAACGTCAATATATCAACGCCAGTAAAGCCATCAAACTGATAAGGATAATCAAACGTTTTCTCTTTTTTTCTAGTAGGCACTAGTACATCACTTTCATAAAAGTTGATATATTTGTTACACACGTCACGTCCTAGTTGTCAACCGATTATATGAGGGAGATGCCTGGTGCGTGTTTTTGACCGAAGCGGGGACAAGATGTTAAAGCCTTGGTCCGAAACCTCCTTGCTCTCCGAATTATTAATGCTAGTTTCCTGAATTCTAGATCTGCTCCCTACTTTTCCGAAAATTTTTCCGAACAACAGTGTATTTGTCCATTTTGATACGACTATTATAACTGGAATTCGGAATTGGAAAATCCTATATTGGTAACTACACCAAGGACAGACTGACAGGACAAACATTCAGGGTCGGGGGAAAATAATATGAGACTTTGTCTTAACAAGCCAAACAAAGATACCGCCTTGAAAAGCGACACTTTAAGTGTATTTTATTGATTGAGAGAATCGAATTTCATCACGTGGACGATGGTAGTTACAACGAACAGGGTCAATGTCAATGAAGATCAAAGTAAAAAGTACGTAGTACGATAACATAGCGTAAGTAGGCAACAGCCAGTTTGATGATGAGTATGAATGACGACCTCGTCAACTTTGCGAAGGATGAGCGACTCTAATGATTTTTTTCAATGCTCCGCCGTCTTAAAAATCAATCCTCACTCTCAACTCTGTGACAGAGCTAGCTCAAGAAAGGAACAGCGAACGCGATTGGAATGGGGAGACTTCAGAGAAAGTCGCTGGCCCCCACATGGAGCGCAGTACGTATCACAAGCATGAGACAGGCAGAGGAAAAGACATGCCACGAGGTGACGCACTACTTAGCGACAAGCTACACTAAACAACGAAGGCACACGATCTAATCAAACGTCTCCAAATTCAAAGAAAAAGTGGCCGAACAATAACAAGTTTGTATCAAAGTCACTCAGACTACTCTTCGACACCGGGCTTTCAACTTCGGATTAACAGCGGCAAGAGTACGACAGCAGTACGAGATATAATGACGAGGCCGTTACAGATCTGCAACACCTTGTATCTTTCAGGCTCACTCTCGTCTCTAATGCGACAGAAATATTTATTAGTTCACCTATGTATGAGAATTGAGTGATTGAGTGATTGAGTGATTGACTGATTGATGTACCCATTCACGGGGTATAGCATCTTTAAGCAAATGCAGAACTTCTCCGACAACGACAGACATTTACAACATCCTCTCCCACAGTGAATAGCTACGCAAGAGCGTTTAGAACAGAATTATGAGGTAGAAGGCCTCAACATCAGCGAACAGGCAACGCTTATAATCCAACTCTTTCGTGTCAGTGCGACTGGTGCGACGCTTGTCTCTTCTTTGATATCAGTATTCGGAGGTATAAGTTTTTTTTACTTAGATTGATGTACAACTCACTGACGCATAAAATTTTGCATCGATTTCACGAGAAACCATTTGATCGATCCATCATGGGATCCACCTCTTTTCGTGCCCATCCCATGACGAATGTGTAGTATCATGATCTACCGGTTTCCAAAAGCAACGCCCAGAAAAGATATCGTCGAGAATCTTCTCACGCTGAGTTTCGCTCTCACCATGCCACCACTGACCCACGAATATTTTCACTCCCCGGCTCCGATAGAAGTCTACGCCACACTCATGCGTTCGCATACTTTTCGCTGCTGTATCCCAATCGGCTCCGCGCAGAAGCTTCACGGGTTCTGGCACATTAGAATGCCCTGTCTAGAATCAAAAACCAGAACTGCAACTTCGATAAAAGAAAATGCAGGATAGCCCGAACACTAAAAAACACTTAAGTAGAATTAGGCAGGGAGTAGGGGTCAACGAGCGGAATCAGCCGGCCCTCGTGTTGTAAACAAAGCAGGACGTCAAGGTCAACATGAAATAAGATCTGACGCCCTCCAACAAAGTAAGAATGTTCGATATACTTATCTATCAATTATACTCTAGTAGAAGAATGCTTCATCTGCATAATCAGAGGCGGTCTGCCATGAAAAAGCGCGACGCAGCCACATGCAGGGCAGCATCCATCACAACCGTAATTCCCTGTTTCCGCACTGCCACCGAAGCTACAACAAACAGTGATATCTGGTGGAAGCGAACCGGGAGTCCAAGGGGTCTCGTCCGCCCTTTCGCTCAACGCCGCCAGTTGAGCATCACGGTCTTCATCAAGAAGGCGCTCCAAATCCAAACTTACAGCAGTTGCAACATGCTGTCGTTTATTTCCTTCTGCAGCAGCACGGCCGTTTATATTTTTGTCCGATTTCTTGTTAGTAGATTGAGATGAAGTGCCCTGCGTTAGTAGCTTTTCGATCTTAACATCATCGCTGATCCTCATCTGCTGCTTATTTTTCGTAGCTCTAGTCGCAGTGCAACTAGTGCTGGGCGATGAAGTAGAAGTGTCCCTTTTGTTCTTGTGGCTGGTTCTTGGCACAGAGGCACAAGACGAGTCGTCGAATTCATCTAGATATTTTTTCATCGACTTCGGGAAAAAAGCGCGATCGCGGATTCTTTGTGCAGCTTTCTTGGGAAGTCTTCTGCTGCTATACGGCCACTCGTCGTCCGCTCCTGACATCACCAAATCGAAATCCTCAATCTGATTCGAGAGAATAGCTCCAGCCTAACTCTAAAACTTCGAGAAATATAACCTATTGTCAAACACCGACCTCCAACACCGACTACTTCGAAGAACATATGATACTCTTCCCATCACAGAAATTTCTTTAAGCATGTGTGTACATTAAATGTTTTGTCTACAAGTACAAAGCACTAAGGACGCAAATGGAAGATTCTGACCAATCAAATGCCGGCATTGCCATAAACCAAAGACTGACGCCGTCTTCATCATCTTCGTCGAAAACACCTCGGCAAAAAGCATGATTATCACGCGTCCAAAAATCAGTCGCATGCCGCTTGCTGCGCCAGGGACAGAGCGCTTCTATCGTCCGCAGCGCAAGCGTGTCCTGTCCAAACTGTGAGCGGCAGTCCTTCGATTTCAATTTGTCTCGAGGACAGCACGCGTCGCAGCAATAGATCTCGCCCTGTTCCTGCTTTCGGAGACTGCGTGACTTCGGTGTTTCAATTTCCAGGAAGTGGCCCTCGCTGTCCCCAACATTAGAGCTACCGCATTCGCATCTCACTCTAGCAGTATCCTCGACGTTTTTCCCCCTCAGGAGGACAGCTATAAGCTAAGGAAAATAATGGCATCAGTGACTAATCTTGCAGGCCTTAGAATCTTAAACGCTTTGCTTCTTATATATGCCTCAGGGCCGTACGGCCCCCCCTTCCCCCCCGTGGTCTGGTCTGTGGTGGCGCGCCCGCGCGCTTTTCCGCGCGGATTTTTCGCGGATTCTAGTGGTGGAAGGCGCCAAAACTTGGCGCGGGCCTCCCCTTGGACCTCTCAGCGCGTTCCTAAGGGCCACGGTCGCAAGAGCAAGCAAGCCGATGACCAAGGGCCCGGAGGGTACAGGCGGCACGGCTCAGGGGGCCCAGTCCCTCGCCTTTTGCCGTCTTCGGAGGCCTTCCGCTGCCGGCGCACTGCTGCGGCGGCGAAGCCTAGCGGACGCACTGAGGGCACAGGCAGGCGCCTGGACGGGGGCGCAGGCGGTCCCGTGGGCCCCTTTTGTCTGTAGCCATCTAACCCCTCAAGTCTGTCGGGTACATGCAAACGAGAAGAAGGCAGCGAGCCCCTTGGTCCCCCCTTGAGGCCTTCCACCTACTTCCCAGGCCTCCAGGGGACACAAAGCTCCTGGAAGGGGCCGGGGGTGGCCCCTTGGCCCCCTTTTGAGGCCTTCCTCCCCCGGCAGACGCCTCAAAAAGGGGTCCAGGGCGCCCGCCCCCCCCCGCTAGGGGGGGGCGTCGCCCCGGGCCCTGGAATATATATGTTATTAGCGATAGCATCAATGAATACATATATTTTAGTGGCTCTCCATCACTTGTCAACTAGGCATGAGCTGAACTATACCAAAAGAGTATGCTGTGGGAGGATGCTATCTTGGTCTTGGTCGCCTTAACAAGATGCCAACTCGTTGAAGTTACCAACTCGCAGAAGTCGCTAGCCAGCATTCTATCTGGGTTCTCGGGAATCCTCAGCTCCAGTCCCGCCGGCACCTGTTCGTTGAATATTCAGCAGTATCTATGTATGATTAGGCCACTGGTGTCTGACCCTATTTTACTTTGTCGAAAAATAAAGTACATGATGCAACAAAGAGAAAGACGGGAAAAATGCGCAAGACGTTCTTGGGTGTCAGCTTTCCGAAAGCGCATGCCAATCATCTCATGCAACTGCAACACAAGAGCCTTACCGATGATGCACTGGTCGTAGGATGTATTCCACCTCGCTGTTTGCCTAGCGCCTCTTTTGTCTTTTTCGTCGAGGCCCCTTGTTTTGCCGTGCTAGATGAGGATCCTTGTTCTCCACTAAAGGTAGAAGATCCTTGCTTCTTTGCTTGCGCCGGCCCGGCGGCTTTCATCTCTTTGTTAGAGCTCGTCACGATAATTGATTTCTTATTCGGTTCCTCTTTTCAGCCCTGCCCTCTGTTGGAAAAGACCTTGGACGTGAAAAAGAGAATAAACTTTATGAAATGAAGCACCAAGAATAGATATAACGAGCCTTAATCTTGCTGCATGACGCCGATGACGCAGATTCGCCCTCTGCTGGGGACGAAGGGGCAAAAAGTGACGCAAAGGACACAGTGAGCTTCGTACACGCCCTCAGGTTTGCCGCAATGGCAAGCTCTCCCTTTTTCGGCGAATGTGAGGCCTGGTCTTATTCTTATAGCTGACCCTGACACCTTTTTCAGCGAAGACGAGACCCAGTTCAGTTCTTGACTGTACACCCTGCTACGCCTCGTAATTGTATGGCATTTATTGCAAATAGGGACTAAGTACTAACGACCTCCGAAACATCGAGGGAAATTAGCCGGCTAATATCCTTTGTGTGCTTTGAGCGTCGCGGGACCTTCCTACACCTTCCCAAAAAGGCGATACTTTTGGGGGGACGAGTCTAGACTTGCAGCACGCCTCGCGCCGAAGACCTCACTAAGGCGAGCTAGGGAGGGGAATGAGGCCTGCCTTTCACTCCGTCGGTAAGTAATCACATCTACTACACTTATCCACTAAGTCAAGAACAAACGAACCTGATCGCAGCCATCGCGTGAGCACTCAAGGCTTTCACCTGGTATGGTATTTATTATAAATATGTCCTAACGTGAGAAGTACTAGACCAAACAAGAACCTAATCAATGCTTCATCAGCGACGTCGTCGTGGTTTTTGATCACTGAGATGGCAAGCGCCTACTGGGGATGAATAAATCACTTAAGTGTACTTGTCTTAACCGTCTTCCTTGCTTTGTGCCTCGAAAAGCCGGTCCTTTTTGTTGTTAACTGTTTGATTCTTTGCGGTGTTCCCAACTGAAGAGCTGGTAGCGGAACTGGCCAAAACTGGCGGAATCTTCTCGCTCACGTTGCTGGTGAAACGAAATAGATCCCGGGCTTTCGGGTTAAACGACCAGTACCTTTCATATATACCAGACTCGTGTCCCTCCATGACTTAGAGGAGTTCTTACGTTGATGAAAAGTGCCAGGAATTGATTTAAGAGGCAATCTGCAGACTTTTCTTTAAGTGCACTGGTGATGTGGTGGGTAAAATGCTGCGCTCGGCAGCGATCATGTGAGCCATGTTATTGTTAATACGTCGATGAGGGGAACGAAGCAAGGGAATGCGAATGTACTATTCTCATCCTTTTTTAATAACAATAGAAGTATAAGCGGCTGCAATTCTTATTCTAGTAACGCAAAATAAATGCTTCCCTCTTAGGACTGTAGTCGCTTGACCTCTTAGGCTGCTAGCAAACATCGCGCATCTCTTCTCACCTATAGCTTTACCGTACATAAGAACTGTCCGAATCACGACCATCGTCGAGGACGTTTATCGCGCTCGAGCGCTGTTGTCCTTGCATCGCTGCACTGCCTTTACCTTTTCTAGCAGCTGCAGCTTTATGCTCTTTAGACGAGGTATCTTAATGTTGAGAAAAGTCGTCCTGACCCTGTTCCTGTAGTACTTGACGAAATTGTTTGAAAACACAAATAAATAAGTTCGTGAATAAAGTAGACTTTCTCATTCTCTTTCTCTATAGTTCCAGGGCTCAGGGCTTCAGTTTCACACCTGCATGATATTCTTGGTGGACGACGTACCTTTCAGGGGCTTTTCCTCCCATGAATCGGAATCACGATTCCCCACTATTGCAGTTTTAATTCGCTGCGATTTCGGCTGTAGACGTGTGGTCGTCGCCTCCGGTATCTTCGGGTCTAAAAGGAGCTGAAATTTCGGCCGTAGACGTGTGGTCATCGCCTCTAGTATCTTCGGATCTAAGTATCTGCATACTCTTTCATGTGGAAATTTCCAAGCCCAAGGTTCTTTAGACCATCCATCATTTTCCAGATCTGGCACTCTCACTCTTTCCTATTCCTTGTGATGTTGAGCGTCGAACTATTTCCTAACTCGTTGTACGACCCTAAGGTTCAGTAGAAGATTCAGTAAATACTATTTCACAACTTTAATGATAACTAACAAAGCCAGCATTACAAAAATTCCAAAGGCTTTCGAACAAATTTGCAGTCGTAATAATCGACTTGCTTTCCCGGAGATGGTATGACATGTCGAAAGTCCAAGGCATGTCTCTTCTTTTCGCGAATCTCGGGGGGCCTGCAGGCTTCCGACGCCTTACGACTGCGTTCAAATACTCGCTCCACATTTCTACTACGTCTAATGCAAGACCTTCGCCTACCGGATCCTGTTGCAGAAATCGAAGGAGAGCCCACCGCACTTCCGCACAAAACGGCCGCCCCGTCGGTAACCGTTTGTGCCGAGCGAGACGAGCTTGCTTAGATAAAAAGTATCCTGCTACAAATTGTTGCTGTTGCAATGTCGTACGGTCGTCACAATGCTCTAGATGTACGTCGTCTTGATAAGTAAATTATATCTATAATCAAGCAAGTACGGCACTTTTATCAGTGCCACGTACTGGTCCTGTGTAGCAGTCAATACAAATACTAGGCCGGCAATCATATTATGTCGAATGACGTTCATGATTCTACTCTTTCTCGTCAGTTGAGCGTGAGGGGTACGGTCCAAAGTAAATTGCTTGTAGAATAGAGCGACTTCCCTAATCTTTAACGACGGTTTGTTCGAAGAGGAGGCAGACGGCGCCGAGTCAACAGCGGTGGAAGGAGGAATCTCCAATAGGCGTTCGTCTTCATCTAGTACGAAGTGCATTCCTTGTCTGCGAACAGCGCTGCCACTTCGGCGCTCCTCGTCGTGCTGTTCCTGCGGCGGCACATCGTCTCCCTCTAGCGCATTATCGTCTCCTGAAGAGGAGGATGATGGACTTTCGTCAGCCTCACTAGATAGGCTAAAATTGCAGACATCGAATTCTTCTGCCCCGAGAGAGTTAGTTGTAGTTCCAGCACTTCGAGCGACTTTATCCACTTCCTCGGGCCAAGAAAAGCGACTCACGAAAATCGGCTGCCCGGCTCGTGTGCGTTGTGGAAGCCGTCGCAAAACGCCATCTTCCTCGAGCTCTTGTAGCGGCTTCTCACACGTCCACCCCGTTGGCTGTATGAGCAGTCCTAGGGTCCAGTCTAGCGATGGGCGGTAAGCATATGTCGGGGAAGGTTTGTTGGCATCAGTCTCACTGTTCAACAACAACGATTCGGAGCTGCTCGTCTTCACGTTGCATGTTGTAGACGACGCCTCGTCTTCAGCATCCTCTTCAACATTTTTCCCGCTGAGAGGACGCCTTTTCCCGGTTGTACTAGACGTAGAAGTAGAGCTGGAGCTAGCTGCGCTAGTTTTCGGCTTCTTCAAAGCTTCATGAGGGACATCCTTCGCTCCACCAGGTTGTTGCTGGTTTTTTCTCACCACGCCACGACTAGACGAAGAGGCTTTGCTCGTACTACTAGACGTGCCTCTTGCTGTTGCCGTAGTCCTTTGGCGTTTATTCGGCTCCGCGCCAACTGCTTCCGTAACGCTGTCCTCTTCCGCCGGCCGGCCTCTCTTCGGCGCAGCTCTTCCGAGTTTCGCGCCTTTGCCAGTCGTAGATGAAGGCATGTTATTTCAAGAATTCTTGTAGAAGATACAATGAGTGAGGATCTTGATGATGATATTGATTTATTACCATCGATGAGAGTACGAGTACATCTACATACTACTTTGTGATAACAGCATAAGTAGCTAGTTTCCATTATTAGCGTTTTCGGATAGATTGAACAAACTGTGGTGGTGACACAGCCATGAATATGGTCACTGTTTGACTAAAGGGAGGTGTTTGCGAGGGAGTGGTCATAGCAAAAGCAGTGGGGAGATACCAAAAAGCTCCAGTCTTTTTCCATATTTTTGTGTACTTACATGACCGTGACATGCCAATACAACACCAGTTTTAGCTCTTTCTTACTCAGTGCAAAAAAAACTTGACGCACAAGACGAGGACGAGTCAGAAGTTTCAATGATTGAAATGATAGAAAATATAAATTTTCTCAATTTTTCTTGCAGCTCTTTATCTCAGAAAGGATCCTGACGCCGCGCCTTGCCCTTTTATTCTGCCGGCCTCATCGCCTACTGGCGTTGCACTTGCTGATTGTGAAGAGTCAGGTTTGTGACGCATTGCTGGTGAAATAACTTCATGCCTCATGAATTATCTGCCTACGCAATTTTGAGTCCATGTATTGGATGTTGAGGTAGACACAGGGATGCAACGAACAGAAATCACAGTCTTTGCGGGGAGGGGCGCCCGAAGTCGTTCTTGACCTCAAGCGAAGTAATAGCTACGAGCTCCATGTTGTAGGGGAGGTTACATCATCAACGTATGAAGCTCTTGGCTCAAGAAAAGAGTAAAGATGAGTGGGAAAAGCAAATCGCAGATATAAAATCATCGACAAAGGCAATGACCATCTTCTTGGATGTTATCTGTGCGGTATGTCATTTTTGTTCTCTGATTTACGATCGCAGATCGAAGCCCTAGGCTACGCGTACTACTGTTACCAGATTGGAAAATAGACAGATGTTTTTCATGCAAGTATGATTCATCAACATAGCTTAAACTTTACGCCGCGCTACCTATACGTAGTGGCAGTGCCGTAGTGGTAGTGCCGACGTGTGTAGTGTCAGTGTCACTAAGTTTTTTTTCGACACCTTCCAGATGAATAAGCCCTAAGAAAGAAGATCCAGTTACTCGTGCCCCCCATCACCGTCAGGACCATTCTATTTCTGGATCACGACCTACTCAATATTTTACAACTCTTCTTCCACATCTTCTCCATCCTTGTCTGAAGCCTGTGCTTCTGGCGCTTTCGCCGCATCTGCGATTTCCAAGAGCAAACGTTTTTTCAACATCATTTCCTCTTTTTTGGACTGCGTAAGCGCTTTCGAGGCAATCATGTTCCCCACGCGCTTCTCCTCTTTCTCGGTAAATTAGAAGCGATGCCACTTGGTTCTAGGCATACATAGGCATACGTCTCCTCGAGCAGTCATACACAAAGTTGGTTTTAAGCAGTTCTAAGTAATGTTGAACAAACTAGAGGCACTGGACCAAGTGTTTCATGTAAGTGACGACCGCTTTATAAGAAGCTACTTGAGATGTCAGACCACAGTGAGTAACCAAGCACATGCACAAGCAGTATCTACCGATTCAGTATCAGCATGCAATATCAAACTTACTACATTATCTTCACTAATTCTATTCAATGACAGATTCTGCACATGAGCGTAAATGTAACCCGATACCGATCCGAACTTGGCTGCACTCTTCATCACCCTTACCAGCATCTCACTCGTGGATCCAATGTTGTCGAGCGCCTCCATTTTCTGGACGATATCCTGCAACGCACTTGTTTCCGCCTTCGCAAATTCGGTAATGAGCGTTTTCTCCTCCGGAGCCTGTTAAGAAGAAAGAGAAAATGTTGTTGATATTCAATATAAATAAGTGACACTTTTCGACTTTCGTGTCCACCCAGATTGATGGGCGAGGAATATCATAACCTAGGGAGAGATGTCGAGGAGAGGAAAGCTACTCTATAATTCGCATGATCAGGAATATGAGAAAAATGTTTTGATCGTTGACTTGTAGTTCCTGAACAATTCTAGTTTTAGAGGAACAGGAAACAAAGGAAGAACAAGTAATCTAATTTTACCAAACCGAGCTCTTGCTTCGGGCCGGCCAAATTAATGCCATTCTCACGGAGAAAATCAGTCACGTCTTGGAAACTAGTGTGCTCATCCTCGTTCACAGGCTCCGATTCTTCTTCGCTGTAGCTGCTTTTCTTCTTCTCTTAGAGTGTCACGGTCGGGGAAGTCGAGTGATGATGAGATCAGAGTCTGGAATTACAGCACATACTCCCGATCATAAAAATCAATGCATTATTTGTTACCGAAAGAAGCGCTACTCATTTATACTTGCCTGCACACAAGCTAAGGCGTTCCTGGCGATCTTCACGTAGTAGATCATCATTATTACACACACTCACACAGTGTCCAGGTCCACTTCCAACTACTAAACGATCAATGACTCCATAATCAAGAATCTTGAGCTTCTTTGCCGCAGAGATTCTTTGGTCCACTTTCTGTTGACCATCAATCACAAGAAGCAAGGGCAGTTCTGCCTCGCTCGAAATCCCTAGTCTATCGGCCAGGGCCTTATCATTCGCCTTGCCCTTCTTGTCCTTAATCTGCCACTCGCTGGGCTGACCTTAGATGAGAGAACGGATCCGCCATAGACACAGAACACATAGACATAGAACACCTATTTGTCTTTTCCTCAGAGTATCTACAAGGTCCGCTTTTGCGGCACAGACAACTACTAACGAGTACGTCGAGTGCACAGAAATAGTGACGCATGATGACACAACTTGCGCTTTCGGCTGACTTGTTTCGTTTTTCACTCTTTCAGACCACGAGAACCAGAACGAGTACACAATAAGAAAGAGCCTTAATCGTCCTCGCCAACGTCATCATCGCGCGGTGGTTCTAGATCAAGCTCGACATCGAAGGCAATGGTGTCCTGGCTAAAACGGAGCCCCTCTACTGTTTGCTCAATCAGATCCTGCGAGTCGTACCTTCACGGATTTTTCATTTCGTAAGAAAGTAGACGAAGATGTATCACCACGACCATAAAAAGCGATATCACTTGTAATTACACAACCATGCTTACAGAAAAGCAGAACTTTTTTCTGTAAGGAGTCAGAAAAGGGACAAGCAAGATGTCGATTAAGATACCCGTATTTCTTCTTTAAGAGCACAACGCTCTTGTGGGCCCATTCCTTGTTATCGAGAACCATTCGTCCGAAAGTAACGCTGTCGAAGCTCGTTTTTCCGTGGTCCGCATGCGCTCCCTGCATGCCGTAAGAGGCACCAAGCAAAGACACAACCAACCTGGACATTGACGACGCCATCTTGATTATGATGTATCTGTGTTGTGGAGACAGACCGAGTGCTGAGAGAATGCGTCTGGCGTTCCAAACCGGAGACGATTTCTTCCGCTATGCATACACTTTCTTATGTGAACTTCATGCGATGTGATGACTTTTTTTCTCTTCTTGCCAGGTGGAAAGTTCTTGAAAAGCAAAAAAGTAAAATAACACTTAGATCATCACATGACCACTAGATCCGCGACGACTACAATAAATCTCTTAATGGAGAAGAGATCTTTCTGTTTCTTCTACACCGACGTTAGTCAGAACAGGCTGGCAGAGCATTCCTCTGCCAAGTCATACGCCCTGACTCGGACAGTGTTGAACACAGAAAATGATAAGACGACTAAAACGCAGAGGACTGGCCTCAACCAAGCTGCAATCACGATTGAGTTATCCTCCTGGGATTCAATATGGATGACTTAATATCTATGTAGTTGTGAGCATTTTCTATTAAAATTATTTCTGACAAAATTCAAACCTTTGTTTTACATAATGATGAAACAGAAAGAAGCATCGTTTAGATGAGAATGCTGTAGTGTGAATTGAGGGCACTTAGGTACCACAGCAGATGCCGTTCCAAAGCGGATGATAAACAATGGAAGAGAATCTTAGACGTACAAGACGGCTACATCAATTATTTCCTAGATAATATTATCAATCTATCATGAGCAGAGGGGAAACTGACTGCATCAACTACATCATCTACTTAAGTATGCCGCGTGTTGTATCAACATCAAAGAAATCTTTTTGAGCATGAGTTTGACAGAGTGTTGCCAAACAAGAACTGAAGATTATACGATCCCACAACAATCAAATAACTTAGATTTACCATATTTATTTGTTTTAACTCTTTGCGCAGTAGAAGTAGTGCATCTGCATACTGTAATTGAATATAATCAAGCTGATGAGGTCAGTTGTAAGAAAAGAGCTCTACTGTCATCCACCGCCCACAGGGGGATAACCCTAACCACTATGGAAGCGTGGACGACGTCCGCTGACCACGAGCAGCGTTTCATGGCGTTGCCTATCTGCTGCTAGTAGCGCCCTTTCGGGCAGAAACTGCAACCTCTTCCTATTTCGGAGGTATTCTAAAATACTCCGCGTCTGCCTCGTTTCTTTCCGGATCACGCTTCGTGATGGTGCGGACGCATTTACAGGTATCTATACAACTTCGGATCGAGTCTTCTTCGAAGCTCGAAGAAGAAGTAGTGAGAGGATACCGGCGAGCGTCTTCTTGCTGCTTTCCCTTGGACTCGTTCGATGCTGCTTCTACAGCGCGAAAGTTCTTCGGCATTCCGCAATGAAAAATCCGAATCTTCACCATCACGATTATGGCGATCATTGTCACTAGCTGTTGCACTTGAAGAGGAGGCCGGTACGCATGATGAAGCAGCTGAACCAGCAATCACAGAAAGAGTCTAGCGGTCCGCGTCTCCGACAGCCTATTACGAAGTTTGAACAACAGATCGGATACTCCTCGTACTGGGCACTTTTTAGCAATAGGGGGCTTCCTTCTGCATCCATATCCCAATACCACTTTTCTGCCGTATCGGGTTGGTAATGAGAACACAGGGCGCGCAGGGAGATGCAGCAACAAGTGGATACACCGCACGCAACGCAGATACTCGCGTGTCCGCGCCAGCACAAGAGGCCCAGCAGTTTACCGCAACCGAGGTGGGCAGGTGCGAGTGGCGCAAAAGGAAGGTCTGACCAGCAGCACAACGCACAGGCAGGAGCCAGCGGAAAGCACCAGACGACAGGAATCAGCAGTTGAACCATCGGATTTTGCTGGATCAAGGCCTCTAGCTGTCGGCAGGAGGGCGAATTTCCGTCAGCCTATGTGCTGTAGCGGTCCTCATTTTCCGCGTCACGGTCACAGTCGTCCAGCAACGAGAATACTAATCCGTCATGCTCTTGATACGCTGCTTCTTCCCTGTGCTGACCGTAGGCTTCTCGTACTACCCGCACGCGGCGAGGTGCTCGATGTGCTGCTGCTTGACCACACCTGCCCGCTCTAGTAGAAGCTGTGTTTGGAACTTGTGGCCCTCTAGTTTGGGGCCGTCGCGCTTCATGCCTTCCTTGCGCGGTGTCCATGTCTCCAGGCGTTTCTTCAGCGGCCCTCAACTCTAATACCCGAGTGACATAATCTTAATCGTCAATATCTCGATCACCTCTGCTAGCTGCGGCTATACTCCGTCTCAATGAAGCATGGATTTGCGAGCGCGAGGGCGAAGTCGTGTACTCTCTGATACCATTCCGAGCAGCCCGATGAATGGTATGTTGATCTTCATAAGCGTGACTAGGATCTTGCTCCACGTCGTCCGACTCGTCATCCGAACCTTCTTCGATGGTACACCACTCTACACTTACTGGGCAAAAGTAGGCTAATTCACTCCTACATCAAACTTCCTGACAATTCTCGTTTGGTGTATGCATTCTTGGCACATTTTTGCCGAGATAAGTGCCCTCGATTTTCGATAACAACTCTGGCACTTGCGAGGCGAAGACTTCGTCAAAAATTACGCCAGGTTCTTCTGCTCCGTGCTAGCGGTTGTCATTCGTGTGATGTTGGAATGGGGGACGAGCTGCTTCTACCGGAAACGGGGTAATTCCGAGCGACCGATCCTGCGCTGGCTCGTTTTGATTCTCAGGACGATCTCTTGACACACAGGACGAAGCTTCGTCGTCGCCTCTAGCACAATCAGGCCGTTCTCTTGGCAGAAGTGGTCTTGCTGTAACATCGCCAACCGCTCTGACTCGTTTATCTTCAAGTTTCACCTCTATTCCAATAGGCCGCTCAAAAGTTGCTTCGCCGTTGTGAGCTGCAGCTGGAGCGCGTGCATCGCAAAAGGGGACCACAGCGCCACGAATGCACAGCAATGCAAATACAAGTGACGGTAGGAGTGCCATCTTAATCTTTATTCCTATTACTTTCGTCTGCACAACACGTACATGACCACGAGTTTCCTTAATCAATAATACGCTGATGGATGAGTAGATCATCCCAAGTTTGCAAGCATCATGTCCTTAATTACTGCATTGATTTTCGTTTTCCAACTAAGTACAAGATGACTTGTCTGCTTACCGACCTTTGGTCCCGTATGAAATTGCTGTCGAGAGTATTGGCATATGAATACCAACAGTGCATACATCCATAGAGCGACAGAGCGATTTTTCTAACTACTCCGATGTTCGACAAGAAGAAAACTTGTCCTTGTTCATCGGTAGAAATGCCAGTGACAAGTGAAACACGAACAAAAGTCGTCTTGGAAGAAAGGAGAAGGAACAATGTTCAAATTCTTTACAGCAACGCGTGGACGAAGTACGCCAACAACATACATAAAACATGATGTTGCTATATCTTCAGGCTAGCGGGCATAGAAGCTCCGTCACCACGGAATGGGGTGCGCTCCCCAAGGGATATTTGATGTGATTCATCAGATGTTCGTGTTCCTTACTTGGGAGAAAAAAAAAAGTAAGTAGTGCGTTGATGGACGAGAAGCAAAAAAGCGTCGAGAACAAATATGCTTTATTGTATGATTTTGTTTTTCGCGTTAACGTGTTTAGCTTCAATTTTTTTGAAGTGGAGTAAGACACGACCTTGGGGGCCATCGGCGTTCTCAATTAAGCCATCGCGCTTCAAATCGACACTTACTGGCAAATCCCGCTCAAACCTTACGCGCACGTTTCCTTCAGTTCCATAAGCCGACTCAATTACGCCAATGCTACCCGAGGCTTCATGGATGACTCGCAGATTCAGAAACAAAGAGAGATCAGTATCCTTTTTGAACATGTCCTTGACCGTGTAGGTTTGCCGTTCCTTCAAATATTCGAGCTGTCCGACCTTCTCACGCATTTTTACGATGTCGATAAGACCATCGAGACCCACATTGCTACCGCCACCGGCGATTACTGGCCCAGTTGCGGCAAAGTGCGACGCGCTGCTGCTACTGGCTGAAGGAGTAGTAGCTGCGCTACCACCAGCCAGGCTTGAAGATGAACTTGATGTTTCTGGGTTGGACACGATAAGTTGCGGCATGGAAGCCGTGCTGTCGTAGTAGGCAAGCATTTTTCCGAAGAAGGCAATGCGGCAATGCGGCGAATGGGCGTCGAAGTCCAGTTTACTTCCAATCAGGAGACTGTTGTCTGGAATTTGCATGCTCTGCTCCAAATCCAGATAAGCATAGCAGACTGGCACAGCCCGCTCCCGATCTCTGCCCGCTAGGTGAAAATACTCCGGCAAAGCCTTGATACGCTCTATGCTCTCAGGCGTAGATCCGTACTCCTCGTCGAGAACATTCAGCCCTTTAACGTTTTTCGGGAATGTTGAGGAAACATTCGAGGACGGACCGCTGGAGCTGGTAGAGGCAGCCCCAGCTATCATAGGCTTGACTAGATTCGCCGCGAATGTCGCTGACGAAGTCGTTGCTTCATTGGCCGATTCACGGGCGTCGTCCAGCTGAGGACTTGGAGCCTTGCTGCTCGTCTTCTTTTTCGCATCTGCATCCATCCCCTCTACGTCGCTTCCGTCTTCGCTCTCATCTGAGCTGTCTCCCTTTTTCTTGCTTTTCTTTTTCTTCTTCTTCTTTTTTGCCGCAAGCTCGGCTTCGAGAAGGGCAAGCTCCGCGTCTATCCTCGCTTCATCATACTCCTCGATATTGTCGTCGAAATTAATCTCGGAGCTTTTCTTACTCTTCTTTTTCTTCTTCTTGTCGTCGTCGTCAGCATCGCCCGTTGTACTCTTTTTCTTTTTCTTCTCCGTGTCGTCAGGCTCATCTGCCTCCACAACTGGTGCATTTTCCGAGGTATCTTCTCCAAATTCGCCTGCTGCTGGATCTGCCGGATTCACCAACATGAGACCATTGCTAATTCCATCATCATTTTGAAATCTGAGCGGCACCTCCGCTCCGCGGCACAGATAGAACAATTGATAGAGGATTTCGTCCTTTTTGCGCACTGGCACGTAGGCTTCAACTTCGGTGCCTATCTTCAGCGGTTGCCGGTCCTGATCGCACAAGCGCCCGTTGACATAAACAATTTCTGTCACGTCTCGGCTAGTACCACGGGCTTGCAACTCGATGCACGAGGATGGCTCGCCAGCTCCGCGTCCAGAGTCCGTCTTCGTAGCATGTGCAGCTGACACCTTGGTAGCTCTGTCAGGTGGGGAAAAAGATGCATCCCCTAACGATTTTGGGGTGGTCGTTATCGTTGAGGGCGTCCCTTGCGCTGCAAGTGCGGAGCCTGCTCGTGAACTGGCAGACGGGGTTGCTCCTCCACTATTGGTATCTGATGCAGGTACGTGTTCGCTAGATGGAGCAGCGTCTGCAACTGACGGCTTACTACAAACAGCCGTTTGAGCTTTCTTTTTGACGACCAGAGTCACCTCCTCGCCATCGAGATAGGATATGACCACTTCGTTCTTTGCATTGAAAGCTTGGTCCAAATGGACGTATGTCCGATACCGGTCGAAACTGCGTGGCCACTGCGAAATCTTGGCGTTTACCAGGACGCCCTGTCCTAACGTGTTTAGATTGTGACGTCCGCCATTGCCACTTCTAACTGTTGATGATGCAGCAACCGCACAGGCACCTGAGGCTCTCGTTTGCGCTTCAAAAAGTGCCATGTCCTTCTTCTCAGGTCTTGGGAACAGCACTTGCGGACAAAAAAAGAACGCTTTCGCCATCACTGTTTGGTGGCCAACTGTGAGGTGGAATTTGGATTTGGACAGAACATCCATTTTGAAGTACGGCAAGCGTTCGACTACAGCGATCATCCCGGTGACCCGCGGCAAGGGGCTCTTGGGATCGACCACCAATCCGCGTTCGAGGAGTGCCGCATTCACTTGCGGCACGCACATGGCGACGCGATCGCCTTGTTTCGCAGATTTCGCGGATTTCTTGAAGATCTGCAAAGAGCGCACTTTTTTCCCTCGGCCCTCCTCGCCTAGCACCGGAATGTCGACCAAAGCTCCCGGCTTCACACTGCCCCTCAACAGCGTGCCCGTCATCACGGTGCCTTGCCCTTTGATCGGAAAGACATGGTCGAAACTGAACAAGAGTGGCCCAGACGAGACGCGCTGCGGCCGCCGCAGATGTCGGTGAATCGTCGCGATCAACTCCTCGAGACCGATTCGTGATAACGCCGAAACACAGCAAAAGGCCACCTTTTCGGTCCCGAAGCGCGTTTTTGCCACTGTGTTGCGCAGCTTGCGCACCAGCTTGTCAAGGGCGTCTTTGCGCTCGCTCTCCGGCAGCATATCGATCTTGTTCACAACCACGATCAGCTGGTCCGTCAGCAGCTCGGCAACAACGAGGCACTCTGCGCTCTGCGTCTGCATACCCTTCTGCGCGTCAACGACTAAACAACACATGTCGATGATATTCGCACCACCGAGAACCTATATGGGAGAGAGTCCATTGAACCAGTTGGTAATAAACATCAAGTGTGCAAATATTCTTGTAATGCATCAGTCCAACGTTTCTTTACTTTACGAGCAGCGCAACGATGTCGTCGAAACCATCTACATGAAGTTCAACTTGTAGTTACCGGAAAAATGTGCGGTGGAGTTTAAGGTAAATATGTACCGTTTTTATCAAGGATGCATGCCCGGGGCAGTCAACAAGACAAAACTGAAGCTCCGACCCAGCAGGACATCCCCAGTGCTCCGGCGTTTCCGTACTGAAACTTGTGAATCCAAGGTCTAGAGTGATCCCACGCTGTTGGCTCTGTGGATGCTTATCGAGCGACGCGGTGGAAGTCACTGTGGACAGAGCGCGACATAGCGAAGTCTTCCCACTGTCAATGTGACCCAGCCAACCAAGATTCACCGCTACTTTCTCCGCATCAGGAGATGCCTTCGTTTCCGAAGTGGCCTGGTCACTCGGAGAGGACCCTGGAGACGTCTGAACCTCAGCTTTGGACGTCATTCTTCCAGGCGAACTACAACTCTACTTATCTAACAACAACAAAAAATTAGAAGACTGGGCATCATACTTGAATTAGTCAAATAATGCTAACGAACCAGGCTTGACTTTTACGCATGCTAGGAAAAGTAAAAACCAAAGGCATTCTTGTGTTTTCGGGGAAATAAGAGCAGCTCGGGAAGGAGCAGGAAGATATGGCAATTGAATTAAGAAAATTATCAGCTATGCCTGATCAGTCAAGAATTGCGCAAGTCATGTGTAGTAAAATCTCTCGACACACCTTGAGAGCCCGTCATGCATAAGTGTAAGTCAACGTTGTCTTCTGGTCCTTAAAAATTTGATGGAACGAACATTCAAAACGAGAATTTTCTTTTTCTTTTCAGATTCTGAAATCTTAGCAACAAGTCTAAGGGATCTAAAAAACTGACATCGATAGATTCTATTCCTCGGAGACACACTTCTGCCCCCGGATGTTGAACACGAGATTTTCTTGTGAGCATGTTGATGCGCAGGAAGACTCGATCTCCCGTTCCGGCACGCTTTGCTTGTGCTGGATCTGATTAAGTCTTTTAATTTTGTATTTGTTTCCCATGTGTGTTAAGCATTTCTACAGCAGATAAAGAGTTCTTGATTTTTCGGGTTTCATACGTGGAAATACTCCCATAACCACGATACGACTCATCTTCACGCAACACACTAACAAAAGATGTAACTGCTTCCTCCTTCTGTCATCCTTTGTTGAATCGAAGAAGATACTTATACCTCTTCGACTTCATTTTCAAGTCCATGCTGATAGTGGCACGGCGGTTTTTCGCTTCCCCTGCACAAGATGCTAATCATTATTTGTCTATGTAGGGAGGGTGGTGGACCATGCAATGATATCAACTATGTGCAAGAGGCTTCTTCATCTAGCTGTTGAGAATCATGGTTGTCATGTGTCGCGTCGTAAGAGTATCTCCCCCTTTCATTTTCTAGTTAGTTCTGCTCGATAATGTTTAGTTTCCCAATCAAAAATATACACGCAGAAGCGCGCTCGTCCCCACGCATGTGCTGCGAAAGTATCTACTTGCATCATATTTTTCCTATTTTACCACCAGTCGGTGGTAAGTACATGGATGTAGAAAGCTGCCACTACCCTCCCTAAGTGGCTGCCCTCCGAACTAATTGTTCACTTCTACTATTGGATGGGGTGGTATACAAGTTAATTCAGTGATTGCTATTCTTGCCAGTTTAGTTCGCCATAGTGGTTCTATATCAAATCGATTCATTTGCGGGATAGTCATCTTCTCTTTTGTTTTTGAAATGTAGCAGTAGCTCGTCTCATTTGTATATTTACTTGAGGGTTTGATTGATTCCAATAATTTGACGTTTAAGGAATAGATGAATATTAAGAATGTTATTGGTCAATTATATATAAGCAGTGGACACGACCAGATGCTCATCAACTATAATAAATTCCAGATTTGCGTATAGTTATAGAAGATTGATATGGATCTCATCATAATTTTTGTGTAGTACTATAGAACAAGGACGAGCATTCATAGTAATACATGCTATGATAAGGACTCCTAATACATAGTATAGTAATATGTAGTTCAGCGTATGATACATTCCAACAAGTGACTCCTCCCGACTCAACAATAATCAGACTACTATTAGTCCAACCGCCAAATACAACTAAAAGCTCTACCACCAGAATCAGAGCATGTTATTGACATCAATAGCATTTCTTTGAGTTACCCATAGCCATACAACTCCATGAAGATACTGTAATCCGTTCTTGTCTGCCAGGTACCGAGACACGCTTAGACGATCGTAATCTTGATCGTAGATCCGTTGATCTCGCCACCGTCAAACTGGTGCTCTGCTTCGTATGCGTCGCGGCTCTGCTCGAACACGAGCCAAGCAAGCTGATGTAGAAACAAAATGAAAATAAAAATAATTGAGGAGAGTACATCAACACTTTTCATTTCAGTATATTTTCAAGTTTGAATTACTCCTCCAGTGAGCAGTATTATTCTAGTTTTCAATTATACCTGAGCGTGGGTGTCCAATTCGACATGGGTAACGGTTCCGACGTCCTGGAATGCACCTCGAAGTTCTCCCTTATTCAAATTCGATGGGCAGTTCGCGATCTGGATGCACTTACCTGTAGAAGTATTAAACAATGTTATGATGGGATGGATTGGGACGAGTCAAGAACTTTAATAAATAAATTTTTTGTTGGTCCTGGCGGAACGAAGAAAAACGAGCAAGCAATCAACAAATGTAGCACAGGAAGAGTTGTTCTTCTTGCTTACTTTCACAAAACAATGAATAGGGTTATCTTTTTACCAGTTCCCTTGTACTTGGCAACCGGAGGCGGAAGCTGGTTCTGCTGTCTGTTGTTGTAGGACTTTCCATAGGAATCCCGGAGAAATTCCCTGTGGTCTCCACCTTGCTCCTGCTCTTTCCAAGATTGGTTGTTCTGAAAAGAAGTTGTGAGTGAAGGCGATCAAGATTGGTCATTCATCTGACTTCGCTATTATAGGTGGAAGGAAATTTGATCTTGAACAAGAAGAGCTTAGAAACATACTCCTTCAAGAACATGCTGATCGAACAACAGATATTTTTCAGAAACACCACGTCCAGTCGTGACCGTACGTGAGTTAACATCAAAGACGAGTAAAAAAATATAGATCAAGTCGAAGTACATGATTTGAGTATCCGTTGTTCTGGCCTTTGCCTTTGTTATTTCCCCAGGAGTTGCTGTTCTGGTTCCATGAGCTCCAGTTATCGTTGCCCTTTCCTCCATTATTCCAGGATCCACCCCAGCTTCCTTGGTTATCCCAGGAGTTGACTGTGTTTATTGAATGGAAATAATGTGGATCCTAGTGCTACAAAGAAGTGCGTATGGTCTAAAGTAGAGTATGAGTCAGAACAAAGAGGTTGCTGTTTGAGTGTCACTCAATCAATCCAGAAACCTAAGTTTCAGTTATCATAATAAATCTCATTACAGCTATTGTTTTTTCCCTGGTTGTTGTAACCGCCTTTGCTCTTTCCTCCCTGTTGCCAGTTATCTTTGCCGCCCTTGTTGTCCTTGCCTCCCTTGCTATTTTGTCTCTGCAACTGACCTTTGCCCTTCTGCTGCGGCGCGTTGTTCCAGTTGTTCTTTCCTTTGCCGTTCTTGCCCTGAGACGCGTGTGAAGACAGCCAGATAACAAGTATAACTAGCTCAAAGTCATGATCTATGGTTCTTGATTGTCGTCATCCTGATGCTCCTCGTGATCATTTTCGCAGACCACGACAGACTCTATCATCAATATGTCACTTTCAATATTCAATCAATCACATTGTAAATACGTCTGCCAAAAGACGTACCTGTCCCTTGCTGAGATTGACGCCACCTTTTGTTTGTGGTCCTTTGCGTGTTTTTTGGTTGTTTTTTCTGACCACGCGAACCTGCTTTTGCGTTCCCTTGCCCTTTCCTTTTCCCTTCGTGGTCTTCGCTGCGGCCTTTCGGACCACTCGCTTAGCCAATGCACGCTTAGCGGCAAGAGTGGATGTCTTCATTGGTCGGGTCGCCTTTTTCATTGGGGTGCTCTGCTTCTGCTGCTTTCCCTGGCCTTTAGTCCGCTTCACGGGCTTCGTGAGCTTCATCACACCATCCAAGCTCATATTCATCTTCTCCTCGGTGTTCACCTACGATACATAGATACAATAAAGTTGTGATTCTTTGCCCAGCCATTTTTTCTTAAGAACTGTAGTGGTTTCATAAAACTTCTAGTAGTACAGCGTAAAAATTCGTGACTTCGCTTTTGCTTTTCTTACTCTTGTTCGACCAAATAAGCAAACATACATAAGTAAGAAGAATGCTCACCTTGCTCTTCTTGCCATCGGCTCCCTTCTTCTTGTCATTTGGCTTTTGGGTCTTGTTAGCCTTTCCGCCTTTTCCTTTCCCCTTCTTCTGTGCCCCCTTCTGGTTCGTCTTCTTGACTGGAGACTTGCTACCCTTGCTACCCTTGCCGCCTCCCTTCTTCTTGGTCTTGATGAGGTCATCAAGACTAGCATCCAGCAACTTGTTCGACATCTTTTTGATTTTCAAACCACGAAAAATATAAGTACGAGTATGGATGCTCTTCGGTTGTATGTTCGATGTTGTCCACTTCTGATGAAAATTGTGGTAGATAATGTTTCGGTGAGGGGACAAGTGAAATCAAAACAATGAAAATTTCATGGTATCACTGTGTATATTATCTTGCTTCTTCACTATGCGGTTGGGTAAATTCTGAGAAGATGATGATATCAGGTATTCAGGGCGGGATGAAAACTATGACTTTGTGAATACCGTATGAGATAACTCGATATCCTCTAGAACCAAAGGGAGGACGCGGAGCATTTCATCTGCAGGAAACGGAATGCATGGAGAAAGATGGATACACGATTAGATGGAACAAGTACTCACCCATGAAACAGACTAATAAATATTCGAAATTCGGAAACGTCGATAAAAAATACATGGTCCTTGACCCAACAGATCAAAATTCTAGAGAAAGATGAAAAGCAAAAGATCGTGAAGATTGGCACTAGCCATAGAAAGGAACATCTATCTCTATCAAAGACTGCTGTCTTGATACACTAAATCCGCGAAAAATGCACTATGAACCTCACATGCACGAAAAGATTTCAATTCTTACATTCACAATTAGAATTAAAATGATGAGAAGTGCAACAACAATCACCCCGACCACATCATGTTATCTCGTTTTCCTTACGAAACACACAGTATAATTTCTGGTTACAACGAACAATGAGCCCTTTACTTAGGACATGAGTAGGACACACTAGAGAAGATCTGAATAGAAGTTGGGAGCGATTGGAGATGCAAAACGACCCACTTCTACCGAATTTCGATTTCAGTCTCGTAGTTCATCACAGCATCATGTTGCTGCATAGATATACAATTCTTCATCGTCTAGGAACAGGAGAGCACACATCTCCGTCTAGACATGAAGAGGAACGCAGAAGAACGAACGACAATAGCATCTCGTTTTGATTCATATTCCTTTCATTGATAGATTCTGTGCACGGCGACGTGTGCATCAGAATAGAGCGCAGATTCAGCTATGCGATCAATCACTGAACGAGATTCTTGATGTTGGACCATCAACGGTTGTCACGGCGCGTGGGCGTGCGGCCTCGTCATCATAACATTCGAAATGATCCCCAAATTCCCTAGTATCGCGCGTACTTCCCGTCTTCACTTCTAATGACCTTCGAAGATATGAACACTGAGACAGAGTTCCGAAAAAGACGCATTTTGTAGCTCCGCGTAAGAGACTTCGAAAATTAATTTTCATTTTGTGCACCAGTAGATCAGACGTCTACCTTATTCATTAGATTCTTCTTCAAGCTTTGTTTCAGCGTGAATCTCATTTATTGCCTCGTCCGGTACGCGTCATTAAAAACCTCGTTGTAGCATACCTGTGTGAAGCAGCGGATGACTCTTTATTCAAGAACCACACATGGATCATCCTCGTCTTCGGTGACCACAAGTAAAACAGGGGACCATCAGTTAGTTGCGCTGTCCCTTGTTCTCATGCTCCACCCGCGGGAGCGGCGGCAGTCGTTTCGGCCGATTTCGCTGCTTTTTTGCTGGACGCTTCCGCCTTCTTCACTTTCTTGCTCAGACCACTAGTATGAGTGTTGATTTTTCCGAATTCCTGGCGTCCCAAGTGCAATCTACCAAGCTTCTTACCTGTCGCTGTGCTTTCCTCGTTCTTTACCCTCCGTTTCTCTGCACCAGCTGGCACCTGTAGACGCAAATAAGTATTGTGTTAACAGCATCAAAATTGAGTACTTTCTTTCAAATGTGTCAGTCATTAGAAACAGAAAGCAAAAGATCAGATTCAGAGTTACCATGCAAGCATTAACGAGGATGTTGATGTGTACCCTCATTGCGAGCTTCATGATCGCTGGGTCGGCTTCCTTGACTCGGTCCACTGTCATTGTCATTCTTGGTCCCGTCTCCTGGAGTTCAACTCTTGGTAAATTTGCGGTGGTCGACTTTTTCGTCTGCACATGGTATGCACGGAAAAGAATGCGAGAACCAGTAGCACGCTTTGCATTTGCTGTTTTGTCGTTAGGAGTACTACTCGTCGATGCTGCTGCACCTCCGGATGACGTTGCAGCACCACTGTTGGTGGATGAAACGCAGGTGAAAGACATTACGAATTCAAGACCCGCAAGCGTGACTTTCTCTGGATTTGCGCCTCTGAAAAAATCCATTAGGACAGACTTTGCGTGCTGCAGATCGGGCTCCAGCTCCCACCCGCTTCCTTGAAACAGCAGAAGCGGCTTCGCGCCGAGTGTGGGCAAACGGGCTTTGGGCAAAAAACTGCACATATCACTCAAATCGAACTCAACCATGTCTAACAAATCGCTATTGAAAAGCCGACCAAGCACCTGATGGAGGAAAGTTGAGCTTGATATGGTAAAAAGGAGCGGAATTACAAGGATTGCGAGCGGAGATATTGGATAGAAGAAGACAACCATGATCATTTTGTTGAAAACTACAACACGAGCCCACTCACATGATGGTAAGAACAAGTTCTAATAAAGCAAATAAGCATTCCATCGTCGAGACAAAGACCTAAATACAACGAACTGACCTTTTTAACCTATGAAATCAATTTAGGTACCAATCGACTTGGCCTTTTTTTGTTGCTGGAAGCGAAGGCGAAGAGACCCGCATCCTGCTTATTACACATGTCCACGATTCTTGAGCTATCTTCGAAGGGATTCAGATCCTCATGCTTACGCAGGTATGCTTGCGACAGCGGCTTCTTCAGATCATGCATATCCTTCAGCACTTGATGCAACTGTCAAGGGGGTTGAGAATAATGAGATACTGCTTCACGACATTGCATTTACAACTTCTGATTTGTCGGAGTCACAAAGAGAACGATTTATCATCATGCTAAATGAAATAAAGATAGAGATGTAGTTGACTAGAACTAATATACCAAAATTCAAATTCCATTGTGATTGAAGTTGTACCTCCTCCCTGGTTCTTTGTCCTCGAATTAAGAGGGCTGTTTTGGGGTTTTCTACTATTTTCGTTTCCCGTTTTCGCAGCTCGCGTCTTCCTCTTGCCGTCTTAGCGACTTTTTGATTTGCAAGCGGGTTGTTGTTTTTTGTAACAGTTGTCTTCTTTCGCGACGCGGCTGCTCCTTCAGCCTTCCGATTTCTGGTTTGCTTCACTCGGACGTTCTTCGCCATTTTCTGGGATTTATGACTTCACAGGGGAAACTGCCGTCGACACGAAGTTGTGGCTATGCGCGGTGGCTTCGGGTTTGTTGATGTCGTTCACCAAGTAGTTTTGCACTAGTCTGGGCGATGCTATGAACGTCTATGGATGCTTCTAGTTTTCCCTCCAATACTCTTAAATGAACTTTGTATCAATCGAATCTATGTATGAAAGTAAGTATCAGTCGAAAGATACGTTAAAAAAATGAATTTAAAAGACTACGAAGAAACCAAATTCCGGTGTTGTAAATCACCCGGCACGTGGGTCTCAACCTGCTCAATGAGGATGATGTGCAAGAATAGTCAGAATCATAGATCAGTACCAGGATCGTTGCAGCGTGAGGCAGACCCGTAGTGGAACTCCAGCCTTCACTCAGAAATAGTCTGTGGTAACCAACAGAACCATGATCGTCAGCTCTATAATGGAAGGCCCAAGCCCAACATGATCCTAAGGTCTATGAAGAAATAAAAACAGTTCAGATCTCTAAGGGTTTACTTGGATCTTCAGTTCGGGACTTGGACCCGCTTCTTGCCCTTGAAGATGCCTCGAAAAATCTGATCTCACCTCCACTATATGAACAATGTTGATCATGTTTCGAAAATTGTAGTGGTGATCTCTTTTGACCTTGCCCTGCTCTTTCTGCGACTTTCCTTGATGAATTTGTACAAAGAAGAACTCAGATCTTTGACTTTGACGTTGATGTAGCGGTGGGCGTTATTCATTTATCCCATCGACTATGAGTGCAGTTTATTCGTGCCAATGCTCATGCTGTACAGAAGTATTTAGTGCGAATGGAATCATCTCAATTATTTGTCTAGAATCTACGAGCAGAAAATGCTTTCGACATTTTGCAATTTAGTAAACGTTAAAATCAGGAAAATACAGGAGTGGCCATATGCTAAATCCCATCTCATGTGCAAGTAGTACTAACTAAAAACATTTCTTTTATAATCTTAATCCAATGAATGTAAAGCACAGCTTCTCCTTTTGTGTTTCCCGTGTAAAATATCGTTTCTGTATTCCATGTATCTATTCTCCAGTAGCGTCCCAATTCTGTTTAAAGTCCCGCATAATCTAAATTTCTTTCCGAACCTACATAATTTTCTATGAAGTTCTAAACTATGATTGATGTTGCGCAAATCCCACGAAGAATATGAGCATTCTGCTTCTGGAAGTACATTAAAAGTATTCGTTTTCTATTTGAATTCTAGTAGGCAAGAAATGTCAACGAGGCGACCGTCGTTCATTGAGTACTTAAGTGCTTACATTACGCGCCTTCCTGACCTGGGTAACACAGCAGTTGTATCATGCGGGTTTTGTTGACACTCAGCTTCCCGGTGGCCGGGTCTCGCGCCACCATAAAGGTCTGGCCTTGCCGTCTTGCCCAGTAGTCTGCGCAACCGTCGATGTTTTCGAAAGTGAACTCAACAGCCGAATCTGTAAACAGCATGGATAACTGACAGTCACCCTCGTAATAGATTTTCTCGTCGTGTCGGTCAAAGTAGCCGTAGTTCAACCAAGCTGTCATATCCTCCATCACGCTCAGCTTGAACCAAAGCTTGCTTGCGGCGTAGTCGTAAACCCTGATGTTAAGACATCGATACTGTTGTACTTGTAGTATCATTAAAACGAAAGCATACTTCAAATTGATCAACATCAAACCTCAAACGACAAAAACAATTAAGTATGTTTCGGCACGCTCCTAAGCATGAAGGAAACAGAATATCACGAAGGATTTGACTACACTTGTGCTCTCTATTCACTCTATTAACTATTAAGAAGTATTATTCACGAGGACATTGCATAATGTCGAATAATCATGATAATAAAAAGTATCATATCAAGTACCCTGCAGGTGTGAGCACTTCGCGTTGCTCGCCATCCCAGAAAATAGCATCCACTATGGGTGTCTTTCCTTGCGCTTGTTCCGTTTCCCACGCCGTGTATTGAATTGCCCCTTCTATACCATCTGAGTATCCTTTTTTAATATGCTCCCGCATTTTTTCCGCCACGGATTTTCTCCTTGTGTCCGGCGGAGAGGACGGCGGAACGGAGGTTGCGCCCTTGTTGCTGTGTTTTTGTGTAGCCTCTGCTGCGCTACCCCTCATTGCCATGAGGTCCACGGTAACCGCGTGACTACCTTTAGAATAACGGATATTAGCCACTTCTCCTTCTGCACCCCTCCGTTGTGGCTGCTGTGCGTCTTTTGGTGTGGTCGACTCCGACCCTCCGTCCCCGCTTTCCGAAGTAGCGGACCATCCACCTCCCGCAGAATGCGAAGAAACGGATTGCTTTGCTGCGAAGGACATGGCTGACATCGGTTCGGCGCGCGTAGCCGACCCTAACATCCTTTCACCGCCAGCAGACATCCCGGACATGCGGTCACCAGCAGACATCCCTGACATTCTTTCTCCGGCGGATGACATTCCAGACATGCGCTCACCTAGTCCACTTCCACCTCTGCTAGCCTGTGCAGCTGATGCGCGGACACCCGGATATCCTTTTCCTGCAACGGCGGGGCCTTTGAAATATGTGGGCCAAAACGAGACGCCTCCTTCTTGTGATGCCGCAACGGGTGCTGCCGCAACTGGTGCTGCCGCAACTGGTGCTGCTGCGACTGGTGCGGCGGCGCCGCTTGTGTCAGGATATCCCTTACCTGCGACCATGGGGCCCTTGAAGTAGCCTGGCCACACTCCGCCTTGAGGTGCAGCCGCATAGGCTGCAGGAGGCGCGGCAGCGACCGGCGCTGGCGCAGAAACGGGTGCAGGTGCAGGCGGAGGAGTCTGCGCAACTGGTGCAGCCACTGGTGCGACGGGTGCTGCTGCGACAGGTGCTGCCGCAACAGGTGCGACGGCACCGCTAGTGTCTGGGTACCCTTTACCCGCAACCATCGGTCCCTTAAAATAACCTGGCCACAGACCACATTGAGGCGTGCCAGCGGATGCAGCAGGTGGCGGTGTTGCCGCGACTGGTGCAGGTGCAGGTGGGGGCGTTGCCGGAACTGGCGCGGCGACATGTGCCGCTACTGGCGCCGGCGCTACAGGAACTGGGGCTTCTGCTGGGGTTGCGCCACTAGTATCAGGGTAACCCTTGCCTGCGATCATTGGACCTTTAAAGTAGCCTCCCCAAGTACTTCCTCCACCAGTGTTTGCTGCAGTAGGTGGTGCTACGAGTGATGGCTCCTCCACGGGAGCCCCCACTGCCTCTGGTGCGGTACCCGATGCTCGTGCCACCTCGATCGAAACTGATTTTTTCACGGAGGACGCAGCGCGAGCTGCCGTTGTGCTCGGAGCTCTGGTTTCTGGAACTGCTCCTCCTGCACTGGCCGTGCTAGTGCCGCGCACCGGCCCTTTGCTGCCGCCGGACGCGCGTTCAACTATGGATGCTTTGCCTTTCGAAGGTGATCGCGTCTTGGCAGACGCCGTTGATGGACCAGCTGGTCGTGTACTTGGCGCACGCGCTACATCTTCCACAGGAGACGCTCCTGAAGGCGCTCGAACTGATCCCGCCTGACCGGAGGAGCGGCTGGGAGAATGCTGCGATTTGGTCGCTTCCCTCGACGCGGATGACTGCCGATTCGCAGCATCGGAAGGCCGAACAACAGCACTCGTCTTTACTACACTTGCATGGCCAACAGATGTCTTCGGAGATGATGATCTACGACCCTCGTCAGGCACGACTACACTTCCCTTCACGACACTGCGACTTGGAGATGCAACTTCGGAGTGATGCGATCTCTGACTTGGCGGGCGCTCAACCACTCCAGAGCCTACGCGGCTTCGGGCCTGCGACCTGTGGCTTGGCGGGCGCTCGACCACTCCGGACCCTGCCCGGCTGCCAGCAGCGGATCCCAGACGAGCGCCAGAAGCTCTTGCTACGACGGACGGTGAGTGTGCCGACGCCGTTGACGCCCCCCGATTCTGAGATTTTGTACTTCCTCTGGCAGCTTCAACTGCTACGGCGTCTGCAGACTTGCGCCCCGACGCACGCACGGTCTGGTCCAAACTGACCGCCAGTGCTTCTACGATACTCTCGGTATCTACTACTGCGTTCGCATCCAGAGCCGTCAGTGCGGTGGACACTTTCTTAACGGCCTCGAGTGTCTCAGCCATGGTCGGCCTCTTGCTCACCTCCGATGACTGTAGACTCGCTGGGGACCCGACAGATTGCTTGCTTGCTGATGCTGTGGAGCGTTTGCTGTTCACGGTAGAAAGCTTCGCATTTACGGTAGACACCTTGCTACCCGCAGCGGAATCGTCCGCGATCTTCTTCATTCTCGCAAGATCCTTATTGACAGGTCTCAAAGAGGTGAAAACCCGGTGAATCTCGGGCGCATCAGCGAAAGGAACCTGGCTCAAATTATCCGACACCGATGCCAATTTTCTCAACGAAATCTTTTGCATCATCTCCTGTGCTTCAGTTACCTGGTCGTAAGTGGACAGTTGAGATCAGAAACACGATAAAAAATTGAAATTGATCGATGATGTATTCAATTTCAATTATTCGGGAATTGAAATAATCGACATCTTTCAGATTGCTCCAGCACGACTGCTCTGTCACCAACATCTAGTGTGGCGAAGATAAGCGGCGCCTTTCTCAAGAATAGAGCTGGGTATCATGATCAAGTTGTAATGAGAAGAACAACGAGGTGCATCAACACCAGGATAAAGAATACCGTCATTTCCTTCCGCTTCGTGACGACGCCAGCAATTTCTGAAACAACACTCCCAACTGCCTCGACGTCTATGCCTTGCTGCGTCAGCATCCGCGATCGTGCGATTTCACGCTCCTCTTTCAGGGTAGCTGCCAGCGATGCTCTCACGTCGGTCGACCTGAATATATGATGTAAATGTATTCTACTTGAGTAAAGTGAATGTGGTTGCAGTTCATTTGAACCCAAAGAGATTTTCAATTTCTTCTAGTTCTTGCAGAAGCATGATCAGCACTCACAGTCATCTCTGCACATCATCAGCGCTATACTAGGTGCACCTGCAGACGAGCATCACATTGTTTCTGTTAAAGAGAAACCATAATCAATATGCGTAGGTAGAAGTACCCATCTTCGTCTGCGGGTGGTGCGTCAGTGTTGCTTGTGCCTGAGACTCTATCCTTCACGATAAGGGGGTGGCTAAGACTGACAAGACTGGACGGCCGCAGTCCTGTGCCACGCACCGCTGCGGACTCCTGCTCCTTTCCGGTTCCCGTTGCTGCAGATGCAGCGGTGGTCATGCCAACGCTCTTTAAGATCTCGCCCACCGTCTCTGGATTCTCCTTGAGACCTTGCGTTAGCTTCCGCACGAGCGTGAGCGGGACATTTTGCTTGGTTGTCCGACGGAAATTGTCTATGACAACCGCGGCGGCCAGTGACGCGGCCGCTTCCTGAGAGCCGGTGGTCGACCTCCTTGCATTGCCGGATGGAGAAAAATCAGCAAATTCCACAACGTCGGCGTCTGACAGAATTGTTGTACGCTTTATCGACGGATTGTGCGGCTCGCTCGTGCGCTGAAGACTTTTCGTGGCTTGTTGTGATGCTCGTCCCGGAATTGGCGAGCCTCCTGCGCCAACCAGGAACTTTTCATCGATATCCCACGGCTGGATCAGGTATTTCATCAAGTCATTTGCATTGGGTCCGTCGATGGTCTCGCCTCCTGCTATTGCGCCATCCCCACCCGCGCTGGCTCCTAGCTTGGCCAGCAACTGCTTCAGCCCGAATCCGGAGCCGCCCTGCACCACATCGGCGTAGCGCTGCAGCGCAGCAGCCAGCATCTGGTCCTGTGTTTGTCCTTCGCTACTGGCGGGCATGCTCGTCGCTCCGGCGAACGGGGAAGCGGTCGCCGCGCCACCAGAACGTGGCACAAACAGAGGATGCACGCTGCCCGCGCCTGCCTGCGCTAGCTCCCGTGCCGACATGTACAGCTTCAAGTCGCACTTCCTGACCCACATGTGCTTCGTGAGGTAAGTCTTGTTCATCTTGCCGCCGTCGAGGTAAAGGCCATCTCCGCAGTACCAATCCATGTCCCGGAAAATGCCGTGGCCCTTGTACTGATCCGGCGACCCCGCACGAAACGGGTTGAAAGAGTCTGGGTTCCGAGGATCCAAACCTGGCGGAAGGAAGGACAGCAGATACGCCCGCTGCACGTTAGTACTTTTCTTCTTGGCATTCGGCTTCGACCCTTTGTAGTACACGTCCGTGATTGGTTCGTCAATCCCGAACGCTTCTTCCAGTACTTCCTCGAGGGACACCTCAGCCTCTCCGCGAACGGTTCCGGTATAGTCTTTGCTCGCGGCCTTGCCCTCGAATGGAATCTTCACCATGTGCTTTTTGGTGGTGCTTCGGCTCGTCGGTGACCTGCTGGTGTTGTTCACCCCGGAGGCTGAGGGACGAGAACTACTTCTGCGTTCGGCCATCTCTTCCTGGATCTTTTTCTGACTCAGCATCAATTCCTTTTGTCGCCCCTCACGCTCTAGACGGATCTGATCCACCTGCTGGGCTCGCGCCCGCTCGCCTTTGGTAGCACGGCGACCGAGCGGCGACAAACTTCGATTGGCCTCTAACTCTCCTCGCTCTGCGTCGCCAGGTTCCTCCCTGATGGGGACATTGTACAAGACCTTGCGCACCACTGCCTTGCTCCCCACAGGGAAGAGCGTTCCGTACTTGTAACTCTTTTTCGCGACTGCAAGCTCGACGTAATCTCCCGCGTTGATCAAGTATTCCGGAGGAATTCGCGCGTCCTGCACACGGGGGTCTTCGAAAGGGAGCTCGAAGGGCGGCCCGACCGGGGGCGCCTGCTTTTCGTACTTCTCCAGGAGATCGTCCTTGGCCCTACGACAGGACTCCTGCAGCAATCCAATCTGCTCCACTGCAGCGATCCTCGCTTGTGTCGCCTCTACTTCGCATCGCATCGGTGACGTGTGATCGTCACCGGAAAGTTTCGTCGCAAAAATCGCCCGCATGTCCTCTGTAAGTGTATCTTGCATCGCTGCTTCCTGCTTCTCGTAGTGCATGTGCGTATCTTGCTTCGCGAGCACGTAGGCCTGGAGTACGTGCGGCGCGCGGTCCAAGGCAGCGAGTAGCTTGTCTTCCCGCTCCGTATGCCGATCTATCCACTCTTGTTCGCGTGCAGCAGCTCTGCTCTGCATCTCCTCCAACTTCTGCGCCAAATCATCGAGGATTTCCGCGAGACGCGCGTTTTCCTGCCGGTCTGCAACGCTCTGTCTAGCTGTCTGCAGCGCTGCTTCCTCCGCTTCGACGCGCGCCGCTTCTTCCTCTTCGGCGAGCACTTTTTCCTCCTGAGCACGTAGCCTGTCTTCTTCCTCGTGGAGCCTCTCCTCCTCCGCCTCACGGATAGCGGCCGCTGCCTCGTCCGCCATCCTGTGGCGCTCCTCCGCGAGGGCTTCCTCCATCTCATGCATGCGCTCTTCCGCCTCCTCCTCCAGTCTTTCGCGCTCAGCAGCGAGCTCTGCCGCGGCTGCCGCAGCCTCTGCCTTATGCTGCGCGCGCTCCGCCTCCAGCGCCGCAGCGGCTGCAGCCGCATCCGCTTCTCGCCGTCTCCGTGCATCCTCCAAAGCAGCTTCTAGTTCATGCGCGTGGTCCTCCATCTCGTGCTCCTTCTCCTCTGCAACACCTTTGAGTTTACGTAGTTCCACCGCTAGCTTGGCCTCCGCCTCGAGCCGCTGTTGCTCCTCATCGCGTGTGTGCTCGGCCGCCTCCGCCTCACGCGCCGCGTGCTCGGCGGCTAAAGCGGCCTCCACCTCAAGCCGCAAGCGATCCTTCTCATCCATCTCGGCGCGACGCTTCTCGCGGCGCTCCTGCGCTGCAGCTTCCGCTTGCTCTTGGGCATCTTTCTCCATCACCTCCTGGCACCGCAGGCAGACCCAGGCGTGGTGAAGGATCTTCTCACACTCGTCTCCGTGCCGCAAAATGTTGCGGTGGTCACGTGCGAACTGCGCAGGCTCGCTGTCCTGCAAGCTTTCCAAGGAATCGTTGCAGTGCAAGCAAGTCACGGCCGCTGGGTCGACGCGAATGTCGAACTGCTTGTTCACATGCAGCAGTGGCTTACGCCGGTGCGTTGCGTCCGCATGTGCGCCTTCCTCCAACGGTGGAAGCTTCTTGGTCAGGTCGCACACGCGCGGCTGCTCGCGCTCCCCAAACTCGGTGCGCAGCTCGTCCTCCTCGTCCACGCGTCCGGGGCGCAGGAATTTCATGAAGAACGTGTGATCGCGCTCCTCACAGCGGACGCACATGTAGCCGTGCGGCCCCTGCAAGTCCTCGAACTTTTCTAGCTTCGGGTGCCACACTTTGAAGTCGGCGCCAGTTTCGTAAGGCACCTCACTCGAAAAGGGAACGGTACAGCAAGCGCACTTGAAGCAACGCGCGTGAAAAACATCCGGCGCGTGCCCCTCCCGGATCTCCTCTCCCGGAAGGATCAGTCCGCCGCACGCGCGACAGAGACGTTCGTAGACCTTCTCCGTGCAGGCTCCGGGATGGTAGATGTGCCCGCCAATGGGCACGCAGTGGTTGCCCTTGATCTCCCCTTTGCAGAGCTGGCACACGAAGCACGCCGGGTGGTAGTACTGCCCGTTGCTCGCCGCCACTGCGCCGGTGGCGCCGGGGCCCTCCGCGAAGATGGCCATTTGACACGCCCCACAGATGCGCGACTTGACTGGCAACTGCGTTTTTTCGTCCACGCCAAGATTGTTGGTCGTGTGGAACTCTGCGTCACGGTTTATCTCTGGCTTGTTCGCAGTCGCATTTGCTTCCTCCTCCTCTTTCGCCTCCCGAGCAATCTGCGACTTTCGCTTCTCGTCTTTGGCGAGAACGGTGAACGCCACGCCGCCTAGTTCGTGCCGCTGCCGCACATCGGGCTGCAGCGCGTATGGCCGTGGCGCCGGCTGTCCGTAGCCCAGCGGCGCGCGCGGTGCGCGTCGTCCACTCGCTGATCTTTCCCGAACTGGAGGCGGGGAGGAAGAAGACTGAGCACTTAATCCGGACGCCGGTGCAAAAGTAGATCCCATCACTGTCTCGTGAAACGCCCCTGTAGGACTACTACGAGCATGGCCCGCACGGACGACTTCGCTGGGAATCGTTGTAGCAGCAGAGAACCCTTGCATTACACTTGGCGGCACGTCAACATCGGGCATAGATATACCTGACGGAATACGAATACTCGGCCCAGAAGGTACCACATCGGCATACATAGCCGAATCTCCTGCCATCTTGACGATTCTACGAGGCGGCTTTAGATTCTATAAATATGATCATGTCAAAAAACTAGATTTATGAAGTTGAGTTAGAATAATGGGCTACCCAAGGGGAAGAAAGAGTGCGTGTATAATGAACAAGGACGACCAGCAGTCTTGTCAGAAACAAAATGATCACTGCTTCGGTAACTTCATCAACAACGGGCGGCGCTTCCTAAGCGCGGATACGGGATAAGCATAAGAAAGGGGCAGTAGAAAAAATCAACTCAGTCTAAAATGGATAAACTTCACGTAGGGCTGAAAAGGGTGGTCTGCGATTAATTTACTGAGGATGACTTGATTGAAAAGTAGAGAGACAGACAAATAACCTGCATTGACCTCTCCACAACTCTGACTTTCAAGACACAGAATAGAAACACACAGAGACGCTCTGCAGCAATGTTGACAATCACTCAATCTCGATTCACTCCGTGTCACAGATGATCAGTGTTCCCTCTACAGATAATAGCGTACACTTCAACCAGCTTGTTCACTCAATCTCGTCTAACTTCAGGCCAGAAATTCAATTTCTTCATTCAAATTCTCCAGAAAGTCACACACTAGACTACCTTTGGACAGACACGACAAACACTTCTCCACTCACAGGAAACAGATGTTCTTTGATTTTAGATCTGAGATGTCCACCGCCCGTCAAGCTTCTAAATTTTAGTTGACGGATCTGTCTGTCAGTAGCAAATTTTCACCTAATTGAATTTCGTAGCCCAAGCTGATTCATGCCCACGAAATACGCAGTAACATAATAACGACCTAAATGCCTATCACCTGTGTACTTACGTGAGTCTTAGCGTTCATTCTGTGCACTTTACCGCATATAATATCTGTCCGAACTTTAGCCCAATAAACAGATACAAGGATTAGCGTTATCAATCTAGTGTGATTAACGAAAACTAGACTATCAGCAAACTTGCAAATCCATGCTCAAACAAAAAGAAAGAAACGATCCAGTATCCGGACCATTGCGAGCGGAAAGAATACCACAACAAGCTGCATATACCATACTATTTTAGAAAGCATCACTTGACTAGAAATGCAAAGACGAAAGTTCACTTATTAACTGGGAAGGGATGCAAAAATACGTTAGAATGAGACACAACTTGATCTAGGACTCAATCCTATCCTCTATTGTTGGATTCAGAGTTCAACTTAAAAAATGCAACACAAACAACTAAACTGATACAAAAAAACCTTGGACACTTCCTTGCACTTCTACTGCTAGCACTTACTTCAACAAAGAAAATGTGCATTATCCTAGACTCTCACTTCTTTTTACTTTTTCTGGGTTTTTTGGGGGCTCCTCCAGTCGCCTCTGGTCTGTTTATTCGAAGACCACTCGCAGACCGCCTTCGCGGCTCTCCACCTTCCTCCGTTTGTTGTTGTTCGTCACCTGATGCCCGCTTCGTACGCACGCTCACCTTCCGAGGTCTCCGCGTCGCTCCCTGTTCTGGTGCCTCTTCCTCCTTGTTAGTATTCTTGCTCTCTGCTCCACCTGGTGAGATGGGGGCTTTTGACTTCCGTGCACGCTTTTTGCCGCTCCCCTTTGGGCTTGGACTACTTTTAGCTGGTGACGGCGAACCGGGTGACTGTGGGCTACCACCTCCTCCGTCCTCTTCGTCGTATATATTTTCACCCAAAACCCCTGTTTTCCGTTGCTTTTTTCGCAGAAGCCTACGCTTTTTCTTGCCATCCCCAGCTCCCGGAAGCGTTGGCAGCATGCTTTCGATGGATGCACTACTATCTCCTTTTGTAGCTGCTAACGCCGAAACCTCCTGTCCATCTGCACCCGCTGGCTTGCGTGTTAGAGCGAGGCTTAGGTACCCAGCTGATGATGAAGAACGCCAACTCTTGGGCTTGGCTAAGTACTCAAATAAGCATGCTGAAAACTCATTCTTATGCAAAATAATGTTTTGAACCGAAGAAGACCAAGATCTTTCAATTCTTTTGGGCAAAATAAAAGTGCTGTTTGAATATTCTGCCTGGATCTTCACATAGGCACCAAGACTACCTTGTCGAACAGAAGAGCCATAACTTGAGACGATAGATTGATCCCCCCTGGATGCGCTGCGGCACAACGCTCTCCTCAATCTGTTGCGGTTCTGCCGTCATGGTTGTTCGTCTTTTGTCGATCGGCATCGTATCGATCGATGGAGAGTCAACCACTAATATTTTTGTATCCTCCACAGGGGAAGGGACTGTAGAATCGGGCTGCACACCTTCTTCTATTCCATTTCTCGAGGGAAGATGCTTTGGTCCTTCTTGCGAGCAGCAGTTCGGCAGATATTGCTGACGGCTTGGCATTGACGCATTCCTGAGACTATCATTTTCTGCTTTGGATGTTAGTATTGCAGATTTTACCGTCTTTTCATCCTTCTGCGCTTCACCATCATTTTTCGTGTCACTCTCTATCCTCTGCTCAATCGCTTTCCTTGGAGCTCCACCTTGCATTTCCGCTGGCCCAGCTGGTGCAGCCGCCTGCACCCACCCGCCCAGCCAGGACGGCGCGAGCCCCGCCCACCACGCACCGCTAGGCGTTGGCGCGTTGTTTTCGATCGCCAAGTGCGCTCCATTTCCAAAGCCGGGGAAGTCGCCAGTTGCATTGTAGCCCGGACTGTTGTAGGCACCACGACCTTCTTGAGCGTCGAGAAAGTCGTCTATGGACCGCTGAATTGCATCGAGCGACACATCGACATCAGACAACTTGCGCCATTCATCCACTGCATCGTCCCTCATGAAGATTTTGTTCGCAAGTTTCACGCAGTAGTTGCAACACGTTATGCGCACGTCCGGATTTGACCGCGAGACGTAGACTGCTAAATGCAAACGCGGCGCTGCGTTTCCTTCGACGGAACTGGACGACAATCGCGCAGAGTTGCTCTTATTAATCACCGCATTGCTGCTATCTCTCTTCGACGAGGACGACAGTTTCTTGAGAACATTATCTTCTGCGGTGCCGCCAGGTTCTGCAGATGCATCCATCAGCTGAATTTGCTCGACGCCTGCTGCGGTAGCATTGGTATTTGCGGACACCTCCAACGCATTGTCTACTCCTTCGCCACCAGCCTCACCACGGGGACGTACAGTTTTCCTTGTTTTCGGAATGCGGTCCTCACGGCCCAGCGCTCGGTCCACGAGGTACAGACTGCTTCCCGCACCAGGAGGCTGCACTCGGCCATAGTCCGATCCGAGCGCGAGGAGCCGCTCTGGCAACAAGGACATCGAACTGAAAGAAAATCCCCCTTCTCCCGTATGATCCCCATAGAGCGCACGCTCCTTCGCTTGCTCTACTTCCGCACAAGCAAGGTCTTCCGGTGTCTGCGAGCAAAAAACACACGTGCGCACCAGCGGCTGATCTACGTCCATCAGAACATGAAACCACTTTCGCATCAGGTAGCGCGGTTCCTCCTCTTGGACAATCTCAACATCGGAATCCGAGTACCTACGCGACTTACGCCCACCTGGGAGCTCGTCTGGCGCGAGCAAGGTTGGGAAAAGCGCATCGTCCTCTTCCTCGTCACGCTTTAGATAGTAGCGCCAAAATAGGAATCCGCCGATGAGCAGGAGGATGCCACATGGGATTCCGATCGCGAGACCGACCGTTGTCCCGCTTGTGTCACTGCTGTCACTATCCGAACTCGACGCAGTATTAGAACCCTGCTGCAGATCTTTTTAGTAGAGGGGAAAGGAAAAAATTTCAATCTAGAGCATATACCAAATCTTCTCTGACAATTATATATAAGTTCTAGTCCAGCTGCAATGAGTTGGCCTTATTGCTAGACGGAGGCGATTGCGTTGAGCTCGTGCTGGATTCCGGCAGAACGACGCGTGGTCTGTCGACTACCGAAGGGTCGTTGGCATTCAAGACAACGAGCTCACTTTGCAAATCGTTCAAGGACATCAATACAGGGGCGCCACCTTGTGCATCGATGTAGTCCGCTTGCAGTATGGGTAAGAGAACTGTGTTCTTTAAATCCTCATACAGGGCCTGTTCCAGCCACTGCGACGATGCCGCTGTCGAAGTCGCAGTATCAGTACCACTAGAGGAACCGCCGGATCCTGATGAAGACGGATTTGCTCCACTCAGAGAAGATGCAGCACTTTGGCCTCCACTACTCGAGGACATTTCAACTCGATTGTAGTCCGCTGCAAGCATTCGCAAGTGCATCTCTACCACAAGCGACCCTGGAGTAAACTCCAGTTTCGCGATCCAACTTTCGGGGATCCCATAGAGCGCTTGCACTTTCGCGACGCACGCTGATCGTAGTTGTGTGTAGGTTTCTGGGCGATGCACGATTCCCGAAAGCCCTGCATTCACGTCTGCAGCAGTGAGATTCTGGGCTGCTAGTGCTTCGTTGGCTGCCTGCGACGGGGTAGATGAAGGTGGATGGCGTTTACCCTGAACTCGGTTGTTTTTCTAAGTATTTGAAACTACATAAAGATTATCATGTATCGTGTCGACTCAAAACAGGCATTGCGTTCTGGACTTCCGACAAAAATGAGTCCGATCTATGAACCGTATTCTTAACTGGTACGAAAGATCGATTTTGAACTTTATGACTTTCCGCACAGGCGGCTTTTTCACGCGAACGTCCGCGGAAGAGATAAGCGATGGTGTTTGAGTGCCGCTCCACCGTAGAAAACACAATCGATAAGAAAATCCATCCTGAAGCTGAAACTTCGTGTGTCTGGCTATTCTGCATACACGATTTTGCCCAAAACAATGCGTCTTATTCATCGTAAAGCCTGCAGGTAGCTGCATGTCGGTGGACGAGGAACTTGAAGATGCGTCCACTGAAGATGCGGAACTTGTCGTCGCTCCCGAAGATGGAAGATGATGCGTACTGCCTTCCGCGAGTGATTTTATGACAAGAGCAGGGTTGTCTGACGATGTTTCATCCTGTGAAGAAGAGGTGGCTGCACTACTCGCGGCTTCCTCAAAATAACCACGCAGCGCAGGCGCGGGATCCGGAATCGTGCGAAATATGTTGGCTCGAAAGTTTGCGCACGCTGAAGCCGACTCGTCCAACGTCCTCTCCGCAATCGAGATTAGATTGTTCTCCAGATGTGCGGCACAAACGCTTCCCGTGCTCGCAGAGCTGCTTGTCGAAGATTCTAAAGTTCCACTCGCGGATGCGCTGTCGCTGTCACTATTGCTGAGTGTCGACGTGCTACTCCCAACGGTAGAATTCGTAGCCCCTAGATTAGCCATTTCGAGGCTGTAGGTATCGTCGACGATTTTCTGGGCCTCCGCGATGTAGAAATACACCTTGTCATTCGCCGCGGGGAAAAACAGCGCGTTTCGATCATCCGGTGCAGTGGTGTGCGTAGTCGAGAGACTTCCCGGCAGGCTGGAGACGAGGGTCGCAGATATGCCGTCCGCGGCGCTGCTGCCGTCAATGGAAGGAAGCGTCGGCGAGGAATAACCGAGCAAGGAAAACTGCATGTAGCGGGATTCCTGAGGTAGGTACTCAGGTGCTGACATGTAAAGCGAGAAGCGGCGCGAGAAAGGCACAAGTTGCGCCGTTTGCGTCGCGCACGTTGCGAAGGGACGCAAAATCTGCGCAAATCTTGTTGTCAGGGAAACACTTTGCATAGTCGAGGATGAGGACGAAGTCGCACTGTGTTGAAAGTGGAAACGTTGAGATCTCTCAAGGGGAAAAACGATCGTAAACGTTGTGTCGTTGTTCGTGAACACCTTAATCTTCTGAGCGTCAGCGAGGAAGATTTTTCAACAACAAAATAAAATTTTATTTTTCCATTCCTGTAAACTGTTTCATTTGATGAAATGGTTATGATTTGATTCATGTTAGAGATCGATAATGTGATCGATCTCTTTCCTTCTCAACGAGTAGACAATTAGATTAGATCGATCGATTAATTACTTCTCTCGTCGAGTTTTCGTCTCAATGAACTCATTTAGTTAGACAGCAGGTTTCAATTCCTGCTGTCTTGACTCCCGTGACCGAAAGGAACTCTCGTAGATTTCAGGATCTCACTTTTCCCCTTCAGTAGAAATCAAAGATCAAGTGCAGGATTTCTTATCACCCCGGGGGGTATTGAAAATAAAAATGAGATACTTGCTACGTCATTAATTATATGTTATTTTTCTTCTTTACATCATCTTCACCACGTTGATGGTTTTTCACAGTGGACCATCAACCACTTTCGCCGCGCGCAGCCCCTGGCTCCGCGATGACTCTCCATGAAAGTTCTGGCTTCGTGTATTTCTCCCCTGGAGAATTACCCAATTCATATTATGGGTCTCGATTTACAGTCACCATGTGACTTTTTCAAAAATCGACAACGTAACGCTCGTGTAGAACCCCTGGCCCTTCTAGTATCACCATGCAATACTTTATGCGTCTACGTCTGTCGTATAGGTTTGCTGTTAGTGTCGTTTGTTCCAATGGTCACTCAGTCAGTCTTCTTCATCTGTCTGCTCCAAAAAGCTCAGACTAAACTCGTAAGTAAAAAATCAAATCTCTCAATTCCTTGCCATCCTCGTCAAGACAACTCCTTCTGGTCTGATGACAGCGGAAGTTCCCATACGAAACGTCTTCTGAATAATGCGATCTCGCCCCTTGCAAAAGTCCATCCTCCGCCTTGCATTGCCCGGTACAGCTGTTGGAGCTTCTTGCCGGCCGGCACCTTTGTAAGTGCGTCTGCGAGGTTATATTCGTCTGTCACTCCCCCGATCTCAAATAGACCATGAGAGTACAGATTTTTCAGTAGAGCGAGTGGCTTATAGACCCTAGCATCCTGTACGTCAATCGCTGCTTTCGACCTAAGCCGTGCCGTAAGTGATTTTGAATCCGTGATCAAACTCAGATCCTCAGCTGTGCCCGTCCATGTTTCTACTTTCGCAACGTGAGCAAGTCCTACGTCTATAAATTCCCTTGCTGCCAGAAGTTCGCCTTCGTATGAGGAGGCCGTTACTGTGTCGCTGAATGTGACATCTGAGTAGAGTATTGAGCACCTCATTGTTTGTTCGTTCGTGTCGAGTCCTCTCTTCACCTCCATGGTGCCCCTAACCGCTTCCTCCAAGTCAGCCTGGGACACAGACAGAAGCACCATTCCAAGAATCGGCTTCAGTTTCTTGGCTTCCTCCTTCACGTCTCCTTTCGCTATCGTATATTGTTCTATTGCGTTATACTTCCTTTTCTGCTCTTCGAGTCTCTTGCGCTTCTTCGAAGTCGCAGATTTGGCTGTCGTGTATCTTACTGGTTCTACCTTTTTGTGCCCTTCTTGTTCCTTTACTTCTTTCTTTGTAAAGGTTGTTACTCCTACCCATTTTTCCTCAGTTCCGATCTGGTTTTCTGGGTCTTTCCAGTTCTTGTCTCTATCTTCGAATTTAATCCCACTCTTTACCTTCGTCCCGTTGGTGGTCCTGAATTCGTAATCGTTCAACCTCGTCTTCAGCTCTTCTGTTTCGGGCTTCCAGAGCTCGGTCCTCGGAATCTGATGAACAATTTTGATTTGCTCGACCTCCACGATCATAACGACCTCCTTATCTGTTGGTACGTCACTCCCATCGGGCACATTTGGCCCTAGGTACTGCCACGACGAATCCGCCAGGATTATGAACGTCTCATCCCCATAGGATAGATCAATTACTACTCCTGCGTCGGGCATGGACTTTAACCTACGTAGTATTTCGTTTAGCATTCTTGCCTCGCGATACTTCTTTGCTGCGTCTTGTCCTAGACATACAAGTCTTATTGCGAGCTGCACATCTACTCGGCATGTACTTATATATAGTACCGCCCCACGCTTGGAATTCAGCTGTGTCACATCTGCTGCTGACAGTATGTCCTCGTCTTGTTTGCCTTCGGAACTGAATTCCGTAAGTGTCTGTATCTTCCTAGCTACGTCTATCGTGATTCTCTTCTCCTCGTCTGTTATCTCCCTACCGCAGAAGATAAACTTCCCGCGCTCCCATGTTTCTACTCCGAATTTGTTCGCTAACATTTCCATCACTTCACTAACGTGTTCCTCCTCTCCGTGAATTAGTAGGTCGTCCACGTGTACGCACATAATTCCGAGCACTTTCCCGCTTTTCTTATCTTTCTTTACATAGACTGCCGGCGCGTACTGTGAGTTTCTCCAGCCGTTCGACTTCAGGAATGTCTCCAGGGTTCTGCACCATCCCAGTGCGCCTTCTCTGGTCCCGTATAGCGGAATGTTTAAAACCAGAATCGACGTTACCCCGAGGTCGAACTCGGCTGCCATCATCACGAGAAGATCATCTGCGCGAACGTTTGATGGAAAACGAGTACGTGGCCGCTTTTCTCTCGCCCATCGCAGAGTCTTCAGGAATGCACGAGGCACATCCCCGGACACAAGCTTTCTCTTTTTAAATCTTCTCCCGAAAGAAAGACACTGTCTCACCTCTGTCTCTGTGGGCGTAGGCGACTCGCATGTTATCCCCTTGCCTCTGTGTTGTTGGTGGCCACCAGGGACCCACCTGACTTTCAGTTGCATCATGGTGTCTGACACTCTCTTCAAATCGAAGATCACGCGTGACGTTATGGGGTTTTGTTCTTCGTCGAAGATCATACCGTTATCCATCTTTTCGAAGAGGTCTTGTTCAAAACATGACTTAAACTCTTTCCTGAGCGCATTCTTCATGTGTAGCGGTACCTTTAAGACGTACCGTAGCCACGACTGGTCTAGGTCTATGATTTTCGAATGCGAGCGTATCCGGTTTCTCATTTCCTCGGTAAAGTGTGGTCTGTCAATTTTTAGGAGTCGTTCTTCTGCATTGTCTTCGTCTATCGCTCTATCAGAATTGAAATACTCGACGATGACAATGACCTCGCTCTTCTTTCCCTCTGTTTCCCACTTTCCGAGTGCACTCCGTTCCATGAACTCTACCTCGTCTACGCCTACCTTTATTGCTTTCCTTCCCTTTCCGGGATCAGTCTCCTCATCTAGTATCCCTGCTGCGTCTTCGGTTCCGGTTTGGTTGAATAGCCACGTCCTCAGTGGTGCTCTGTATTTCTCATTTTGTGCATCGAAGAGTGCAGCATGAACTAGGCTACTGGGCAGACTGTCGTCCCGTAGTTCTCCTCCTGCAAAGTCTTGATTGAATTCCTTCAGGAGCGTGAAAGCTAAGCCACGTCTTTGTGCTCTCGTCGGCTTTATCAGCTGTAGAATTTCCTCTACGGCCACCCTGTCGGCCGTTACCATCTCCTTTGTTCTTATTATATTTTCTGGCTCTAGTGGGTTGTCATCCACAGAGAAAACCACCTCTTGAAATTCCATCTTTCTGGTCTTGCCCTTCTTTCTTCCTTTCTGTATATTTTGTCCCTCTTCCTGTCTCTCTACCATTCGCGGTCGCGCTGATGACGATGACGACGATGATCCGCCTTCTTGGTAACTCGGAAATGTCGCCTTTCTCTCCTTTCTCTTCAAGGGCAGCAGGTTGTCCTCTGCTGCTGTTACGGGCCTCAGTTTTGGTCTTCCTGTGTTGTTTCCTTGTAGTCGTAGAAATTCCATGTTGAGTGGTCTTAACTCCGGGAAGGTCACGCGGTAGTCATAGTTCACCTTTGGTTCAATCTGTGCTACGTATACTGGTGGTTGATACGATCCATTCCCAGTCTTTATTTCACATCTGGGCTCTCCTACTGACGACGGCAGGCACTTCACGAATGTTGCTGGGTGCCAGTTTGTGTCTTTCCCCTTATACCGTATTTTCTGTCCTTCTCGGTATCTGGTTTGTAATTGCAGTTCGCGTCGCTCTCGTGCCCTGATTTTTCTGGCCTCCTCCACCACGTCCTTTTGAAGTGTAGTTGACCGGTGGTAGGCCTGAATTGCTTGGCTATGTTCCGCTCTGATGAAAGTCGACGCTGCCGCCTCATCCATATTGTACCTTACCACTGCGTCGTCTTCTATGGTTGACGCATCTACTCCCTCATACGGTCCAAATTCGCATGTGTCCGGGGCCAACCCGTCTAAAGCGCTCGTCGGGTTTCTCCCTATTATCCTGTGTATTTCGTTTAACCTGACGATTAGTGGCACGTTTGCAAAAATAGGGTCTCTGATGCATTTTGCGTCCATATTTCTTACAGCTAGGTGTCTTCTCTCGATAGGTGCAAGCCCTGTTTCATTTCCTGTCGATGTTGCAAAAACATCTCTGACTTCCTTGTCCCATTTCTGCGTGCACTCACACGATATGTTCTCTCTCCCCTTGTCTATGATGATGGTTCCTCCTTTTGGTGGCATGATCCTCATGTCTACTGCCTTGTCACACAGCTTCATCACCGCGGCCGCTGTCGGTGCGCCTCCTTTCCTTAATTCTGGCACCGAGAAAACATCGCATGCATTTATTGCTATGCCTTCTCTTATCCTTTGAGCATCGTCCTGGTCCAGCTTCTTCTTCGTAATGTATTCTTCTATGTTCACCGAGGTGCCCGCGGTCACCTGACAGCTCCTCCTTGTAACTAGATTCATCAGGACGCACGACGCGTATAGGATGTTATCACCGGGCACTGCTGCGAAAAAGGCCGTGTCGATCATCACCAGTGCTCCTGATGTGTTCCTTGATAGAAGGAAACCTCTCATCGATCTGTTCCTTGCAGCTCTCTGGTGCTTAATCGAATACTCATAGTTGTTCGATGCCAGCTCTACTAGATACGCTAGCCTAGCTGGGTTTATTCCTTGTAGCTCATTGAAGACGAGCTTTAGGAGCTTTTTCTCCTGCGGCCAACCGTGTTTTATG